ATTTTGCTCCAGCCGTCCCCAGAATATGAAAGAAGTGGCATCCACGGGGCCACTGGGCATGGTGATGGGGATAGTGCACCCAAGAGTCCCAAGAGTTGCCAACATCAGGGAAGCCCCTTCTCGTGAGACAAATCATTGCGTGTGTTCGAAGTGTCCCGCATCGTTTTCATCTATGGTTCTTTTCGACTGCCGTTTAATTTGCCTTGGTCACCGGGCTTGTTCTTCCCGAAGGGAACGATGCCTGGAAATAATGTGAAAGATCATACATGGCATCTTCAATGCTTGAGCTACATCCCTTCGAGGTGTTGTCATTGGGTCTTTCAAGGGAAGCCAACAGAAACACAAAAAATAATCCAGCATTGATGAGGAGTCCTCCTGGCTTCACGACCAAACACAAAAGGGGTAGCCTCAGTATCAGACACCCCCCCCCAAATGACTTGTTTGTTAAGCCTACGGTCGATCAGGACCTTTTGCTCGGGAAGGGCAATCGAGCGAGAACTTGAAGTATGTCTGAGGTGAGAAAGAAGCTTGTTGTTGTCTGGGTCCCCCAGCTAGGTGCCCTTTCTCACTTTTTTTGGGGGTTTGGGTTCCCCTACTAAAATAGACTACAGAAAAGAGTTGGTACCCTTATTCTTACCTCTCTACCGGAGGGGGCCTTGTTGTGCGTGCAAGCCACTTCTTGCTGAAGCCAAGCGCGTGAATTGACCGAGCCGATTCTCGCGCGGAGGCTCGAATAACCCTCAGAGTCGTGGAGAAGGAGGCTTGGACCTGGTCGGGCTTTGGCCGCCTGTCAGCGGTGAGGGCCGAAACAAAAACCAGCGAAAACCTGAAAGGGGAACTGTGGATGGACATCCTGCACCACCCTTCAGAATCCCTGAAAGGATGATTCCCCTGTAAATACCAAGGCCAAGGATGTGTCTTAAGAAAGGATGACGTGTCTTCAACAAAAAAGCGTCTTAAACTAGGGGTCAGCCCCAAAAAATGGCTTGCTTGCTTGCGTTTGCCCTTTGAAGCCACTCAAAAAGGTTAAAGGTACCCAGAAAAAGAGAGAGAGGGAGAGGGAGAGGGAGAGACCCATCTCAGCCTTCACAATTTCAGAGCCATACGTCTCGGGTGAAACCGGCGCGATTAAAGGTTCATACAATTGCAACCCAGGTATGACAAACGGTGGCTGAGAGATTGTCTTTCTTGTACTTTGCGCTGCCTGCCCAAGTGACACAGTTCAATCAAAATGTTGTTGCAGTTTGCCTGGATGTTAGGACTTTAACTTTTTGCCAACTAATGGGTTTTCCATTAAACCACTAAAAGCTAAACTTTTAGCAGGGGAGCAGAAAGCAACCGAGAATACTAAGCGCAACACAGCCCTTCGCAAAGACACCTGGATGTTATTTCCGAGAATGAAGCTGCATGGGAGCAGTTTCTGGCAGGCGAAACTCCAACAAAGAGATTGGGTGCCAGCGATCCCCAGAGTATCATTAATCCATGGTTGTTGTTGGGAAACATTTTGCATGTTTGTTTATTGCGGTTTAGTGGTTGAAATCAAATCACTTAACTGCTAAAAATTGAGAATCGTTGCTCCCCTTCCAACGCCAACCATGAATCCGCCGATTCGGGCGGGGCACAAGCGAAGACCCATGAAGGTCCTTTGCTTGGGGGTGCCCCGCCTGCCAATTAACATGGACCCTGACCGGGAACTTGTCCCGTTAAACGGAAAATGGTCCAAGCCAGGGACCCCCCAAACGTCAGGTTCCAGGTTAATTGGTGGGGGGTTGCCTGGTTCAGGTGTTGAAATTCATGATTCACAGGCGCAGGGGGTCTCTATCAAGGGTCGAGCCATATATATAAGTCCAGGATAAGAGCATGATCACGCCCACCCAACTGCATGCACGCATGGCCGTACACGGTTTCATGGTTTTTGGTCGGTGCCCAAGCCGGTGCAATACAGCCAAAGGACAGCCCTACGTGAACTTGGCAAGCAGCCGCCATGTGAAGCAATTTGTTTTGCGCCAGGTATCCCTGAGTTTGTGGTTTGGATGGGTGCTTTGGATTTGACCCCTTGCTAATTGCAGAGGGTAAATGGGCCACCACTCTGTAGCCTTCAAATCACCAATTAGAGGGCAGCTGAATATCTTCTCAAAGGTTGTACCACCAGACCCCTGCAACATACCGGTTAAGCATAAGCAAAACATCACAGTAAATCAGGGTAAATATGCTCTAAATAAAATAAGGCTTATTTGTCATATTTGTTTTTGGGATTTGGTCTGTGGGTCAGAGGGGGAAGTGTTGGATCTTCATACGTGTGTGTGTGTGTATTTAACATGGGAGCCCTACAGCATGGTGCTTTTCCGCTTGGTGTCCCTTGGAACCACCGCCAAAACAGGCACCTCAAACCACACATGGAGAGATTCCGCTTTTTGTGGAGAAAAAAGGCATGGCTTGGAGATATGGCACCGCCAGAATCACACGTGTAAGGTCATGATTTCCCCCGTTCTCAGCTCGCACGCAAACTTATAGCTACTGTGGATAGACAAAATCCTGCACCACCCAAGAAACCCTGGCATGATGACCATCCCTGGTTTCCCATGGTTTCTTTAAGGCGGCGCCGCGAATCAAAAGCACCCAAGGGCGGCGCAAAATGACGCCAGGGTTCCAAAACGGCTCTCTACTAGGTCCCCCAGCTAGGTGCCCTTTCTCACCCCTTTTTTGGTTGGAAGGGTTCCCCTACTAAAATAGACAAAAAAAAACAATAAAGTGGCTACCCTTCTTCCAACCTCTCAAATCTGGAGGACCTAGTCCAGGTTTGTTTTTGGTTTGGGGAAACTCGAGGAGAAGGCAGAGGAGAAGGAGAAGCCGAAGAAGAAGGCACGAAATCCATTTCGCACCACTTCAAAACCAGGCAAAACCAGGGATTCTTACATGGTGCAGGATGTCGTCCATCCACAGTATGCCTTTTGGCCGTGGGGGGGCCGTGCTTGGGACGGATCTTGAATGCTTGACTATTTTGCAGCAGCAAATCCTAAATTCTGACTGATATGAGAAGATGGTTGCAGACTTCCGCCTGCAAAGAGAACGTCTTTGCAGATTCAGCATTTTATTCGCAACACCTTTGACGCTGGGTGTTTTTGTTGGTTCAAGAAATTGATTTGTGATCATGTGATGGAACGACCGGAGAGCCACTTGAAGTGTAGCTTGAGGGACAGCAATCTCCCAAGTTTCTGGTGGGCATAGCCTCTTCGTTGATCTGTTCACAAATTGGGATCCATGATCTCATTTGCAGCTGGTGGGGTGTACGAAATGATGTGAAATGGGAATGACATACTGTGGATGGACAATATCCATGTTGCACCACTTTGAAACCATTGGAAAACATTGTTGGTTGGTGTGTGCAGGGGAATCGAAGCACTCCAGTGTTTTTGTCAGATGGTGCGACATCCAAAGTTGGATGCATGATTTTCCTATGGCCCAATAGCACTGCCAGACTGAACTTCATTTCTTCCTTGCCTTTGCCTTAGTTTTTCATTGCCAAGAGTAACCTTTTGCAGGGGATAATCTGGTCCGGGTTTTTGGTTGGCTTTTAACTGGAACTCAAGAAGGAGCCTCACATGTCAAGATACTGTGGATGCCCTTGACATACTGCGCCTAAACCAACGACAAGCCACGGTTGAGTTTCCGTCGGGTTTCCGAGTCTCACTCCCCATGTCAGTGGCGCTCGGAAAGTTTGTTTAGCTTGTTTCTTGCAGTTTCTCAACTGAGGGAATGAGCCCATAAACCATCTTGTGGTTTAAGGGAATCCGCAAACAGTTCATGCCCAACACCCGGACTCGCTCATTCCCTACCTAGAGCACCACCATTTTTTGGACCATCCACCCGATCGGAAGTGAGTGCAGGAGAAGGAGGAGAAGAAGGAGCCGGTCAAGAAGAAGGACTGCGTGCAGGTCTAACCCCAACCCCCTTCCCTCAATGAGAAAAGTCAGTGGACACACTTTACACTTTTTTCCTTGGTGGATCTCCCTTTATTTTAGTGGTGGCCCAAAAAGTGTACACTTTTTTGGGCTGGTCACTGGCCAAGTGAGAAGTACAGGTGTATATACTCGGATTTGTTGTTTTTCCTGGAGGTGATTTAGGAATCGTGAGCACCCTCCGGAAAATATTCCCAGCTGGAGGCTGGAGTCGATCATGTTGGCGTTTGTTTGGGCCGCAGCTTCTTATGAGTGAACGACTATGCGGTTCGGCTTCCCTTGACTTTGCAGGGGCCAATTTTGTTGCTCCAGGGTCTTTGGGGTCTAACCCAGTGCAGCTTAAGCCCAGCAACATGAATCAAACAACTTTTTTGGTGGTCAACTCATGTCCCAAGTGGCAGCTATCATTTTTGGATTGTCCGTTGGTATTGGCTGGAGTGGATTTGGGGCCTTTCATTTGACCTTTCAGCTCTGAAAAAAAACAAAAAACTGCACCACTTTGGATGTGTGATTTATCCCAGTATTCAACTCGGGCTTCATCCGTGGTGTGAAGCAATTTTCTCCATCCACAGTCACACTGACCATTGGGTCTAAAGCGGACTCCGTTCGATCCCTTGTGAAGTAGTTCCAACCCACTTTATAAGGGGTATACACCCCTTTTGGGGAGAGCGAGAGAGGTATGAACATCAGCAGGCTTTTTGGGTTCATGTGTCCAAGGGGTAAGTAAAAGGGGTATGTACCTTGGCACCCCTGGAAAACGGCAGTCCCTTTGGGTGAGCATTTTCTTCGTTTTTTCCGATTCAGTTTCTGGGCCACGAAAAGCGCCGCCATGTGCTGAAGAAAAAGTATTTTCCCTTATTGGGTTTTGAAAGGAACGTACCTGGATCGCCAGTTGCTGCTTTTTTCCATGAACTTTACCCCAAAAAACAGCAACCGTGACTGAAAAAAACAGCAACTTGGCTATCTAGGTATCACTGCTGGAAATATGTTTATTTCTTCCAGGGGTCTTCGCCAAATGGAACAAACTGACGCCATCCCGAGCAGAAGACGCGCGTTTCCATCGCGAGCCAACTCCGATCAGGTTCGAGTTCCTCTGGTTTTGGGCACCCGATTTTCGCAATTGCCCGCACTGGGTCAGCCGTGGGTTGAGGCGGAGAAGGAGAAGGAAAAGGCGGCTAAGGAGGAGAAGCCCAAAGAAAAGGCGCCATCGATTTCACATGGCTCCGATCTCCCATTCATTTAAGACAATGGCGATTTTGTCAACTAAGGCCTTGACATTGGGCCAAATCCCCTCCCATCATTGCCATGGAGCCTTTTCCAAGACACAGCGCTCCTGTGGGGCATCTTCTTCGAGCCTATGCGACACCGAGTCTAGGTCCCCCAGCTAGGTGCCCTGAAAACCCCCTTTTTTGGGGGTGTTGGGTTCCCCTACTAAAATTTTAAAATAGACTACAGAAAAAGACGGTACCCTTATTCTATACTCTCTACTGGAGGACCTAGTAGTCAAATGGAGAGACACTTTTTTTGAAAGGTTTTTTGCATGTTTGCCTACATTGTTCAAGCCTCGAGGATAGAAAATGATCGTTTCAGTTTGTTTCCTTTGGCTTCATTCGATGTTTGCTAATTTAGACACGCAAAATCGCAGACGACAGTTTCAGATTCTGCTTCATGCGGGTATGTGTCAACATAGGAGGCACCCAGCAACATAATGTGTTTGTTCCTGTTGATTTAGCTAGATCATTTTAACATACCGAAGGGTCGGGATGTGTTGACGCCCCGAAATCTTCCCCAGAATTAGCTCCCTTTTTGCATTTGTTTGGTCCCTTTGTTTTCCACTCACCAGGCAAAAAGGATAAAACAATTTGCTGGGGTCCCTTTTTTCCCAGCCAAGAAATGAAAATGAGAGCATAGGTGTCCTTTTTGGTTGGTTTGGCTGAAAAATAGAGGGCGATTCCTGGTTTACCTGGTGGTTCAATAATCTACCAGGGCCATCTATTTACGAACAAAGGACACCTAGAAATGCGAGGCGAAAGCGGAGAAGGCAGAGAAGGTGGAGAAGGAGAAGCCCAAAGAGAAGGAGAAGGACACGAAGGTGCCAACGACTCGACTCGGCATTCGAGTCGGGTCTTGAGTCCAGGTCCGGATTTTGCTGCAAGGAGTTTATTGTCCCACCAATGAACAGAAGGAACCTGGCAGGGAAATGGTCCCTTTAGTGGGAAATGATAATTTTCAGAAGCAGCCTGACGTATGGGACCCGGTGCCAAAGTGGTCGGATCCGAGACTCCCCGAAGGCTCGGCACCGTTGGTTTGGCTTCGTACGGCTTGCTTGGCATGTGTCTTGCACTGTGTGGACTTGCTTTATATGTCTTTGTGTATGTGTCTTGCTTGTTTGGCTGTGCCGTGTTGCGTTATGTGTGTGTGTCTCTTGGTTTGTTGGTTTGTGTGGTTGTATGCTTGCTTGCTTGCTCGCTCGCTCGCTCGCTCGCTCGCTTGCTTACGTGGTTTGTTGTTCTTTTCTGTGTGTGTGTTTGCTGACGTCAGTTGATTGGATGTTTCCTTGCTTCCTTGCCTGCTTTTGTTTATCGAAGCTTGCGTTGTGCGATTCACTTGGTGGAAGTTTCCGTGATTGCGAGTGCGGTGTTGCTCGGGATGGGCTTGGATGCATGGCCTGCAAGGCCAAGGATGCCAAAAAGGAGAAGGAAAAGGAGAAGGAAAAGGAGAAAGAGAAGGAGAAGGAGAAAGCGAAGGAAAAGGCGGAGAAGGAGAAGCAAAAGGAGAAGGAAAAGGCGGAGAAGGAGAAGCAGAAGGAGAAGGAAAAGGCGGAGAAGGAGAAGGAGAAGCAAAGGGAAAAAGAAAAGGAGAAGGAAAGAGAAAAGGAAAGAGAGAGGGAAGCGGCAAAGGAACGGGAGAAGGAGAAGGCCAGGGAAAAAGAGAAGGAGAAGAAAGACAAAAAGGACCGCTCTGGATTGGCTTGGCAAGTTGAAGATTTGAGCCCCCAGTACTGGTAACCCTAGTTGCAGCAACCCTGGTGGATTCATACCTGGATCGCCAGTTGTTGCTTTTTCCCATCTACTTTACCCCACAAACCAGCAACAGTGACTGAAAAAAGCAGCAGCTTGGCTGTCTAGGAAGTAGCATCTCCCAACTTGGACCCTCGCAGGAAAAGGACAAGAAGGCCAGCAAAAAGGCTGAGAAGAAGGACAAGAGCTGAAAGCCTGATTGTATGACTAGGTCCCCCAGCTAGGTGCCCTTTCAGCAACTTTTTGGGGTTTTGGATTCCCCTACCAAAATACAATACAAACGAAAGTTGGTACCCTTATTCTAACCTCTCTACTGGAAGACCTTGATTAGCGTATATGAGCGGATTCTAGGGGTTGCTTGCTTTTCCATTCTTTTCAACCATCGTTCTTTCCAAAAACCGGATTCGTTTCCCTGGGTTTCCGGAGGTGTTCTAGAAGGATCCCTGGAAATAATGGGGAAGGTACCCCTAGACGCAGGGGAATCCATGTTGGATCCGCGTTTTTGGGGGCTGATTTCCCTTAAAGCCAGTGCGAACCGTAAATGAACCACCCAAAGCGGCTTTTCCTGGGAGGATATTGGGGGGGAAGGTTGGCTTACTGGCTTCTCAGGACAGACGCAGTTCCTGTGAGGGACATAGAGGGCTTACTTGTTTCCCAGGGACACAGGGGAGCTCACGAAGCCATAAACATAGCGGGGGTCATTACCAGGAACTTACCTCTTCACTTTCTTAGGACTTCAACTTGGATCTTAGGACTAAAAACTTTGCATCTTGCCAAGGGATGTTAGTTGACTTGAGCGACTTTTTGATCCAACTAACTGATGGGTTTTCCATGAATTAAACCACTGAGGGCTAAACTTCCTTCCCTAGGCCTAGCCAACCACCAGCTGAACCGAAGAAGCGGTTTCTCCCCATTCCCTTCCAGCCCGGTGTCCAACACCTGGCTTGCCCCAAAGCGAATCGACCTCGAGTCCTGGAGATTTCCTCTTCTTGGCGAATTTTTTGGGCATGACCCCAGGGTATCCTTTTCTAGGTCTAGTAGGGGAGGTTTCCCCTGCTAAAATCGACAAAGCAGGAAAAAGAAGTGGGTTCCCTTGTTCTAACCTCTCAAATCTGGAGGACCTAGTTTTGACTGAGGTTTTCCCCCAACAGCTGATCGCTTTGGCCTCGGCCCGGATAGGCTCTGGAGCGGTTCGGAGCTTACTCGGAGTTGGCTTTGGCAGCTGTAGGGTGCAAGGTGAAGTGCGGTTCCTAGGGGTGATGGTGAAAAGTGTTAAAGGCCTGTTATATCAAGAAACCCCGTATACATTGGTTCTTTGTTTCTTTGGGGCAAATCGCGCAGGAGAAGAAGGAAGAGAAGTCCAAAGAAGACTCTGAATCGGAGGAGCCTTTGGTCCTTTTGCGCAGGGGTGGTTGCAAAAGGCATGCCCGAGAGGGAGCGGCATGGCCAATGTGAGAAAGACCCCCACCCCCAACAAAGCAAAGAGGATGTCCGACATAAAATCCAGCTGCTGGACATTCTACATAAATATACCTCAGACCCACCAAACAAGGGGCTTGGTCAGTTTCCAGCCGATTTTCCCGCCCGTCTCTGAGACGCACCGGTCTCACTGCATTTCCCATTTGAACATTTGCCAACGTCCCGGGGTCCCGTTGCTTTTGGGCATCCTTCGCTTTTGGGTTGCAAGCCCCCATGAATTCGCCTGGCTTGGGGAGCCGTTCAACCAACGCCCCAAATCAACAGCTTTGTTCATTCCGCGCATGGTTGGAATCAAAATCCATTTCGCAGCACCTAAGAAACCATGGTTGAATCCTTTCTACCCTTGGCATTCTCGTGTGTGGGAATCGACACAGGGAGGTCTCCACCATAGATCCTGAGAACCCCCCCAAACTGCCAACCCAAACTCTGTTAGGAGCCCGCAGTGCAGCGGCCTCGTCCAGCGTTTCTCGCTGGCTGGTTCATTGCGTTGCTGTTTTTGTTGTTACTTCTATTTGCATAAGAATAGATGTTTTTTCCCCCTTGTTAGTTTTAAAAAGGATTTCATCACTACTGGACAGATTATTATTTTTTCCAGGGGTCTTAAGCAAATGGAGGGTTACACGTTTCAAAACGGTTTCCTTTCAGACAAAACTGAAACCACATGCCCGAGGCGAAACGAATTTTCACCTTTTGGTGTCTCTAACTTGGTTCGTATAGTGAAGGTTCTAAGGTCAACCTTGTATTTCCAGGTCCGACCAGGGCAAGTGAGGTTGGTGTGTGTGTGTGTTGCCGTTTCGGTGTTTCCGTTTCTGTGTTGGTGTCAATGTGTGTGTGCTTCACTGGTGGGTGGCTAAACGCAAACCTATTCCCAAACATATTGTTAGTACTTCCCCAGAATTAGCTCCCCTTTTTCCTTTTTTGCTTTTTTGGGGTTCCCTTTGTTTTCCACTGACCAGGCAAAAATATATATTTTTTGCTGGGGTCCCTTTTTTCCAGCCTAGAGTATCTGCCCAGCGCAGTGTTAACGTTGTCCGGTTTCTGAGTGGTCAGCCCAAATTCAGGCCACCCTTCGTAGCGTCACCGGGCAGCTCCCGGGGTTAAGTCCTGGATTCCCATGTTTCAAAGGATTCATGAACGGAATCCTGCACGAGGCATGGATGAGTAGAGTAGCCCCCTACTCTAAACGCCTGTTTATTTTATTTATTTTTGTATGTGTTTTTTTGGGACAACCAGGGTTTCCGGGGTAAAGACCTTTTTGGTTCGTAAAGGGTCAACATCATTCCCGTATAAAAGCGGGCATTGGGCGTGGGGGGTATGCTGGGATAGACCACCTGCCAAATCTAGCGAACTTTTCCCAGCCTGAGACCCCCCTGAAGAAATCTTGATTTGGATCTTTGTCAATTGTGGCGGGGAAACCTAAGAAAGCATCAAGGAAAATGTCCTGAAAGTTCGCCCACGCCCTGTTTTTTGTTGGTTATGCAAGGTCTAACGGCCTTTTGCTCGCTCGACTTCCTGGGCTCGGAGCAGCACAGACATGAGGTTTCCTGTACTTACTTGGTTGCCTTTTTGGGTGGCCTGTTGCTTTTTTTTTTGCGGAACCCTAGAGGGGTTCCTATGGGCCTATGGGCGCAAGTCAGCAGATCAGCATATTTTTGCCAGTCCACCATGGAAGAAGGATGCTTGCAATTAATCCTGAGCCAGTAAGGAGCAAGACGTTGGGAAATCAGCCTAAAGCCAAGTTGGCTACGGGTTTCCCTCATCTAAGGGTTACGCTCAGTTGCTTTCAAAGCGAATCGACCGTAAAAAACCTTTTGAGTTTCCAGTTTGCTTCCAAATTGAATTAATATGTTGGCTGGGTTCTTTGGGCAAGTGAGTTCACCAAGCCTCTAGGATTGTTTGGCTCAAAATCCATGGACTGTAAGGGGAGGGGGGGGCCTATCCCTGAGTCACCCTAAAACCGTATGAAGGGCCCAACTATCAACTTGGGTTGTTTCAGGGTTTGCCCTCCCCCCACCCATAGCCCCCCTAAAGGTCTTTGTCAACACTTTGGGCAGATCTCCTCAGCCGATTCGTATCGCTTCGCTTGGCTCGGGAACCCCCCGAGGCCGGCGCCGCAGCCGATGGCTGTGGAGCCGGAGACGCCGATGCCGCCGGCCCGGCGCTCGGAGCGCGCGAACGAGCTTTTGGAACGAGGGCCAAGGGTTTGGTTTGGTATCCCTGGAAGAATAAATCAGAGTAAGCCTTGGGTGATTAATACTAGTAGGGTGTGACTTCTCCTGGCTTTCTGGTCAAGGGGTTGACTTGCTGGTTCGGTAGGCAGGGGATGAGAAATGGAATCCAAATGGTTCATTTCCAAAACCCTGGGTCGCTCCATTTAAGGCGTCCTCGGCTTTTGGGGGCGGGGACACCATATGCTAGATCAGGGAACCCGTCAGGGTGGTTTGGAGCTGGCAAATGGGGAACTACTCCATTTCACCACCAAACCACCGGGCTCGCTCCAAACCACGAATTCAAACAGGGGTCGACTTGCTGGTTCGATAGGCAGAAAATGAGAAATGGAATCACCCCCAGAAAAGCCATCCCCAATTTGGGTCCTTTAAGGGAATCCCAAACTGACACCCCCTTTCCTTTTTTATCCAAGTTTCCCATTCGTAGGAATTTTCCTCGGCTAGTATTGGCCCTTTGAACAAGCCGGTTGTACGCGCTTGTAACTCACTGTCCAGTTCCGGTTGTAGCTGTTCTTGGCAAGACCAGGTTAGTGGCAAACAAGCAAGATTTGGGCTTTGTTTTGACGATCCACTTAGAACGTGAGAACAAAACATACACTTTGCCAAAAATTACACGCCTTTACTGCACGTTTCCATGAGACCACTGAGAATGCACAATTGTGAGTCATGAGGGGGTCATGCACCTGTACAGGGGTCCTTATTCACAGACCATGCCCAAAAGGGGCGGCTCTTTTCAGGCAAAATACATCCTCTTGAGACCTGTTTGGGCTTTTGAAGCATGTTTCGTGGGTCCGTTCGAACATGCGTTTGCTTGGGCGGGGGGGTGATGTTTGGAATCAGGGGGCGATGTTTGGTGCAAGGGACAGAGTCTGAACCATTGAAATCCCGTAGAAATGCATTCCAGGCCCTTTTTGACCAGGGGAAGGAACGTGTACTTAATGCTACAACTCGAACTACTCCCTGCCGCGGCAACAAAAATCAAAACATCCGGGGCTCTCTGAAAGTAAGTGTTGTTGTTGTTGTTTTACATTTTGGGGTCCCCCTCGGATTGAACCTGTTCAAGTCTGGATGAAGTGTCACCCCATCCCTCAAACTCACTCCCGTCAGGTGGCCCAGAAGCAAGATTCAGAGGACTTTGCTTCCCTGTTCTACGTCCTGTCGCATGCTCCTTATATCAGATGGGTGTGTTTCTGGAAAGGCAAGCAATGAAACAAGGAGGCACTGGGCAAATAAGGTGTCTGACTTCATTCATTTTTCGGGGAGCCCTAGAAAAACTAATGTTGACCCAGAATTCCTAAACCCGTCCCATTATTAGGGGGATGTTCTCTCCAACGGGATCTTCTCTCCAAGAGAGAGTTGAATCCCCACTAAAAGGGGACACCCCCCTATGAATCAACCAGGGATTCACTAATCCGGGGTTAATATTACTTGGGGGAAAGAGGTTGAGCTCTTGCTTTCCAGGGATAGGATCTCAGGGAACCCTTCCTCGGCTGGTTCTGGCTTGGATTTGGTTTTGAACCCATTCCTGCGGAAAGTGTGGAATGGGGACCATGTTCAACATGTTCATGTATGGGCGTCTATATAGCATGGTGCTATGCGTACATAACGCATATACTGCCTTACAAGCTGATACTTTGTCTTTTTCTTTCTTTTTTATGAGGATCCATAGCTCCATGTTTCATGGTGGCAAGTTTGGAAAGGCCATTTTGTGTCCCAATCGCCTCGTTTGAGGTGGATAACATGTCATGCTGTTCTTGCCTTGGATTTTGCATTCGATACTCTCTTCATGTTTAATGGGCTCATTTCCTGAGTTCCTGCATTTTTAAGCACTGTGGGAGGACCAGTTTCAGTGGCAGCCAAGAAGATTGGACTCTTTTGGAATGAGTGGGCTGATTCAACACCGGCCCATTTGAAGCGTAGCTGGTTGGGTCAAGCCTTCTGTTAGACTGCCCAGCATTTCCAGTCACTGCAGAGGTAAAGGGAAACCCAGTCAGTTCAGATGCTTGTGATCGGGCTCAAAGTTCCAATCGGCCTCATTTTGGGTCATATGGGGATGTTGGAGGACGAGCCGGAGGAAGATAAAGAAGAGCCGGAGGAGAAGGTGTCAGACAAGGAGGATGAGAAGGAGGATGACAAGGAGTCAGAAAAAGAGGACGAGAAGGAAGATGAAAAGGAGTCAGAAAAGGAAGATGAGAAGGAGGAGGACAAAGCATCGGAGAAGGCATCGGAGAAGGCATCAGACAAAGCATCCGACAAGGCGTCGGACAAGGCATCGGACAAGGAAGATGAGGACGAAGAGATGCCGGAAAAGCAGGACAGGAATGGGCAACGCTTCCTGATTTATCCTCCTCTTGGCTATACTGGGTGCTAAGTACTGGCTTAGTTAGCAGGAGCCCTCTCCTTCGAATGAAGGGCCTTTGTTACTTTTACTCAGGGTTCCAGGAGTTTTCCCTCAGTCTTATTTCCTGAGTTCAGGGACTAGTTTTGCCCAACCCACTCAGGAAGTGAGGCAATAAGTGGCCCATGTTCAGAATAGTGACTAGATTGCTCCCCCAGCTACTCGTAATCAGTAAAACCCCGCATAAACTTGATGTTTGCCGTCGGTATCTGAGAGCCACCTACCCCAGTTGGAATTATGGGTGTGTCGTGTTTTTAGGGGACCCCTCAAAGTTGTAGTTTCCCGGTGGTTTTCCTTCAAACAAACCCCAAAAAGGGTAACATCAGAAAAGACAGACCCCTCTACGAAGCTTCCAGAGCTTCCTCCGACTTGGAGACTCTGACCGCTAGGAGCCCGCCAAAGAGCCGCTGGGCCGAGACGAGTGGGGAGCTTCCGAAAGGTCGGCCCATTTTCGGCAGAGCTTCCATGGTAGGTCTCCCAGCTCAGAATCATATGGCCGTGGTTGTCAAAACCAATCGGATCCCATTTTGGTTGGTAGGTGAATTCACCACCCATTTCAGAACCTATTTTGGTGGGGATTGGGATGTTCACAGGGGGTACGGGATTTTGACTGATGGCCATATGTTCAGCTTGGCGCGACTTTGGGGGGTCCGTGCCTCGTCAAGTTTTAGGAGTCGGTACTGCGGATGGTTTCGAAATCCATTTCGCGCCGCTTCGAAATCCTGGTTGAAGCCATCCCTTGATAATTGCAGGGGAATCGAATCATTCCCTTGCTTGGGTTTCTTAGGTGCTGCGAAATGGTTTTGGTCCAGCCGCAGAAATGGTCTCCCAGCTCACTCCCTGAGTTCCGTTTCTCGGACTTGATCGTCACTTCTGCTTTTTCGTCTTTTTTTTTGGGGGCGGGGGTGTTGGTGGCCATTTTGCAGGTAACGCAACAGCTTGGTTACTTGCTTTGACCTCTTTTTTTTCTTGGGGGGGGGGCAAGACCATTTCAGTGCTGAATGAAGAGTTCGGACGATGTGTTTGGCCAATCCACTTGGGAGGTGAGCCATAGTGTGGATGCTTGCGACATCTACAGTTTGAGCAAAAAGCAATAGTCCGGGAACCTGTTGTTCATTTGGAGAGGACCCGGGGGGGGGGCCTATCCAACATCACAGAAAAATTAGGCGGCCACACCAATTGAACCAACTGATTTGGACCCCCAAATGGTGTTCGATTGTTTTTGTTTTGATTTTGCGCTTGTTACCCACCCCAAAAGAGGTATCCTGAAAAACCCACGCCCGCTCTTGGTCTGTCGTAAGCGCTTGAAGGATGTCTGCCGCAACCACCATTAGCTGTGAAGAAGCTGTAGGCTTGTCAGCGAACAGATGCACTTGTGTGCTGGGTCAGGGCTGCCAGGAGGCGAAACCAAATTGAAAATGGGCTCCTTCAGTCGTCCACACGTGGGTGGACGGAATCCTGCACCACTTTGAAGCCATAGGAAATCATTGTTGTTTGGTATTTACAAAGGAATAACTTTTCCAGGGTTGCTCAAATGGTGCAGGATTTCGCCCACCCATAGTAGCTTGAATTGGCATTGGGGAAAAACCATGGCTCCCAGCCAGAACACTGTGTTTATTGTACTTGGCAAGTGTTTTTGGCAAGTGTTCTTGGCAACCATGCACAGTAGTTAGTGGATCCAGCTGTTCGTTTTTTGTTTCTGTTTGTCGTTTTTTGGTGCTGTTCATGTGGCTATGCATTTTGAAAAGTGGTTGGTGGACACAAATCCCCACCTAAATCATGTGAGGCAGCAAAAAATAAGCCGTATGTTTGTCTTGTTCTTGTGGCTTCTTCTTTTCGTTCTTGTTTTTTGGGTTCTGTTCATGTGTAGGAGGCCGCAACAGAAAGTCAGAGCTGTTTTGCACGCCGATGCCAAGGGTGGCTTTGAGTGTTCGTTAGGCCGGAGAAGAGCGACTCGGAGTCCGAGAAGGAGAAAGGCCCGGGTGACTTCCTCAGGTCCAGGGTTGCTTCCCTCAGTTGTCCAAAGCGAATCGACCTTTTGGAAAACCTTTTGGTTTTTGTGCTGTCTTGGCAAACATTTTTGGTGGAGGTCCCAAAAGGCGATCACCTATGTCCAGGTGCTTTGGGCAAGTGAGTTCCTGTTGTCCTTGTTTCGGGGTTTTGGGCTCCCCTTTAAGTTAAAGTCGACCAAAAAATGGATGCCCAAGTAGTTGGCTTTCCACTAGTTCCCCCAGCTAGGTGCCCGTTCTTTAACCCCTTTTTTTTCGTTTTTTTGGGAGGGTTTCCCTATTACAAAAAGAAGAAAATACACCAGCATAGACCCCAGATAGCACACCACGGCTACGAACCATGACGCAGCATTATCATGATGATGTAGACAGCACCATGATGATACCACAGCCATTGAGCATGGTGCGCTACAAACACGCATACAACGCCACAATGAGTTCAGCAGCATAATGATGATGTTGAGAGCATCATGCTGATACAGTTCTGATGAGTTCGACAGCATCATGATGATGCGGACAGCATCATGATGATGCGGACAGCATCATGGTGATGCAAACAGCATCATGCTGATGGCAAAGGCAGCATCACGATGATACAGCCACGAACCATCTTGCGACAGCGTATCAGCATCATCCTGATGTTGACAGCATCACGGCGCCACTACAACCACAAACCATAACGCAGCATCGCAGTGACCCCAGTTGCATCATGACGTGGTTGGGGACATCATGACGATACACCAGCCACGAACCGTTACGCGCGAACAGCATCCACCAGCACCCCAAACTGCGTGTCCTCCACCAGCACCCCAAACTGCATGCCCCCTAGCACCAGGCCGTCAAGCTCGCAAAACAGCATCCACCGGCACCCCAAACTGCACGCCCCCTAGCACCCGGCCGTCAAGCTCGCAAAGCAGCATCCACCAGCACCCCAAACCGCATCCACCAGCACCCCAAACTGCATGCCCCTTAGCACCCGGCCGTCAAGCTCGCAAAGCAGCATCCACCAGCACCCCAAACTGCATGCCCCTTAGCGCTCGGCCGTCAAGCTCGCAAAGCAGCATCCACCAGCACCCCCAAACTGCATGCCCCCTAACACCCGGCCGTCAAGCTTGGAAAGCAGCATCCACCAGCACCCCAAATTGCATGCCCCCTAGCACCCGGCCCTCAATCTCGCAAATCACTTTCCACTCTTTATTAGAAGTTAGAACCCCTATAGCTTTCAGCTATCTGGGGAAAAACAAAAAGAAACAGAAACACGACAAACCATGAAAAAGACAATGTACTCACTTATTCTAACCTCTTAACTCTGGAGGACCTAGTTTTAGATAGCCCCAGGAAGCAACCAGTGTTGCTTCACCTTTTTGTTGTTTCGTCTTTTGGGTTTTGGGTTCCGATTCCTTTAGCATGGTTGTAGTTGGGAAACTTGTTACATGTTTGCTTATTGTGGTTTAGTGGTTTCTTCACGTTGCTTCCTCTACTAGGTCCCCCAGTAGTGCCCTTTCTCTCCCCTTTGTTTGGAGAGGGTTCCCCCATAAAAAAAAATAAATAAAGAATACGACAAACCATAAAGAAGCTGGTACCCTTATTCTATCCTCTCAAATCTGGAGGACCTAGTTTTAGATAGCCCCAGGAAGCAACCAGTGGGTTGCTTCACCTCTTTTTTTTGTTTTTTGTTGTTGGCATTTTTCTTTTTTGCTTATCGTGGTTTAGTGGGAAATCCTTACTTAGCTGCTAAAATTGAAATCTTTGTTCCCCTTCCAACGTCAGCCATGTTAAAGTCAACCACCAAAGAAAGAGTGCCGATTATATTTTTTCCCATGGTCACTGGGCATTTGAGAACCGTTTCAGCCTTCGCCGTGGTTGGTATCGTCGTAGCTTTATAGTTTTTTGTTGGATCTGTTATTGGTTGGCGGAGGCGGAGGGCTGCAAACAACAATATGTCTTACTACCGTAATGGTTGGAAAAAACAACAGCATACATTTCCTTTCAGGCAACAAGTGCTGTTGAAAAATGATGCACCCGGTCCCAAACCCGGCTTTCAACCTTTGGTTTGGCCCAAGTTCAGTCGAAGTTCGAAAGGATTCGCCTAGGAGGATCTGTACCCAGTCTCTTTGTTTTTTGGCCTGGGTGGACTTTGTATATTATGAGTTCCCTATGTCACTTATCTTCTGGACAAGTGAGGGGCAGTGCCCCAAACCTAAGGCTCCTGCGTTTTCCCTTTTGTGGGTGGTGTGAACTGTCACAATTGGTCGGAAAACCTGAGCTTCCTTTTGGTGGGGTGATGGTTTGTCCAGCCTGGAATCCTTGTTGGCCGGTACCCGGTGGGTTCATGGCCAACTGTCCATGTTGAATGTCAGCGTCACGGAGATCATAGGTGCGGCAGGGCATGTTTTTGGGTGCGTTCTTCTTGGCATGTTGTTTGGAGATAAGCTACAGGCCATCACCCTGATTGAAGCACCCTTTCAGGTTCTATTGCAAACATGTTCTTTGGACTCCCCTCCAAATTAAGCACTTGACGCCCCAAACGGAGGTCCTTTCCGCGAAATGCGTTGAAACGGATTGGTTTTGGGACTTCAGGTTAGTCTCGTGGTCAGGCTGCGCCAAGAATGCCATGCATTCCTATCCTTGTTGCTTGAAGTCTGCCTGTCAGTTGCCATCTGAATTCAATTCATTACCCGCCGCCCGCTTCTATCAGCTAGGTCCCCCAGTAGTGCCCTTTGACCCTTTTTTTGATTGGGAGGTTCCCCTACTAAACTAGACTACAAAAAAGACGGTACCCTTGTTCTAACCTCTCTACTGGAGGACCTAGTCAGCCTCCCCAACAGAAGTCGGCTCCATGTAGTCCCGTAGTCGAGGCACCTCAAAAAGCGGCTAGGAAGACCCAAGCCGGAAGGGTTTCCAGTTGTCAGATATTCTCAGATCAGAGAACCTGACCTGGGGAACTTCATTGATTTTTCAGCATGTTGGAACTCAGCTTTAGAGGGCCTTTGGGCTGAGAGGTGCTTCATTTGACACCCCTGTTCGTGGGTTCAGTACCCACTGCAAGCAGAAGCAACCAGAAATGGCCTCCACCCGCTCTCCAAAAAACACAAACACACACAGACACAGCTCCAGCCAGTGGCCGACTCGTCTTTCACATCTCAAGTTTCCGCGTCAAAGTGACATGGTTGCTCTCAGCTGTTCAAGAAAAAACGCCCGCACCCGAAGTGTAATTAATAAGGTTAACCCCGAATGAGCAAGCCCCCTTTTTTTTCCTCGGGGATTCTCCCTTAGTAGTGGGAAATCCGGATCACTTTTGTGGGGCCCGACACCCCCCTAGTAGCTGCCTCTCGCCAGGCACAATTTGTCATCCGTCCAGCAACCTTGAAGTGAGTTTCTCCAACCAAAGCTTAAACCCAGACCTCCAGTGCACAGGGAAGAAGGACGCCTTCTTTTTCGTAGTCGGCTGGTTGTTCTGTTTTAAAAGGAACATCCGCTTAAGCAAAAAAGTCACGGCACCACTGGTAAACAGCGAGTTCATCCACCCCGTCCCCGCCGTGACCCACAAACCGCGTCAAGCCGCGTCATTTGACGCGCCCGGCCGGCGGCCGGCGGCCGGCCGCCGGGTCTGCGTGCCATGGATGGAATCTGAGCGCGTGGAATGCTCCTGCTGGGAGAACCAAGTGCTGAGGCCCGGCTTTTTGTTTGACACGTGGACGTTTGCTAAATTTGAGGTTTAGGGCTGGTGTGAGCCTGGCGTTTCATGTATCTTATACATGATACATATGTACGTGTACATATATGTATGTACGCGTGTGTGTGTGTGTGTGTGTGTGTGTGTGTGTGTGTGTGTGTGTGTGTGTGTGTGTGTGTGTGTGTGTGTGTGTGTGTGTGTGTGTGTGTGTGTGTGTGTGTGTGTGTGTGTGTGTGTGTGTGTGTGTGTGTGTGTGTCTGTGTCTGTGTCTGTGTGTCTGTGTCTGTGTCTGTGTCTGTGTCTGTGTCTGTGTCTGTGTCTGTGTCTGTGTGTGTCTGTGTCTGTGTCTGTGTCTGTGTCTGTGTCTGTGTCTGTGTCTGTGTGTCTGTGTCTGTGTCTGTGTCTGTGTCTGTGTCTGTGTCTGTGTCTGTGTCTGTGTCTGTGTCTGTGTCTGTGTCTGTGTCTGTGTCTGTGTCTGTGTCTGTGTCTGTGTCTGTGTCTGTGTCTGTGTCTGTGTCTGTGTCTGTGTCTGTGTCTGTGTCTGTGTCTGTGTCTGTGTCTGTGTCTGTGTCTGTGTCTGTGTCTGTGTCTGTGTCTGTGTCTGTGTCTGTGTCTGTGTCTGTGTCTGTGTCTGTGTCTGTGTCTGTGTCTGTGTCTGTGTCTGTGTCTGTGTCTGTGTCTGTGTCTGTGTCTGTGTCTGTGTCTGTGTCTGTGTCTGTGTCTGTGTCTGTGTCTGTGTCTGTGTCTGTGTCTGTGTCTGTGTCTGTGTCTGTGTCTGTGTCTGTGTCTGTGTCATGTCTGTGTCTGTGTCTGTGTCTGTGTCTGTGTCTGTGTCTGTGTCTGTGTCTGTGTCTGTGTCTGTGTCTGTGTCTGTGTCTGTGTCTGTGTCTGTGTCTGTGTCTGTGTCTGTGTCTGTGTCTGTGTCTGTGTCTGTGTCTGTGTGTCTGTGTCTGTGTCTGTGTCTGTGTCTGTGTCTGTGTCTGTGTCTGTGTCTGTGTCTGTGTCTGTGTCTGTGTCTGTGTCTGTGTCTGTGTCTGTGTCTGTGTCTGTGTCTGTGTCTGTGTCTGTGTCTGTGTCTGTGTCTGTGTCTGTGTCTGTGTCTGTGTCTGTGTCTGTGTCTGTGTCTGTGTCTGTGTCTGTGTCTGTGTCTGTGTCTGTGTCTGTGTCTGTGTCTGTGTCTGTGTCTGTGTCTGTGTCTGTGTCTGTGTCTGTGTCTGTGTCTGTGTCTGTGTCTGTGTCTGTGTCTGTGTCTGTGTCTGTGTCTGTGTTTGTGTGTGTGCGTGCGCGCATTTTTATATACACATAGATCTATATGTATATATATTATATATGGGATATATTGTTGCATGTATCCATTCTGCTTTCTTACGCAAGCCGGACACGCAACAGGGATAGACCCCACAGGTAAGGCCGAGCAATACAATCGAACCCCCTTGGCGTATACGTAAGGTAGGCAGGTTGACTAAGCATCAACCAGAATCTCAAAATATGTTTTTGTTTGTCAAGTTTAGCGGCGCCCCGGCTTTCCCAAGGGGGGTTTGGAGTTATGGTTGCTTTTTATGCCACCAACTTAAGCTTGTAGTGCGCAGTAGGTACCCCGTACATAAGTGGTATATCACCTTCCTACTGTTGATGGACGAAATCCTGCACCACCTAAGACACCCTGGAAATACCCACAAGCAATGGTTTCACCCATGGTGTGATTTCAAGGTGCGAACTGGATTTCGCAACCATCCACAGCAAGAAATTCTACAGAACCCTAAAGAACTCTAGGGAACCCTCAGGAAACCTAGGGCTCTCAACTACCCACCCGACCCCTTGAAGATTCCTAATTATTGGATCTGTACAAGTGGTATATAACCTTCCAACAGATTGATGATATTTTATATGTCCCTTCTGAGTTGTAAAGGGAATCGATTCCACTGCTGATTTGTTCCAGGCGGCTTCAGCAAACGGAAGTAGCTTTCATATCTCCAAAGCAGATACCTGAACTTGATTGCTATTGGGTTGAGCCTTTAGACTTTACCTGTGTGGAACATCAAGTTGGTTCCCATTGAACGCCGGAAAAGTTGTCCACTTTTTTCCGGGCTCCTTAAAAGATACATTTTGCCCATTTGAAACATGGCTTTTTCCACCAAAGTAAAGGGAAACCACCATTTACAAGGCAATGTTCAGGTGTCTCATGTAAGGACCCCTGTTTTTGCAGATGGGTTAACTGCTCAGGGAACTCCGGCGCCAGCAAACTCCGGCGCCAGGCTGGTTCCAGGCTTGGAGATCCACAGCGCCTGGTTCGGGCACCCGGACGACGAGAAGCGGCGCCAGGAGGTCTCCGAGCAGCTGCGGGGCAAGGACGGGGGCAAGCCGCCACACCTCCGATGGGTACCTGGGGTTCCCTAAAATTCTCGTTTGGGGCTTTTAGGTGTTTAGGGTTCTCCAGGGTTTTAGGGTTCCCAGAATTTCCTGGGGTTTTGGGGATCTTTGGGGTTAACCTGGGGTTTCCTAGGTTTGCCTAGGGTTTTGCGGAATTGTCTCTTGTTCCTGAGGGTTCCTTACTATGGCTACTGGTGGATGGTTGCGAAATCCCAGGGTAGATGAGAGCCCTAGGATGCATTCGGGTTCTCAAAGGTTTCTTAGTTCCTTGCCGTGGATGGTCGCAATCGAAATCCGCGAGTCGTGCACCGAAACGAAACCATGGTTGAAACCAGAACGTTTGTTGGCAATTTTAGTATTTACAATCATGTCCATGTGTCTTAGGTGGTGCACGATTTTTTGTCCGTCCACAGTATTAAGGTCTCCTGATCTAGAAATTGCACCCAAAAGGAATTGCAGTAGTCTCTATATAATCGACCTAGCCCCTAATGATGTTGATACCATGTTTGGGTTGGATCTTGGGACTTTAGCTTTTTGGTGAAACGTTGGGGATTTTCCGTCTTGGACCCACAAACAATTAAACTTGCAGAGGGGCCAACAGCAACCAAGAAGTCGTGTTGGTTTATTTGCCCCTGTTGGTTTGTTAAGGGAACCTATCACTACTGGGCATATTTGTATTTTTTCTAGGGGACATGGGCAAATGGAGAAGGAACCCCAAGTAAATGGTTAGGCATATAGTCAGGCCCCTGTGCAGTTTATTTTGTTCAAACGGGGCAGGGTAATTGGTTTGCTTTATTCCAGGCCCACTATTTGGATCTATTTGGCACGACCGTGTCGTTGTTTTCTGCTCTTGGGTACTACATGGTTGAAGGGTCCTTCCTTCTTGTAACCCTCAACATCCCTTGCGCCATGGAACTCTGCGGCTGGATGTCACCCTCGTTTCAACAGGTCATGGAGCGTCCAAAAAAGAAAATCGGCTTCCATCGCTCACCTGTCAACATCCACATACTTGGATGGGGGGATGTGATCCGATGAGCATCGCAGGAGTCAGTGTACCAAACCCCAACAACCAATGCCTTATTGAAGAAGTTTGCATTCACCATGCAACTCGACTCACGCCGGTAAATGCATTTTTTTGAGCCTTTTGAACAAAGATTGAGGTTCACTGCTGCAGTCTCCCACTCTCACCCTCTTCGCCGCAGCGGGGTGCGCATGCGTTAAACCATGAAAACCCCTACAGCCTTGTGGTTCCCCTTTCGCCCCAATTTGGGTACCCACAACAACCACAGTGGGTCTCACAAAAACCACGTGGGTCCCCACAAAAACGCGTGGGTCCCCACAAAACCAGGTGGGTCCCACGTATGTGTACACCGCCTCGGTGTTTTTTGGCCTTCGCAGCCCGGGTCCGAGAGTCGTCAGGAGTGGGTGCACGCCTCCGTGCAGACCTTCGGCGACCCAGCGGTGGGCAGCCGCAAGAAGCTTTGGGCCCAGTGCAGCTACCGATGGCTCGAGGCGCGAATTCGCGTGTGCGCGTCGAAAACGTCGCAGGGGCACTTTGAGGCTTCAGCCCGAAAATGGGGTTCAAGAAAAGCCAAATGGAAGCCAACAGTCCAGTGCTCATTTGTCGACTCATGTTAGATGGACATATGACAAAGCATGTTTGACAACAGGGGACTTTCCAGACGCGGAAACAAGCACTCGTGTATTTCAAGGGTTTGCGCCACTCCCTCGGCCCGACCCAGTTCAGAGCTTCACGCTATGCTGGGTGCTTGGTTTGCAAGTCAATTCCCTCACACAAGTGTAATATTGTGTGTCTCTAAATTAGAGCCTATCCAAGCGGTTGGTTTCCTTAAGACAAAAGAAATGGTTTTCTGTTTTGAGACATCCCATACACAAATGTGTATGTCTTCTCATGGTGAATGCCTCAAGATGGGCGGTTTCCCTTCAAGGAATTCTAAAGAGGCCTCCACAGGAAACCTCCCAAATCAGAGTTTTCACAATAGAGGATCCCTCGCTGTTTGACTATTTTAAAGGGAGCCAAAGAAGAAACCAACCGTCTTTAGGGGTCCAATTCTCAACTTTGAGAACGCCGAAATGGCCTAATGGGACACCCAAATGGAACCTGTCTTTTTGAATTCCCCCAAACACAGACTCCAAAAGGGGTACCGAGCCTCAAGACACGCGAATTTTCTTCGCCCCTCGGCGAAGGAGGAAGAGGAACTGATCTTTACACAGCTGGCAGAGAAGGCAGCACGGTACCTGGACGCCAGGGATGCGGAGGCGAGCTGGATTACACCCAGAAAGGGGGACCCCCATTCGCAGATCTGGCGCCAGGCACCCCCGAAGCTCCTGGCTTTCCCTTTTTTGGACCTCCAGCAGTGACATCTTGTTCTGAAAGCCACCACTAGGTCCCCCAGCTAGGTGCCCTTTCTCACCCCCTTTTTGGTTGGTCTTGGGTTCCCCTGCTAACATGGACTACAGAAAAAAGTTGGTACCCTTATTCTAACCTCACTACTGGAGGACCTAGACTCAAGTGCTCAACTTTCGAAGTGGAAATCCAGTGACCGAACACACACCTGGAACAAGACGTGCTTTACCATGGAGCTGCGCTGGGAGGGAGGGGGTGGTAGGAGCAGCTTTTCTGGTCGGAGGGTGAAGGAACAGTGGCAGGGCGAACCCGTCAGGTTGGTGGTTTGGATTTGGAGTTGAAGGGGTCCCTGGCTTTTGTAGAGGGTTTAGTTGGGAAACCAGCCCTGAACAACAGAATCATCACCAATTAGAGTGATGCTGATTTTTCTTCGATGAGGTCTGCCAACTTGTCTAAATGATTTGGACCGTGTTGCATTTGGATTTTGCACAATCATTCTAACTTGTTCAGGATGCATCCTTCCACTAATCAATATGGAACGCGACGGCGTGTCCCTTCAAAAGGAAAATTGTCCTCCAAGACCCCAGAACGTCAGGTTCCATGTTAATTGGTGGGAGGGTAGTTGTTGTGTAAAAAGCATTTGACTTGCCCTATCCAAATATTTTTTGGTTTGGCTTTAGGCTCCTGGAAGGTTTCCCGGAGGGTTTGGGGATGGACTGTTGACAGGGTTTTGTGCTTGTTCAACCACCCACCTGTGAGCCAAGCAACCTGCAGAAACCGTGGTCTAGTTTATAGATATTGTTGGCCAGGGGGGGCTCTTTGATGAAAGCTCAGTCTCGCTATCAATTTCTGGGCATTCCTTGAGGGCCTTGCTGGCAGTTTGGCTCCTTGCTTGGGTTTGGAGTTTATGGTGCCTTTCCAGTTGGTTTCGGCAAGAGCCATTTTTAACTTCCCAGAACATCAGCTCAAATCACTTGGTCAGTGTTGCCTGACCAATGTCATCAAGTAACACCCATTTATGAGAAGCCACCCCCCGCTTCATCATCCAATCAAAGTACCCCTTACTAGAGCTGCGCAAATGCTACCAAGCTAGGCATCTCCCTCGGCACTCATTGGCGTTAAGGCCCTTGGAAGCCCCTTTGACACTAACTCCAGAAACCCAGCAGAACCAGCAGGTTTTTGAAAAGAACGATGGTTGAAAAGAATGGGGAATCAACCCCTAGACTAACGTGCTTCCTGCTTTTGCTAAGAGCGCGCTCAGCTGCTTTGATTGTCTCAAAGGCCAGGCACACCCTGAGCCTTAAGCCTCGTTTAATGCCTAGGTCCACCAGCTAGGTGCCCTTTCTCACCCCTTTTTGGGGTTCGTTCCCCTACTAAAATAGACTGCAGAGAAAAAAAGGGTCCCTTGTTCTAACCTCTCTACTGGAGGACCTGGATGCCTTTGGCTGAAGCGGCTTATGTTGGGGGTGCTTCCGCTCTGGGGTGTGTGTCCCACCTCAAAATCTGGAGGGCATGGTCAGCCTTAAGCCCTGAAGGCCTCATGGGTCATATGGGGGTGTCTTCACTCCGGCCCGGGGTTTCTAACTGTCCCGTGGTTGTAAAGAGAACGCTGGATTTTTTTCGCCAGGGGGCGTATCCGAAAATGTAGGGGCTGAGTTTGTTTCTGATGCCTCAGCCTTATATGGCCATGTCAATGGGACCAAACTGAGACCAAAGTCGGACACGCCCAGGGTTGTGGGATCACGGGGTTTATTCCCACTGTGTGCAAGTTGGAATCTCCCCCTTTATATGGGGTGTTAGTCTTTGGGAAGCCCTTTTTGTTGTATCACAGAAGTGGTCATTTCCCACAACCCTGTCTGATATTTTCACCTCTGCGGATTTCGAGTTCTGGCCTGGCAGGGCCTGACAGCAACCAATGACTACTAGGTGTGTTTCAGTAGCCCTTTTACCCTTTTTTGGGGGAGGGTTCCCCTACAAAATAGACGACAGAAAAAGAAGGGTACCCTTATTCTAACCTCTCTACGAGAGAACCTAGACTAACATCCAGGGAAAACATGTGAGTGGAGATCTCAGTTGCGCCTTCGAAAGGTCGCTCCGCTCTCGCAGATTCGCAGGACCTGCAGAAGCTTTGGGCGGCCCTACCGGACCTGCCAAAGCCTGAGAAAGTTTCGATCCGAAAGCATCGGCTGGGACTTGGAGTGGCTTGGGAATCGACTTCACTACTGGATCTGCCTCCTTCTTTTTTTCAGGGGGCTTAATCAAATGGAAGTTTGCTGAATGAGTAGTTGGGTGGCCCTATTATCTTGTTTCAAAGGCTCGGTACTTTGAACCGGGAAGCCGAAAGGGAACTCGCCGTTTTGGGGGGTTCCCCCAGAGACAAAACCCAGTTCTTCCAGGATTCCCCTGACGAACTGGCAGGTTGACCCCGAAGCTATCGCTTCAGATGGAGTTTGGGTTTCGCCTATGCTCCACTCTTGCCATTCGAGAGTTGGGAGACATTAGATGGCGCAATGTCTTCATGTTGGTTTGGTCATCACAGAATCATGAGCCATTTGTTTTCACCCTGGTGTAGTGTGTTTGTTTGCTATTCTGTTCGGTCCATGCCTGGTAACACGCTGCAAACAGCACAGTTGGCAACACATCAAGGGATGAAACTAGCTTGCAAACCTTCAACATATGTTCAAATCTCGCTTGGGTGGACCTCGGGTAAACGGTCTTTTCTGGTTTTGCTTGCCAGCCAACAACATGTGTTTACCCTTTTGCCAATCTCTTCGGAGCAACCCTGTACAACCTAGGTGGCCAACCTCAAACTATTTCGAAAGTTGTCGGGTTTAGGCAACTCCAGGTTTAGGCAAACGGTTGGGGTCTTCCTTCTAAAAGGTTCAACTGGCTCCGCATGCACATCACCATGCCCAAGATTTCAGCACTTCCCTGCAGATAAACGCGGAACCCAGAAAACCCAGAAAACCATCCGTTTTCGAGGAACCGCCGTTTTGGGGGACCCCCTTTTTTGGCTCCATCTTAATTTGTAGGAGGGTATTGCAAACGATCATTTTTTTGGGGGGTTACCCGCTTGTTAAGCTCTATCTAAAACATGTTGCGGGGAATACCTGTTGGGACCCGCCCAGTTTTTCAGTGACACCCTGTTTCCCTGATTAGTTTCTGGGTTCCCCCACGAAAAAAGGTCACACAAAGCACATATTAGGTCAGCTTTGTCTACCAGGCTCTGTGAAGATCTGGGGTCCGGATGGTCCATGCCGCACCGCCTTAGAGATCCTTAGAATGATTCAGGGTTGTGGGATCACTCGGGGCTTTTCCCCACTTCTGTGATACAAGTTGGAATCTCCCTTTTTATATGGGGGGTTAGTCTTTGGGGTTCGGCCCTTGTTGTATCACAGAAGTGGATTCCATTTCCCACAGCCCTGGAATGGTTCGCCTCCCAAGGATTTTTGCCAACCAAAGTTATGGTTTCGATCATGGCTTCATGTCGGTGGTGCCAGAAGCGGATATCGATTTCAACCACGGAAAGGATGCCTCAAGGAACCCAGCTAAAATCCCATTTAAAACCAACTGTGGATGAACGAAATCCATTTCGCACTACTTTGAATCATGGTTGAAACCATATGGTTTTGATGGTAGTTACAGGGGAATCATACTTCCAGGGCTTCTTAGGTGGTGCGAAATGGATTTCGTCCACACACAGTAAAGCTCTCAACTACCCACCCTCGTTGTGCCCAGCCTTGGGGATGTCCGGTTTAGGGATACGTCTCCCTGGTGCCACGAGGACCCCATCGGATCCCTCGGCGTCAGTCTGGGAGCAGCAGATGGAGATCTTAGCGCAGCACCTGTCCTCGCCCTTGGCGGTACAGGGCCTCCTGTACCTCTCCGAGCGTCTCGCAATAGAAGCACGTGCAGTTGCAAGGCTTTCTTGTTTGCTCAAGTTTCGGTTCCCATTTTTAATTACTGCCCCAAAAGGTTAACCTTTAATCTCTGGGTCCCTAGGGGGCAAATGAGAACTCACTCACATTTTCTTCCTGGCACCAGCAGGGAATGAGGGAATGACCCCTTTCAGCCATCCCCGCGGTTTCCTTCAAGGGAATCCCCAGGTTTATTCCCTCATTTCCGAATGAAGCTTTGACACCCTGCCAGGCCAGAGTAATCCGCACAAAAGGTGCTAGGCACGTTTTGGATTTGGATCATTTTAGTGGTAGACTCAGTTGTCCAAAGCCGACCTTTTGACCTTTTGGGTTTCTCATGTTGGTCCATCTTTAGTAAAGCTCCCCAAAGGTAAACCTTTTATTTTCCTGGTCCTTTGGGCAAGCGAGTAGATAAACAAAATCTGACTTGTTTTGCCAGTCGGAAGTGAGGCTTAGGCAAGGAACAGGCCCCTAGATTGCACACAGTGGTCTTACTTAAACCTTTTAGCTTTGAGGTGAATCTCCTTTTTGGTGTAAAAGGGACATAAACCGGGAGCCCTGACAGAAACTAGGGAAAGAACACCTTCAAGCTGTCGCCAACACTATATTTAGAACATGGTAGAGTAGGCAAAGTAGGAGACACAACTTCACTGTTGTTGGCGTGTTTTTGGGTTTTCAGGTTCTGTTCATTTTCGTTGGGGGGCACAAAACTCAAGGTTTGCTACCATACCAAGGGTTGGAAGATAAGCAGAAATAACATTAGTTTTTGGAGTCGTTCAGACGTCGGCAAGGGAACGGGGCATCCTCGAGTCTTGCATTACACACAGGAATGTTGCCCAAGGATCATGTCCAAAACACATGCCGAGATGAATCGGCTTCTTATTTGGCTCAGGGTTGAAAAACGGATTTCTTGCCCGGGTCCGTTTCAGGACTTGGGTACTTGGGTGTGCCTTGTTTTCGATCCTCTTTCTTGGGTTGCCTTGAATCATTGAAGCCAAAGAGAACTCCCCAGTCTTTCTGATTAAAGACAACTTGTGGTTGTTCATGTTGTTAGATAAATGTTTGCCGTTTCTCATTTTGAGATTCTCATTTTTCTTGGGTTGAAAGCGAGGGTTTTCAGCCACAGCCAAACGGCCGTTTCTCATTTTGTACGTGAGTGGAAGGGTCAAGTGTCAAACGAACCTGAAGCAACAAGTCGGGTCCCGAAGCTTTGCGCGCTGCTGGACGAGCATAGCAAGAAGTGCCGAAGCACGGAACAAAAAGCGCCAGTTCACATTTCTCCAGCCCCGGCTTCAGCCAAGTGCAAGCAGTGCAATTGATGCCAAGTCCCCGTTCCGGGCGGACTTGGACCCAGGTGCCGGCGCCGTGTCTTCGTTAGCGCGGCTTGCAGCCTAGCGCCTCGATGGCAAAACTTGGACTTCGGAGTCCACCCGACCGGAAATGGGCCGTGGGGCTTGTTTTTGACCTGGCATGCGTAGCTGTAAGCCGTAAGTTTTCCATGATTTCTATGTCCCAGTAGTTCCCTTTGAGCAACTTTTTTGGGGTTTTGGGTTCCCCTACTAAAATAGACAAACAAGAAACAAGTTGGCACCAACTTATTCTAACCTCTCTAATCTGGAGGACCTAGTATTTGTTTCTTACTCCATGACTTCCTGGACTTGAGTGAATTTTTTGGAGGACCATTTTTGTGGTAAACAACTGGCTTGTTTCTGTTTGTTGCCAATCCACTCAAGAAGTGATTCTTTGGACACATGTTGTCACAATTGCTGCTCTGATTTAGTGAAACCATAAATACCTAAAGCGCCATCCATAAGTGGAATTATGTTTGTCACCCCAACCACCACATCCACCACTCCATCCACCCCACCCATGCACTCATCTTGACTCCACCGCCCACCCCACCTCCGCACATGCCCACCCACCCACCCCCTTCCAACCCACCCGACCACCACCCACCCGACCACCCGACCACCCGCCTCCCTAGGCCCGGGGCTTCCCCTTCGCCTTCTGCGCGGCCCGGGCCGCGCAGAGCCTCGCGCGTGCGCTCCGCGCCGCGGAGTTCTCGGCGCCGGATGGCCTCACCGACGCCATGGCCAGCCGCGAGGAGGCGCGCGGAGGTCGCGGATGTCGCTCGGCTCGGGGCGTTCGAAGCCGGGGGCTCGTCCTTTTCTAGGTCCTCTAGTAGTGCCCTTGTCAACCCCGTTTTGGGGGAGGGTCCCTAGTGGTGCTTTTTTTTTTACGGTTTTGGGTTCCCCCGGGCCCCCCCCGGGCTCCCCCGGGCGGCCCCGCCCCGCCCGGGCCCCCCCAGCCCCCCTACTAAAATAGACAGAACAGAAAAACAAGTTGGTATCCTGATTCTAACCCCTCTACTGGAGGACCTTTCTTTTGTGGGGCCCGGTGCTCAGCAGGAGGCCTGGTGGTTTGCAATGTTGGCCCCAGATTGATAAACCCCTGTTTATTAATAATTATGGGGGTGTCCCTGGCTTTAGTGGGGATTTATCACTTTTGGAGGGGAACACGCCCACATTAATAAAGAAGGGTTTATTAATCCGGGGTCAACATTAGTAAAAAGGGGCAGGGTATTTAGTGGGTGACAACCACGGCTACAACCCACTTACCATGGTTGTAAGTCTCCTTTGCGTATTATAAGGTACTAAGGTACACTCCCTCAACATGGAAGCTCCGCAGAAGGCCTTTGTAAATGGAACCGAGTCTTAAGGGGTTCTGGGAGCGTCCATGGAATCACTTGGGGCAGGGTACTTGGATGCTCGGTAAGTGCCAATTGGGGCATAACCACCTAATAGCAAGGTTAACTCCACTGAACGGGGGACTTATGAGTGGGTTACAAAGTATTGGACCCCTCCAATGGAGAATGACAAGAGGTGTGTGTCTTTTCGGTACAACAGGAAACCCGCGTGCCCCAAGAAAAAAAACATGCCCATGCAGAGCTACTTAAAGCTAATTTTCAGAATTGCATAAAGATTGGGAACACCTTCAGGTCAGGTTTGGCGTAGTCAGGGAGAGCCCCACATGCATCACCCCTTTATCCATGAGCTGTCTGTTATGGCGCCCGCTGTGTCTAATATTGGTGTGTCTCAAAGTTAGAGAGCTAGGCTTACGCAGTTTTTAGTCTTTGGTTCCATTTGCCAAAAAGCTATTTTGGTATATTAATTTGAGCCACAGCCATATGCCGCCCGCTGACCTGTGCTTTTTGTGTTTCGCGGAAGTGGGAACCAACAAGGGAAATACCAATGCCGGACCTCGGCTAGTAACTCCGCAACAGCTGTGGGAGTTGCGTTGCAAGAGAATTGAACCGGAGTCGCCGTTGCTTTTGTGGGGCGGTCGTCAACGTTTGGTGAATGGTCTGGCCTGAAATTCCTTATGTGGGTGGTTTCAAAATCATGCGTGCATGGTGGGTTCCTCTTACAGAAAGGCAGCATTGGGACACCGAAGGTTCGATCCGATTTTTTCCGAGCCCCTTTGAAAGGTTCCGAACCTCTTACGAACCTTTCCGTGTCGAAAACCCAAAAAAAGTTGGGGGGGGGGGGGACGGGGACGGGGACGGGGGCCACCCAAAATGGTGGGCTTCCGTTTGGTGGGGTCCCTGAAAGGGAGGTCCCTGAAAGGGATCCCCGCCATGCCCTTCTCCGGTCAGGTGCGGCACTACCTGAAGCGCTGCCGTCAAGGCGACTCGGGGAGAGAAGCGACTTGCGCGCCCGGCGAATGCCGGCGCGTCGCTGGCCCGTGGCCGGCCCGGCAATTTCACCTCTTAAAAGGCTGACCAGGGCCTCGCTTTCTGAGTTCCTTTCGGACTTTAAACTTTTTTGGGGAGGACATTTGCGTGGCAAACCGACAGTTCGAACTCTTTTTAGCCCATCCACTCAGGAAGTGAGAGACTGGAGGTGTGTTTGGTGTGTGCAACAGGGCGGGGGAGAGCCAAATCAAGAAGGACTCTGTTGCTGCCCCTTGGAAGACCAAGGTGGGTGTGTCTTAAAATAGGGAGCCCAAACTGGGGTACACCCAAAAAAGAGATACCCACATGCACGCATCGTGGACGCCTCACTGGGATTCTGGTTGAGCACCTCCGTTTCTGGGGTCGGCAGGCATGATCTGTAAAGGCTATCCGCCAAAGCTGCGGTAGGCAAGGCAGAATACATCCCCCGGTCCCACAAGTAGGCTGTCAGTAAGTGTGATGCTGAAGAATGTTGACCCCGGATTAGTCAACCCCAGCTTATTAATACGGCAAACCCTCCAGAAGTGATGACCCCCCACTTAAGCCAGGGACACCCCCATATAAAAACAAGCAACCATTTCCCTTGAATAGACCTTTTGATTGAACGAACATACGGCAGTTTGGTTGAAACCACGTTTTGTAAATTGAGGAACGCTGTGCTGGGAGTTGCGTTGCAAGAAAATGGAACTGGGGTCGCCTATGTTTTTGTGTGGGTGTGGTGAATGCAGGGACATGAGCCACAATCAATACCCAGGTAGATGAATGTTAGTAAGGGACAATCCGACTTTGTATTTCCTTACACGGTCCTGGGTCAACCATTTCAATACCAGGTTTGATTGTGACTCACATGGCTTTGGTGCATTTTGCTCGGATGTTAGGACTTCAGCTTTCTGCCAACTAATGGGTTTCCCTTATCAAACCACTAAAAGGTAGTCACTTTTAGCAGGGCTTCGCAGATTTAGCAACCGAGATGGGTTTCCTTAAAGCCGGTAGGCTCCCACGTCTTCGAGCGGCTCTTCGGGGACTTCTTCCACCACGTGCACGCCGAGTGGCAGAAGGCGGCAGCGGGAGCGCAGCCGGACTACTTGCAGCAACTGATCCAGGCGAGAGCCTCAAGCGAGCCGGGAGAGGTCCGTCGTTTTAGACCCACCGGCGTTGTATGTTGGTTCCATTTGCTGAAATGACCATGTGTTTTAGTGTCCCTTGTTGGTGTTGACAGAGATCCATCATCCATCACTACTGGACATTCTTGTTTTAGTGTCCCTTCTTGGTTTTAAACAGGGAACCGATAGCACTACTGGATTTGTTTGTTATGATTTGTTTCTAGGGGGTGGAAGTGGTAGTTCCTTTGCCATTCAGCCAGTTCAACTTAGGCTTTTCGCTTGTTCGTTGGTGGAAGGTGGGGGTTCCGTTTAGCCCACAAGTTAGACTTTTAGCAGTGGATCTGAGCAGAGCCCACTCGTGTCCAGGTGAGCTGACAAAATAACATAGGCAGCCTTGAGAGTGTCACCCCAAAAGTATTAAAGTCCAAAGATGTGTTACCGAATACCCCGAAATCCAAGTTGTGTGCGGCCAACCTTCAAGCAGCGCTATGTTGCTTAAGGGTTCCTAAGGCACCCTAAGAAACCGAACCCTAAGCAACCCTGGACATTTTGGGGAACCCTAAGGAAAGGAACTTTAAGGCTCCCTAAAACTCTAAGGAACCCCAAGGAACCCTAGAAAACACGACACGGGCTCTCAACTACCCTCACCGTCATAGCTAGCCCACCAGTCCAATTCGTTCGAGGCAGCCCACGAGGCTGTGCTGGAAGTTCTCAGTCTGCCGGAGGAGGCCCGGGCTGTTCAAAGGCTCTGTTGCCCAGCATCCATTTGCTGAAATGAACATTTTTATTTTCCCTTGCTTGTTTTAAAGGGAATCTATCACTACTGGAGATATTTTTGATTTTTCCCGGGGGCTTAAGCAAATGGAAACCAGTGGGGTGCTTCCTTTTTTCGACTTTTTTTGGGGCTTTGGGTTTAAACCCAACCAACAAAAAGAAGGGCGCTGATCTTTTTTGTTGGAAATCCACGCATCTGAGAAGGCAATCCGCAAGATCCTTACCCGTTGCGAATCGGCCAAATTTGTTTGTAGTTCTCAGGGGCTATGAATTGGGATTGGCCAACACTCTATTTATTACAGCCCAGTGCTGGGGACTTGCGACCATGGCAAGTTCGACATTTGGCCATGGCTAGTGACCAGATGCTTGACTGCGCCAAGGCCCTTTAGGTCCACAAGTTGTAGATGTGCTAAGTGCCCCTTTGAATACTTCAAACTTGGACATCACAATCCGAGGACTTATGTCCACCAACCACAAGGAGGTGGCTCCATATCAAAAGTCACCTAAAGATTTGATGGCCTTATACCCTTTGGCAAGAAAAACATCGGAGGCTCGGGATGTCCCATTTACTCTACAAGAACCAGTGTTTTACATCTTGAAATGTCCCTTGATCTTTGTAAGATGGAGCCCACTGCCCCAAGCCGCCACCCAGGGGTTTAGACTTGACTGCTATTGACGGATTTTAGACTTCAACTTGTTGGTTGACATCAAGTTGGGCTTTCCAAACTAAACCCCACTCTGAGGGGTCGTAGCATCCAAGACCAAGTCTAGGTCCCCCAGTAGTGCCCTTTTGCCCTTTTTGGGGGGAGGGTTCCCCCAGTAAAATAGACAAAAAAGAAGAAATGGTACCAACTTATTCTATCCCCTCAAATCTGGAGGACCTAGAAATGGAACCGCACGGATTCAGCCAGGAGGTTCGCCAAGAGGAGGAGCTGCGAATGGAGGCCTTGCTGGCGGCGGAGGACTTGGCCTTTTGCACGTGGCTCGGAGGAGTTGCCCCCCTGAGAAGACCAAACACCGCCGCCCCGAAAATGGTCGGTTTTCGTTTGGTTTCCCGGAAACAAAAAAACACAAGCCCAAAGAGGGGTCCCGAAGAAGACATAATGACCCATGGGGGTTTGCCTCTTTTTGTGACCCTTTCCGGGGTTGCTTTAGAGGGAAAAGGAAATCCGCCGACTGAGTTGGAGACTTCCCACAGGGGAGGGTTCGGCGTCATTTGCCATGTCTGGCTGCCACTTTGGTGGCCGGGTACGGATTTATGTTTTTTGTTTACTTCCATTTGCTGCTTGGATTTTGTTTTTCCAATATTATCCAGGTTGTTGATGGAATGGATTTCACTTCTGGAAAATGTCTCATTCTTTCCACCGGACTTCAGCAAATGGAAGTTTAGGTCTCCTAATTTGGATACATACCCATATTTCCCTTGAAGGGTGATTTCAAACATGACCCCATGCTGGCAGTTTGTGAGTTCCTTTTTGTTGGTTGGGGATGGTTAACTTCCTGAGCTCTTGGACTTTATATAGTTCCAGAGCCATTCACGGTCTATGCAAGCTTCGCATAGATCCCTTGACCTTTGTACAGTATTTGTATCAGCAGGGCCTTTGTGGGTTTGGACCATGTCAATGGCAACCAACTTCATGGCTCTCAGGGAATGAGAAATGGAGCGACCCCCAAAAACCGGTAAGGTTTCCTTTCAGGGAATTTTCAGGTTCATTCCCCGAAATCCTGGGTCAGTTCCTTCTGAGCACCAGCCAGAGACCGTTTAGTGAGTGAGATGTTTTGTTCAGGGTTGGCATTTCCTCACTCCCTGAGTCTGAGATTGTTTCCACTAACCCCAAACTGCTATATACCCCCAAGGAAAAAAGGGGTGTACAACCACTATAAACACCAATTTAAAGGCATACACCTTGATTTCCCTTGGGTAGTGGACACCATCTCAGACTGAGTTCTGTTTCGGACTTTGGTGTTTTGTGGGCTTAGTAGTGAACAATATGAGTGTAGTTACTTGTTTTGCTAATCCGCTCAGGAAGTGAGTTTCCATTGTCCAGCTACTTCTACAGGGGGGACCTGTAAAATCAACTGCCAAACAAGTGTTGGATCTCTAGACTTCTCTTGGGGAAATGTCGATCTGTTGTGCAACTTCTTTAGGACATCTCTCGCTTCTTCAACGCCGCTTTTTGACCTTTCAATCTGTTGGCTCATACTTGGTCAAGAATCCAACAGGTGATCACATTTTAGTTCTGGGTCCCTAAGAAAGCAAGTGAGATGTCGTTTGTGGCTGACATACTGTGGATGGACAAAATCCTGCACCACGTTGCAACCATAGGACACCATGTTGGTTGGGTTTTACAAGGGGAGCATGATTCCAGGGTTTTTCAGCTGGTGCGTTGGACGGATTTCGTCCATCCACAGTACCCGAGGCAGCTGAGTTTGTACGTAGCTTTTCGTGGGATTCGGCATCGCATCGCAGGTTGTGCCTGCGGCCCTTGCAGCAGTTCCCGGACGAGGCCGTGGGTCGAATGAGAAGTCCGAGCTGGATGCCGGCTGAGTCGATTTGCCTCACCCAGCCAGCTGATCTGCTTCACTGTTGTGGGATCATGTGTCGTTTTTTTTTTCCATCCACCTTTTGTTTTATGGTTTGGTTTGTTGTTGGATCATGTTTTTAGTTGTTCTTAAGTTGTTTATTTCTGTTTTATTTTAGTGGGGCGGGCTGCAATAAACAGTCAGTGTTTTGCTACCATAGCAAGAGTTGGAAAGTTTGGGAACGGAACCCGATCCTTGTAAAGCAGGTGGCGAGATGTTTTCTTGGAACACCAGTTTGTCCAAAGTTCTTGAGTCATGTTCAGGTGTGGGTATGTGTCCAATTAGGGTTTTGGATGGTTTTTCTCTTGGTCTCCCTTTAAACCAACATGAAAAAGGTACCCTCCAGAGATTATTCCTCGTACAGGTTTTGGAGGTGTGGAGGTCATATACCATTCCTTTACTCGAGAGCGGGAAAATCACTCTTGGCATTTATATAGCTTCCAGGGATGTCAAGTATCAGTGCAACAACGAGGAACGATTTGAAGGCTGCGGAAAACTTTCTTGTTCAGTGGCACCAGTACACTTGCTGGTGTAGGGAATGTGACTCGATGAACCCGGGAATTCCCATTCCCTTAAAGGAAGCCCACTCGCGCATGGTTTTCCTCGGGGTAGGTCCATTTCTCATTCTCTCCTGAGATGCAGCAGGAGAAAGCGCGTGAGGTTGCTATCGGTGTCCCCTAAGTCCCAAAAACCAGTGTCCTCAAAACAGGGATCCTTACATTATACACCTGAACATTGCAACTTGTCAATGGCGGTGTCCCTTTATTTCGGTGGACAAAAACAACATGCAACTCAACTGGTTGCAAAATGAATATTTCTTTTAAGGAGCCCTGTCAGGAACCATGAAGTTGGGAAGCCGCTGACACCAACAAAATGTTCACGGCCCGCGCCGCTCGCGAGGTTGGCGCGCTGGTGGACAGCAAAGGACGGCGCCTGGAGGGCACTCTGCAACTCGGCGGCGTCGGATCCGTGGCATTCCAAAGGGAACTACCCCCTACTCCAAATACCTGTTTTTTCAGGTTTTTTTTTGAAAACCTGGTTTTCCATGGTAAATACTTTTTTTTCAGTAGAGGGCCGACATCATACCCTGAAAAAAGTGGGTATTGGGTGTAGGGGGTAGGTCCCCAGAAGTGCCGGGAGGGTCCCCCTACTAAAATAGGCAAAGAACAAAAAAAAGGGTATATACCCTTATTCAAACCTTTCTACTGGACCTAGGGAAAGTTGTCAGCAGAGGTGTCTGTTTTTGGGTTGGTTGGGCTAGAAAATTGACTGGTCCCGCTTTTTTAGGTTGGTTTCATTCCAGATTTGCATGGCAAAAGGTTATCTATTGCACCGAAAGGACATGCTTGCAAATTGTAGCATGGAGAGCAAGACTGCAAGAGCAAGCACTCCTCCTCCTCAGAGATCCTGTTTCAACTCCGCGTGGCGAATTCGGCGTGTTGCTGACCCCCCCTCCCTTGAAATGGGATTTTGCTGCTACTGTGACTACTGGAATTCCATGTCTAGGTACATGGAATTGGTGGGGACGGGGGAGTGTGAAAAAAAGTGGGGGCGCCTAAATGCCCCTAAATGGTTGGTTTGCATTTGGTTTCCCGGAGACACACACACACACACACACACACACACACACACACAACACACACACACACACACACACACACACACACACACACACACACACACACACACACACACACACACACACACACACACACACACACACACACACACACACACACACACACACACACACACACACACACACACACACACACACACACACACACACACACACACACACACACACACACACACACACACACACACACACACACACACACACACACACACACACACACACACACACACACACACACACACACACACACACACACACACACACACACACACACACACACACACACACACACACACACACACACACACACACACACACACACACACACACACACACACACACACACACACACACACACACACGCCAAAACCAAAAGGGGGTTCCCAAAAAAGACGTAATTACCCATGTGGGTTTGCCTTTTGTGTGTGGCCGGGTGCCCTTTCTGGGGGTTGGTTTAAAGGGAAGCTTAAAGGAAAACCCACCGCCTCCTGGTTTTGAGACATACCCATATTACCCGTGAAGGGTCGCTTTTACATGACTCTGGGTTACCAATTTGGACTTTCTAGGAAAGACATTTTAGTGGCGCTCAGAAAGTTTCAACTTGTTTTGGCCCATCCACTATGAGGACTCCTTGTCTTATCCTAGCAGTCCCTGAGCTCAGCAAGTAACTTTAGACTTGGTGATTCCCAGCCATCCGGTTCCTCATGTTTTTTTGGGTTTATAGGTTTATAGGTTTTAGTGGTTTCCCCCAAGCCACCCAAATTGTTCGTCACTTTTCGCCGGGGGGATCCGATGAAACGGCCCGCCCCGCGGCGCTGCGTCGGAGGTACCACCGGCGCTGCGCCTTCAGCGTGGAGGGCAGCGACTCGGAGACCTTGGCCGCCTTCTCCCGGCGCCCCAGGCCGCTGCTGATGCACAGGCGCCCGAGTCCGAAGAATCGGAGGCATGGCCCAGTTGGGCAGCTCGCGGTTTTTTTTTTTGTCGAAGCCAGATTTTCATGCATCAACAGCTGAATTATGAATAGGGGTCGACATTTTTTGCTAGGTGAGATGTGGAGGTATGTGTTTTTGTTTTTTTTCTGTTAGTTTACTTTTTTTAAGCCACCAAACAAGGGGTACTGATAGTCTTTGCTGTTGGCGTGTGTTGAGGGTTTTAGGGTCATGCTTCTGTTCATGTTCCAAAGGGAACACATTGGTACCAGAACAAGGGTTGTAAAGTTGTTGTCCCATTACATACCCATGGGATCCCACGGATAGATGCAAAGGAACAAAGAAGCGAAGTGAAGACTCTCTTGTCAAAAGCCGACCTTTTACCCTGTCCACCAACATAGAACCTAGCAGGGCATCCATGTTCAAGGATTTCTTTCAGGACCCCTTTCCATGTTTGTGAATGGGAGGGTAACATGTTGGGCGTCCCTTTTGTTGCCAGCTGTAAGAGAGTATCCGTTCCCTTCCAGGTCTCCAGAGATGGAATGGGAGCTCAACAGCCCCCCCAACTACGTGGATTGCTTCTTGCGGCCTTTTGCTTGGAGTTCTTTCCTTTAGGTTCAACCAACCAGACAAGGGGTGTTCCCCTTGGCTACCTTTCGGGGTTTGGGTCCCGTCTTAACAGCTCCGAAGCTTGGTGTCTATCGTTGTAGGCCTTTCGGTTTTCCGAGTACTCGCCCAAAGCTTCCCCTCTGTGTTGTAGACGGAACCAACAGGTTTCACTACTGGATTGTTTTTTTTTTAACTCTCTGGTACCATGCTCCCATTACCAAGAGTTCCCTCCAATTGAGAGAAGGGCCAAACGGTTTCAACTAAGGATCATCAGCTCGGCTGAGTGTAGTCAGTGTAGTCATGGCTTTTGTATGCTATCGTTTTTGTGAGCCTGTTTGTGTTTAGGTATTGGCTGTGGCACCAAGCTGACAGGCCTCCAGAAATATCAGTGTGTCTTCTTTGGAGGGTACCCGCTGTTTGAAGGTTTTAAGAAGGAAACCGAAGGACAACCGAAGCCATTTTTTGGGGGGCCCCCTAAATTCTGACACCCCCGTATTTTATGTCCTGCCCCTTTGCCTCCCGAGGCACAGCCTCTTTCGAAACACCAAGAGCCCCGCAGCTTCCCCCCCCCCGGAAGGACGCCAGGCCAGCCCCAAGACTTCCATTTTCTGAAATGAATATGTCTTTCAATCCCCAAAGGGCATCGATTTCACTACTGGACATATGTGTTATTTTTTCCACGGGGGTTAAGTAAATGGAACAAAAAGGGCTGGCTTTTTATGGTCACGTAAGTGTCCTGTTGATCGGTTCGTTTGGGTAGAAATAGGTGGGTTCCACTTGGTGGGTTTCATTCCCCATTTGCCAGGAAACCCGTCTTTTTGTCCAACGGGCCAGCTGAAGGTCACATAGCTTCAGATCCGAAAGGTAGCCAGGTGCCGTCCGAAAGCCGGATCCACGGTGATGTCCATGTGCGACGTAGAACCTTGAAGGCTTCAGGATTAATTTTGCAATGTGCAGCAATTGGTCGGGGTGGCGGCCATGGCTTCATCCAAATCAGCCGGCCTCCTGCACCTTTGAAGACCTTCGTACAAAGAAAAATCACAAGAACGCATTGCAGGTCCCAAAGGCTGATTATTTCTACCAGGGGGCCGTGGTTCAGGGTTTCCGAGCCATGTCCCTTTCAAGGGGGCCTCCACAAGTGGAATCCGATCGTTTCAATGGACACCACCAGCAAAATGATCAACTTCTGATTTGGGGAAATTCCAGGCAGCCCCTGCCGCCTCTAAATCTCTAAATTGAATAGGGAGTCCACAGGGCGCTAGGAAGTGCGTGACTTTTTGTTTGGCCGTTTGCGTGTTCTCTCTTTCTGGAAGGGCTTCAAACCTGAAGCCATGTATCAACCACGGATGCCCATGTGTTTCCCAGAATGTTGACTTCACATTGATCAAGCCCAGTTTGTGAATTTGGGCTGGGGGCTCCTCCAAAACGTGATGAAAGTCTGATTCCCCACATTTCATCCATGGGAACCCCTCCTATTAATCAACCAGGGGGTTGATTCATCTGGGGCCAACATTACCCCACAAACAAACATGCAAGGCATGGACTCAGCGTCCCTCGTTGTTTGGTGGTTTGGAGCCGAATCGGGGGTTTGATGTTTAAGCAGGGGCCCCTATTAATAAGCTGGGGCTGACGAAAATGGGGTCAACATCAGGTCAACATTAGTATCAAAGGTTTCACACCAGACCCCTGGAAGATACCCCTTGAGGACATGCCAACAATTAGGGGTAACTTAGCGGTCAACATTCGCCAGGGGTCGATTCCTATGTTTTCATCTTTTTGGTGGCTTTTACAACCACCTTTCTTGCCCACAGGTGAGCTTACCTTCATAGGGGGTACTGTTTTCATCGGATTTCATCGGGGACATATGGGAAGTCCAACTCAACCAGGACATGGACCGCAGGATATGTTTTAGTCAACATATGTCTACTTACCAGGGCAACCCATGTCGGGCTCGAAAAACCTGAATTCCAAAATTTGGACTCCCGGTAAGTGGAAAAAATGGACCACCACCTGCGGTTTGCCCCTCCGATCGTTTACATTTGCGACCCCCCCCCGGCGCCAGGGACGCCGACCCGCCCCGCCCGACTTCCGCTTCAGGATGCCGCCGCCCAAGGCGCAGGGCTGGTGGCCCTTGCCCTGCCTCACCAAGGCCGCGGACTGGGCGTGGGGGCCCGGCCTCACTTCCGGGGCCAAAGGCCCAGTTCCGTCGGGTGAAGCGGCGGGTCTTTCCGGGTGGAACGGGTCCCACGGGTTCCGTCGGGAGCGGCGGGGCTTCGTTTTCCGGGTTGAACGGGTCCGAGTTGAACGGGTCCAAGGAAAGGCCAAGGAAAAGCCAGGGTGGGAAGGGGGAAGAGGGAGGGCAAGTGGAGCTTGGAGTTGCTTTTGAGCCGACAGCGGTTGTTGGATCATAGTTTTTATAGGTGCTTTTAAGGCTTGTGGTTGTGTGTTCACTTTTAGTGGGGAGCTGCAAAAAGCACACCAACGGTTGGAATGCAGAGTGTTTAACAGAGTGGTTATCTTACTGAGTCTTACTGCATGAGTTTTGATCGTCACCTTTTGCGTTTGAACCATGTTAGTGGCTTAGGCAAAAAGTTGGGTGACTTCTTGGCCAATCCACAGGAAGTATATAAGGTTAACAGAGAGTTTATGGCTCTGTTGTCCAAAGCGAATCGACCTGACATCTTGACTGCTATCGGGTTGGGTCTTTAGACTTGAACTGTTTGTGAAGGGGAGTTCCACTAAGCCCGCAAAGAGTTAAACTGTTTGCAGAGGGTTCAACAGCAACCAAGCCATGACCTTTTTGATTTTTCCATCTTTTTCCATGTTGATTCCCATGACGCAAAAACTGTTAACCTTGTATGTGTGGCCCTTTGGGCCGCTGAGTGTTCATGGAGGCTGTGGGTGTGAATCGAGGCTATGCGATGTTTGGAAACTACGCTCCTAACATCCACAAGTGCAAAGCGCCAACCAGGGGGAAGCACAGGAGGACACAGGACACCGATTTCGCTCCGATTGAAGACCAGCCGTCCCATGGCCGGTTTTACATGCGATTCCTCCTGTGAGATGACGCCTTCCACTGGCTGAAATGGATATTTGCTGTTTGCCCCTGGCCTTAAAGGGAGTCTATCACTAGAGATATTTGTCCCGAGGGACTTAAGCAAATGGAGGATGCTGAAGGGGAAACCAGCGAGTTTTGAGGATCAAATGGACCCTGCAGGGACCACCACAAGGCTGGTGGTGGAAGACCAGCGCTGCTTGAAGCGGCAAGATGCATACAAAGTGGTTCGTAACAATGGTTTTCTTCCTAAGCTCCTGTTCCATGCTGTAGGCCACCAAAACCATTTCTACGCGATTCAACAAAGTTCCATTTACCGATATTTACCGTTTTGAAGGAGAACTGCGCACGTGTGGGCCAATTTTGCGGTGTGAGCGTGCTAATAGAACCAAATAACAAGTAGCTTGCTATTGGCGTGCTATTGGCGGTACTTCCACTCCGCGCTAATAGTTTGCTAGTAGCAAGCAAATAGCCCGCAAATAGAAGCTTGTTGGTGTGCCTGTGAAACGCAAAGGAGGGGGCACCCCTGGAGGGGGGCACCCCAAATGATTGTATGATTGCAGGGGGGGCTTTTTGCCGCCTTTTGTGGAAATGACCGACCCCCTCGTAGCGAAGGATTCCTTTTGAGGTGGTCGACATTTTTTCCGCAAAAGGTAGCAAAAAGACACCCCTGGTTCCATGGGTAACAACCATGGATAACTCACTCCCTGAGTTCCTGGACTTTAGTGACGTTTCGAGATGGGAAGTTCATTTTAGCGGTAAACACAACAGACTTGGATTGGCCAGTCAGCAAGTGAGTACCTTGGTTTCCCTGTTCCTCAGATTTTTAGGTGTTTTTGGTTGGTTTAGTGGACGGGTGTCCAGTTCATCCGCAAGCCTCCGCCACGTTTAGGGGATCAGACAACGGACGGGTTTCAGCTTTCTTCCCATGGAAAGCCGCTAAAACACCCGATCTGGGAGTCGTTTTGTGCAACCTCTTATCTTCAGGCACCCTTGGAGGTGCATTCTACTGAAAGGGGCAGGGTACTTACTGAGTAGGCAATAACTATAGTTATTACCAACTTACCATGGTTATAAGTCTCTTAAGTGGGTTATAAGCAGGCTTACCGAACCACTTACCAAGTACCCTGCCCCTTTAAGTAGGGTACTAAACACCCTGCCAGTTTCCGCTGGAAACCTTGCGAAACCGTTGGGGGTCCTAGGCCAAATTTGTGGCCGCCGGGGCCGCGTTCGGCGGCAGCTTGGCAATCAAAGAGTTTGGTTGGTGAAGTGGGTCACAACCCCAATCTTCTATTTGCTCAAGAGTATATTTTATTTTCACCTGTGGGTTTTAAAGGGAACCCACCACTATTGAGGAGTTTGTTTGTTCCAGGGGGCTTGAGCAAATGGAGTTATTGTTGACCCCGGAGTAGTAAACCAACCTGCTTGTTATCATAAGGGGGTGCAGGCCCCTCCTACAGTGGTCCGAATCCCCGCATTGCAGCCAGGGACACCCCCATATTCATAAACAGGGGTTTATCAATTCAGGGTCAACATTAGTCGATTTCAAGCTTTTCTTTTCCACTGCTGAAATGATTGTTGAAAAGATAATATCCCCAGTTGTTAAAGGAACTCGATCTCACTACTGGAAATATGTTCTTCTTTTTTTCCAGGGGACTGCAGCAAATAGATGTTTTCCCTGGTTGGGTGGCTTTCCCACGGAAAAAAAAGTGAATCAACTCAAATCCATATCGGTTCCCGTTTCAGTCCAGAGTCACTGAACAGTCAGGCAATCAACACCTGAGTCAGAAACGAGGGAATTCGCCCGGCTTTGCCTGGGGTAATGTTGGCCCAGGATTAATAAACCCGTCCCGGTATTAGGGGGGTGTTCCCTCCAAAAGTGGTCTGAATCCCCACTAAAAGGGGACACCCCCCTATTAATCAACCAGAAGGTTATTAATCCGGGGTTGACATTAGCAGTTTTTATGGAATTTCTCCAAGCGGGCTCCCCAAGGAACTGTAAGGAAAGCAAGGGCTCTTTTCTCTACTGGGGTGCTCCTAAGGAACCCTCAGGAACCATGGGGAACCCAGAGGGATGTCTAAGGAACCCAAGGCACCGGTTGTACCAAGCTCCCGTGCTCCAGGGTCTTCTCATCCTTTATCCACTAGTGGCAGCGCAGGCGGCCTTACAAAAGGAGCGTAGCAATACGAGACGAGAGGACCTAGTAAAGGAGGTGGGGGATCTGGACTTGTCTCAACACAAATCATCAGTACTTCATGGCGTTGTCCAGTCCAAGCTATCCGCAAGTGAAGCGCTTCGCCCGTACGCACCTTCGTACACATTAGGTAAAGAGATACTAAGCTGACTGGACAATTTGGGCGTGCGTTTTCTCCTGGTGGGAATAGAAGGAAACCACAAGGAAAGCCACAATTTTTGGAGGTGGAGAAAATAATGAGACACCCATTGAGTTTGAATGCTTAAGACTCCATCCATTGACTGGACAGAGGGAACGTTTCTCTCTGCAAAAAGCTCGGGAAAATTGAGGTCCGTTTAGTCCTTAAAGGCCGACCTTCATAATTCTAACCCTTGCAGACCCCAGAGGCTCATGGGCGCTTGGGGGGGAGGGAGGAGGGGAGAGCCCTTATGAAGCCCCCCAGCCCCCAGCCCCCTATGACCTAGCAAAGTTCCTACCGAACCCTTCTTGTTTTTTTGGGGGGGAGGTTTTTGGTGAGACCAAATCACCATGCCCCTCTTGAGTTTACTATTCTGGCATTGAACGCGGCTTTTTCATAAGCCCACGAAAGGTCCTCGACGGTTTGCTCGTTCGTGGGGATCCGGCAAGAGGAGCAGCCTGTCGGTCTTGCGTGTGGATGATTGCGAAATCCATAAAACGCACCACCGTTCAAACACCATGGTTGAATGTTGGTATTTACAATTTACAGGGGAATCATCAGAAACCAGGGTTTCTTTGGTGGTGCGAAATGGAGTCCATCCACGGTATTGTGAGTATATCTGGTTCTAAACTTGTTCCCAACCCCTTTATATTATGGATACCTGGACCCTCAAATTACGCATAAAAAAGGAACTTCACCAACAATATGTTTTGGGGCAATCATTGATTGCTCAGGGACTGTTGAGGATGCAGAGTCTAGGTATACATCATCAAACAATAAACGCGCCCACACGCACACACACACACACACACCCTCAGTTGCCCAAGGCGAATCACCCTTGTGATGGATGACCTTTTGGTTTTCCCGTTTTGTCCATTGGCTAGGTCCCCCAGTAGTGCCCTTTTACCCTTTTTGGGGGGAGGTTTCCCCTACTAGAATAGACAAACAAAAACAAGTGGCACCCTTTTTCCAACCTCTCTAGTGGAGGACCTAGTTGGCAACCCAAAAGGTGATATCACAATTTATGTCCGTGTCCGGAAGGGGCAACTGAGCACACACCGACCTTCCTTTTGCTGAACTGTTCGCCAACAAAGAAAAACACATACATCCCCTGTGGTTTGAGCGAATCGATCTCCCTAAACTTACCTCTTAAAAACACAACTTTCCAACTTGTTGGGTAACATGGGCTATATGTCTGTAAAAGATGAACTTCCTCAGGGCTTGGAGTTTTAAGGGGTAAGTAATGGAAATTCGTTCTGATTGTTTCCCAGCAAACTAAACAAATAGTTCGTCCCCTTGGTCTGAAAGTTGGAATCGTTTTCACTGGGCATACGTGCTCCATTTTCCCCGGGCAAAAAAATCGCACGCCGTTGAAGGCTCAAAGGATTGGGCCCCCCGGGCCAATCCCCCCATTGGGAAGCCCAAATGGAAGAGACTTTTTTGCTTGGCTGTGGCTCAAAAGCATGTTTTTCAACATGGCAGCTTGGCAAATGGAACCAAAGACTAGGTCCCCCAGTGCTCTTGTACCAACTTTTTTGGGGGTTTTGGGTTCCCCTACTAAAAAAGACAAAGAAGGAAAAACAGGTTGGCACCCCTGTTCTAACCTCTCCACTGGAGGACCTAGAAGACCAAAACCCTGCGACGATGAAACTTCCCCAGTTCCTCGCAGCCGGCCGCGCCAGGCTCCGAAGGCGCCGCGGTGCCCATGGAACACGTGGCAGCCGCAAGTCCGATTCATTCCGGCGTTGGCCGGACGGGGGGCAAGGGGGAAGGCAGAAGTGGAAGGGTTTTTGGGTTCCTCAGAAGTATACTTGCATGTGCTGAAATGGATGGTGTTTGTCAAGTTTTTTCTTGTGGTCTCGCATGGAATCAGTTTCAGTACTGGATCTATCTTCTCAGTTTATCCAGGGGGCGAAAACACAAATGGTTTCCCTTGGTCTTGCCCTCACTTCCTGAGGTGGACTTCCTCCTCTCCGGGGAAGCTTCGGAAATTCGATAGCAAACAAAAATCGGCCAAGCAACTCAGTGACTGAGTGAAGCGTTTCCATGAACCAAAGTGTTTTACTGGTTTAAAACATTGTTTTGATTTGCTGGGACTGGGCCCACCCAGTTGCCAAGTGGCACCCTGTTCAATGTTGTTTGGTTCTGGCGGTCTTCCTTAGCCATGTTTCTGGCACGTGGTTTGGTTCCCCCTTCTCCATTTGTTTGTTCTCTTGTCCTGTGTGAGACTGTCCAACGTTGATCTTCGCGCCAGAAACGTTTGTTTCACTGATCCCCGAAGCGCTCACCCGATTTTGACTGGAGGCCTGGAGCCGCTTGATTTTGAGAGAGGCGTTTCCGGGTTGAAGAATGGGGTAAAGCAGAACCCCTGGTTGATTTGTGTGACTTTTGATGGGAAAACATCCCTTTCTGTGTGGATTCAGACGACGTTTGGAGGACACACACACACACTAAAAACAGGACGGGTTTATCAATCTTGGGTCGGCATAATTCTTCCGCACGGGCCAAGAGCCATTGCTGTAACGTTTTGGCAAGGAACTGATCGCTAAATGCTTTGGCTGGCCCTCGCCACCAGGTATTTACAGTGGTTGACCCACTGAGCGAAGCAACCGCCCGTTGAAGCATTTGGTGTGCTGGGAGTGGAATGAATGCGGTGGGATGAATGCGGTTTCATTGGTTTGCTTCCATTTGGTTAAGAATATGTTTTATTGTTTGTTTGTTGGTGTTAAATGGGAGTCTAGTGGAAACCCCGGATGAATAAACTCCTGGTTGATTAATAGGGGGGTGTCCCCTTTTAGTGGGGATTCATCACTTTTGGAGGGACACCCCCCTAATAATGGGACGGGTTTATTAATGCTGGGTCAACATTATCCTGGAAATACTAGTTTTATTTTTCCAGGGGACTTGAGCAAATGGAGGTTTGAGTGGCATGAAGGCGGCTGGTTTCGCAGGAGCCTAAGCAATGCTTCCCGCGTCAGTGGCTCCCAGATGCGGAACTAGGTCCCCCAGCAGTGTAAAATAGACTACCGAAACGAGGCTACCCTTATTCCAACCTCTCTACTGGAGAACCTGGAAAAAGTCGATTCGTGTCACGACGCGCTCATCTCATGGAAGCCTTTTCAGTGAGCCTCGCCGGCCTTGATGGCCGGGAAATCCGCGCGAGTGTCTCAAAGGATAGCCTCGGCAGGGACTTGCTGCAGCGGGTGGCTCACTTGCAAGCAAAGCGAAACGGGAGCAAAGAGATTTTGGTTTTCCTAGTTATCTCTACTGCTATTGGGTTGGATCTTTAGACTTTAGTTTTTGTGATTACCCACATATTGCCTTTTAACCTGCAAAAAGTTAAGGGATGGTTGTCCTACTGTGGATGGACGGAATCCGTCCGCACCACCTTACAAGCCTTGGAATGATGAATCCCCTGTAAATACTGGCATGGTGTCCCATGCTTTCAAAAAGGTGCGAAATGGATTTCGTCCATCCACAGTAGTTCGGCCCATTTTAGTCTTCCCGGACTTTAACTTTTTGGGAAGACAATTTTAGTGGCAAATCAGAAGCCAGGACCTTTTTGCTTTTTTTCCGCTCGATCGGAAGTGAGTCATTGCCAAACACGTGACCATGTAGTTCCGGGTCCTTGGGCAAGTGAGGTGAGGTCCGAACTTCCGTCAAGGCCCGGGGTTTTGCGGCTGGCGTTCGGCGGCGTGCCGCTTTTGCCAGAGAAACTCAGTTGTTCAAAGCCGATCTTTTGACCTTTGGTGTTCCTATTTTGGTCCATATTTAGTCATGGCCCCAAAAGGTGATCACCTTTTAGTTCTGGGTCCTTTGCACCTTTTAGTTCTGGGTCCCTAAGGCGCAACTGAGGAAAACTTTGCAAGAGCAGGGGGTGCGACCAGACTCGGAGGGGGTGTTCCTCGGTCAGCCTTTTTCGGTTTTCTCGTGTTGTTCCCGTGTTTTTAGTGGTAACCCAAAAGGTGATACTTTTCATTTCCAGGTCCCTAAGGGGCAAGTGAGTAAACACACATACAAACACCTTTTATTTGTTTGAAATGAATTATTTGTTCATTTTCCCCTGTTGGTTTTAGAGGGAATCAATTCACTACTGTACAAACATATTCTTTGTTTTCCAGGGTGCGAAAACGCAAAAAGGGAGCTTCCCAACTTGGTCTTTTAGTCAGGGTCCCCAAAAGTTAACCAGTTACTCCTGGACCTTTGAGCAAGTGAGGTTCACCTACACCCCGACTTGCTTGCTGAAGGCGTGGCATGTGCTGAAAGCATACGACTCTGATCCTGAAGACGTACTGGAGGGCACCACGAAGCTGATTTACACCGACAACGCAACCCAGCCGCAGCATGCTGCAAGGATTCAGAGGAACAAGGGGCACCCAGCCCAGTTGCCTACAAGATTGCCAAGCAGCCTCCGAAGCCTGAGTTTCGGGAGCAGATTGCGCAACTTGCAGGAAGTCACCCTGCCAAGTAGCCTGCAGAGCCTGGCTTTCGGCAGTGGCTTCGACCAAAGCTTGCAAGGAATCACTTTCCCGGACAGCTTGCAGAGCCTGACCTTTGGTGACAGATTCAACCGAAGTTTGCAGGGAGTTACTTTGCCAGACAGCCTGCAGATCCTGACTTTCGGCTTGGAGTTTGACACCAGCTTGCATGGAGTAACTTTGCCATGCAGCTTGCGGAGCTTGACATTCGGCGATAAATTTAACCAATGCTTGCAGGGAGTCACTTTGCCAGACACCCTGCAGAGCCTGACCTTTGGCGGCAGATTCAACCAAGACTTGCAGGGAGCCATCTTGCCAAGTGGCTTGCAGAGCCTCACTTTTGGCAACGGGTTCACCCAAAGCCTGGAGGGACTTGCTTGGCCAGCTCTCCGAAGCCTGACCTTTGGCAACGCCTTCAACCATAGCTTGGGCGCGACCTTGCCCAGCCTGCAGAGCCTGAAATTCGGCGCTGCGTGGGACCAAATCTTGGGAGCCACTTTGCCAAGCAGGTTGCAGAGCCTGACTTTCGGCAAAGCGTTCAACCGGAGCTTGCGGGGAGTCGCTTTGCCGGAGCTGCAGAGCCTCACTTTTGGCGATGGGTTCAACCAAAGCTTGTTCGGAGTGACTCTACCAGACAGCCTGCAGAGCCTGAAATTCGGCGAGGGATACGCACAAAGCTTGCAGGGAGTTACTTTGCCAGGCAGTTTGCAGAGCTTGGCTTTCGGGAGGAGATTCGGCCAGAACCTGCTATCATTAACTTTCCCAGGCAGCCTGCAGAGCCTCTCTCTCGGTTTTATCCAAAGCTTGCAGGGAGTGTCTTTCCCAGGTAGCCTGAGAAGCCTGACTTTCGAAGGGTTGAACCAAGGCTTGCAGGGAGTTACTTTGCCAGACTGCCTGCAGAGCCTGACTTTCGGCCGTGAATACAACCATAGCTTGAAGGGGGTTTCTTTGCCAAAAGGCTTGCACAAGCTGAATTTTGGCTTTTATTTCAACCAAGGCTTGCAGGGAGTCTCTTTGCCAGACAGTCTGCAGAGTCTGACCTTTGGCTTCTCATTCGACCAACGCTTGCAGGGAGTGACTTTGCCAGCCACCCTGCAGAGCCTAACTTTTGGCCACAGATTCAACCAACGCATGCAGGGAGTTGCTTTGCCAGACAGCCTGCAGATCCTGACTTTCGGCTTTGACTTTGACACAAGCTTGCAAGGAGTGGCTTTGCCAGACAGCCTGCAGATCCTGACTTTTGGCGATGGGTTTAACCAATGCATGCAGGGAGTGACTTTGCCAGACAGCCTGCAGAGCCTGACATTCGGCTGTGGGTTCCACCAAAGCTTGCAGGGAATCAGTTTTGCAGGCAATCTGTTGAAATTGCAGGGAGGAGATCTTACTTTACACTGTGACTGAGCGCTTGGCACGGAGCCATGCCCAACCTCAGCGCCGGAGCGGAGGGGCGTCATGCTAGGTAGGGCTCCCCAAAAGAAATTCATTTTGCAACCAGTTGAAACATGTTGTTTTTTCCACCAAAATAAAGGGAAAGCACCATTTACAAGGCAATGTTCAGGTGTATAATGTAAGGATCCCTGCTAGGGTCGTTGGTTAGAGAAGTTCAATTGGCCAAAATCAGAGCTTGAGGAGCACGCAAGAGCGGTGCGATCAGTAGCCAGAAAAGCCAGCGGCCTGAATAGGGCATGGTTGTTTCCTGATTCAGGATCCTGTCACTATTTCAGGATCCGGTTCAGTAAAACATTGTTTGGCGGAAAGAATGTCCGAGCAAAAACAAACGGCCCAAACAAGTCGAGCAACAAGAATCGGGCAAACAATTCCAAGCAAAGATTAGGAACCCGTGCTTTTGTTGTGGTCCCCGGACCATCAAATCTCAGATAACTTTTTGAATTCAGACTTGGCAATACCAAACTAATCTCTGGGATTCTGAGATGCCCAATTTCCTATATGAAGCATTGGCAATACTCAGTAAGAACCAAGTCCGAGTCCCACCCCCCAGGTTTTCCACTGGAACCCCGGTGGTTGACCTTTCATCTCCGCGTGTTTTTTGATTCTGATTTCAGGCCTCCCTTTTAGCCTGGCTTGGTTAAACAAATCGGTGGGTTCCATTGATTCAAAAAACAATGCTTTAGTGGTTGCCATGTACGAGGGGAAAAAGGTAAAGTCGATTTCTCCAAAAGGCCACCTGATTAGAAGCGGGTTTGAAGTCCTGCTTATTTTTGGCAAAAAGGACACCTATGAACTGAGCCTTCTGCGGTCCAAACCAGCGCAAGGCACTGGTTTGATGCCATCCATGCACCATGCAAACCAAAACCCAGCCCATTTTGAGGCCAACATCACTACTCAGTTGCTCAAAGCGAATCGACCTTTTGACCTTTTGGTTTTCTAAAATTTCGGTCCATTTTTAGTAGAGGTACCAAAAGGTGTCCAACTCCTTTTTCCAACTCCAACTCTTTTGGAAATAAGAGGTTAACAAATAGTTTAGTAGTTGGTCCATTTTCCTTTTGTTTCCAACTCCTTTGGGCAAGTGACTCTATGACCCGAACGAAGGGAGGGATTCTTGTCGCTCAGGTGGCTTTGGCGGCCGCGTTGCCCGTGCACCCCCAGCACGCGCTCGCCCAGCTGAGCCGGAACTTCGGCAGGCGCTTGGGCAGGCAGGGCTCCTGAAAAGAGATTCGTTTTGCAACCAGTTGAAACATGTGGCTTTTGCCACCAAAATGAAGTTGGACACCACCATTTACAAGTTGCAATGTTCAGATGTAAAATGAAAGGATCCCTGTTGGGTGAGTGGCGGCGCTTGCACTGGGCGCGTGTTTTGGCGTTTTGGCACGGCGGCGTGGGACAAAAAACTCCATTCCGCATTTCAGCCAGGGAAAATGTTACCCCCTATGAATAGTTAGGCTGGGTTGGTTGATGAAAGTATGGGGTCAACATGAGTCTGAGGGTTGATTCCTGTTCCATTCGTTTCAACCATCGTTCTTTCCAAGAACTGGATCCGTTTTCCCTGGGTTTCCGGAGGCTTTTGAGAAAGAGGATCCCGTTGGGAAAGAATCGAAATGGAAGGTACCCCTAGAAAAACCCATTGGGGCAAACATGCCATGTTCAGTCTAGTTAAAAGGGTTTGGAGCTGGCGAATCTGTGGATCCACCCCTGTAGGATACTTAAGCAGAGTACCAAACAAGAACCGACAGGGGGAAATATTTGGGGGTCGATCAATGTTCCGAATATGCCCTTCAAGGTCCCCAGTTTTGACCATGGGTAACTTTTCGCACATGTGGTTGAAATATCATCTTGTTTTTACTGGTTTTCCCACTGGCCATCCCATGTAAAGGACCTTTTGATCAACCCCCATTTCATGCTGAGGGTTGTTTTTGGACCACTAAGCAAGCTATGCCATGGATTGCATTGTGACCTGACGAGGTTCAGAAAATGGGGGGGGTTATGGGGGGGTTGTTTGTTTGAGATGGGCGAGAGAAGGGTAAAGCCTGTCTGGGGCTTCGCCCTCACTTGTTTGGGACTTGATTGTCACTTGTTGGATTTGGTTGCCATTTTAGTGGCTTAGACAATTGTGGTGACTGCTTTTTGCTATGCCAATCCTTTCAGGAAGTGACATGTTGTTTTACCAAGATGCACGTGTATCTTTGTTCAGGGGTCCCCTTGTCGGTTTCAAAGCGAGCCACGCGTTGCACTCCATTTTGGTGGGCTCTTGTCTTGACCCCTGTCCAGGAAGTCCCCCGGGACTCCTGCTTTTCCCTGATGTTTCCCAAGTCGCCCCAACAGGATATTTGTTTGGGGGGATTTGGTGGGTATTAGGGTGGAGGCAATCTTCGAGCCACCTGTGCGCACTGAATCAGTGTTGGAGTATTGCCCTTCCTTCCACACGGCACTTGGAAGAGTCCTTCCATTTGCTGAAATTAATATGTTTGTAGTTTTCCCTGTTTGGTTTTGAAGGGAATCTATCCAATCTGGTTTTTCGTTGTTTGTTCAAGGGCACTTGGAAGCACCCGCAAGAAGTACATCCTTTTAACAAGGCACCCATACACCCGTCAGGCGCAACGGTAAGGGGCCACGGACGCTGTGGAAACCCCATATAGGGGTGTCTCGTTTTCTTGTTTTCCCTTGCTTAAGCTGGTTGAACGGAAAACCAAGGGGAAACCACGAGTTTGGCGACCCCGGAATCATTTTGAGGTTTGCCATGTGGGTTTTTTTGGTTTGCATGTTCCGAGCTTGGCTGCGCTTCTGATCTGGCTGTGGGTCAAAACCCTGTACCCCTGAACATCAGAAGTGCAAATGCATGTTCATCCACCCCAACATGGAGCCATAGGTTATGCCCCATGGCCATTTGGAGGAAACTCCTGGGTGTGCGGTGTGGGGTTTTCGGGTTGGTTCCTCTTGTGCCAGGGGCGAGCTGAGCTCAATGGTGGAGGAGAGAAGTGGTCAGGGCCGCTCGGTCGGTTTTCTCGGCAGATCTGGGCAGGTTTGGTCGGTTTGCTTGGCAGGAATGGTAGGCTTTTGTGTAGGTTTTCGCCGGTTGTGTAGGGTAGGTCTGTTTGGGCGGCTTTGGTGGGTCTTGGTCTCCCTGCCAAGGTCCTGGCTCAGGGTCCGTCCCTCCCAACCAATTAGCTACGTTCTGGACCAAGTTCGGTCTTTTTACGTATGTGTCAAACTAGGCAAGCCCCCCCCCCCCCCGCCCAAACGCAAAACGGGTGGCATTCCTTTTGGCTTCCGATTGAAGCAACCATTCAAACAAGCACCTTCAACTAGGTCCTCCAGTAGAGAGGTTAGGGTAAGGGTACCCTTTTGGCACACGGCGGGCGACGAGTTCGCCAGCTGACGGAGGGGCATGCCGCCCAACCATCTGAACAGGCCTGGTGGGACGGGTGCCCACCAGTGACACATACCACAGCCCTCGCTGTGGAGAAAAGATCTGCTCAACGCGGTGAGGATGAAACATAAACCAGAGCGCCACCAACAGGGGCTGACGGCATCAGGTCACAAGCGTAGTCAGCAAAGCATCCACGGCATTGAGCCGGGACTGCATGGTTCGCTTCATCGGGGCTTGCCAGTAGGACAACACGATGCCCTTCAGCACAATGCCCAGGGCGCCAAGCATCTGCACAAACTTCACCATTCCATTGAGAACCCCACACTGCTTGTACACGGATTCGGAAATCTGCTTGTACACGTACCCAAGTCAGGAAAGGCCAGCATCCAGGGCCGCACAGGCGCTAAGAAGGCAAAGCCAAAGCCAGCTCCCACCACCACTGCAACCACTGTACTGCTAGGCGAGGAAAGTAAACGAAAAGGCCCGAGGAAAGTCGGCATAAAATGCTGTTGCTGGGCACCGTCACGTTGAACAGCTACCGGTTGATTATCAACCCCACAAGTCCGGTAGATGAGGATGTAGCAACGCCCAAGTAGTAGAAGCCGAAACACTGTACAACTGTAGGTCTCCAGAGAGGCAAAATCACCAAGGCCACAAGGCATGTAGAGCAGCAGCACCACAAAGTATAAATCACTGCCGGAAGTGGAACTCCCGGGGAGGGACCATGAGGTTTGCACCCGGCACCTGGGGCATCAAATCGCCACCACGCAGTGAGAGGAGGGGGCCGAAGAACAGGGCCCATCCCTAACGCAGGGATGGGCACATGCAGCGGAACCCCACCAAAGCAATCCACACACCAGGACCAAAGCGAAGCAGCCATCAACGAAAGAGACCAAGCCAGGGGAAAGGGCGACACCACCAAAAAGGGGGAACAGCACGCCAACAGCACAACGGGCACAGCAGGGAGGCCACGAGGGGGCCCCGCACACGAAAAGCGGGGCACTGTGGAGGAGACCACAGCTTGGTGGACGACCAACGCACCATGGAGTGTCGCAGGTCCCCGGGGGCCCTACTCCCTGAGCTGAATGGATTTGGGCCAGACAGCTGGTAAGGGTACCCTTTTTTCGGTAGTCTATTTTAGTAGAGGAACCCTCGCTCAAAAAATTGAAGGGAAAAAGGGCACTGCTGGGGGACCTCGGCAACCACCCCCAAGTTGCACCTGCCAGGTTCTTCCCAGAAGACGCCAAAAGCCGCTGCCAGTGACCTCCCCAAGGTCCCCCAGTAGTGCCCTTCTCTCCCTTTTTTTGTTTTTTTGGTTTTGGGTTCCCCTACAAAAAATAGACAAAACAGAACAAAAGTTGGTACCCTTCTTCTAAGCTCTTGACTGGAGGACCTAGCTGGGGAAAGCCTCTGATGGTTCCGGAATCTGTAAAAACAAACGCACCAGAATTGAAACCAGGGGAAAGGAAACGTAGCGTTAGTACCCTTATTCTAATGGACAGCAGTCCATTTTACAACCCAAGAAAGACCAACACCCCAAAAGAAGGAGGTTGCAAAATAGACCCTAAGTGTCCACCATACCCCCCCCCACCCCCACTCACCCCCCCCAGGACCTCGGCACCTTGGAGCTGATCGCCTCCTGGGCCTCGGCGCCGGCGGCTTCGCTCATCGCGCCCTGGCTGCCGCGGGAGGAGCTGCTGGCGGAGTCGAACCTCAGCAGCTGGGCCAAGTGGCGCCTCGGACCTTCGGGGAGACGCTTGCTTTTTACTTGGGCGGGCTGTTGCTTTTTGGGTTAAGTCTCAGTGTTTTGTTCGGTATTATATTTTGTCATTGCTATTAGTATATGTTTTCTTGTTTTTTAAATTATTATTATGATTGTTATCATTGTTAGTTTTCTTACTATTCTTCGTATCATTATTATTATTATTTGCATTATTATTGTGATCATTGTTATTATAATAATTATTATTATTGATATTCTCACTTCCTGAATTGGTGGACTTTAAACTTTTTGGAAAGACCATTTTAGTGGTAAATAAAAAGTTCAGACATTTTTGGCCAGTCAACTTGGGAAGTGAGTATTATGTTTTTATTGTTTGGAAGGGGGGGAGCAGGTTTGTCTTCGTCAATGTCGTTTTTTGTTTTTTTTGAGGGGGGGGGCATGTTGTGCTATGATGGTTGTTGTTGTTTATATGTTATTTTCATTTTGTGTTTTGCTTGTTTTTTTCATTGTTTTTTCTTGTTTTTATCGTGTCTTGTTATTTGGAGGGGGGGTTCTTTTTCAGTTGTTGTTGCTGTTGGGTCGGGATTTTTGTTTTTTTTTGCGTTCAATCAATAACTCAGTTGCCCAAGGCCAATCAACCTGCAATGACCTTTTGTTTTTCTGATTTGGTTCATCTTGTGTCAAGGCCTCAAAAGATTAATGTTTTAGTTTGGGTCCTTTAGGCAACTAAGACAAAATAAGGAGTCCCTACAAAAGTCACTTTTAGTGGCGATTACAAATGCCTTTTGGATTTTGTGGTTTAGTTAATTTACTCAGTTGTTCACAGCGAGTCTAGGTATTCCTTGGTCAATTTTCAGTCAAGGTCCCCAGAGGTTAGCCTGTCGAAAAGTTGTAAGGGCCCATGTGGGAGTGTCTTCAAATTTGGAACCCGAGCAACTGGTGGCTTTCCATTTGAGCTTCCCTTTAAAGCCAGCCGAAAAGGGTATCCAGAAACAACCTGTTTACTGTTTGGGGTTGCTTTCAAGGGACACCAAAGGACAACTACTAAAATACTGTGGATGGCCAAAATTCATTTCGCACCACCTAAGAAACCATATCGTCCGTTGGCATGTTTTGGTTGATTTTGTATCAAAAAGATGGCCCTATTCTCCCAAAAGGACACCTATGGCAACCACAAGCCTATTTTGAGACCACCTGGTTTGAATCAGCGCTCTTTTTTATTCAGTGGACCCCCCCCCCCCCAAGACAAAACGCGATCGCGTCGTGTTCCTGCTTTCCCTTTAAAGCCCCACACCAAAAAAAAAAAACACGGGGCACGCGCGAGCCGAGCGCATGCCGACCGCATTTCGCGCGAAGCCGAGGTTCCGGGCCTGGGACGCCACGGAGGCGCAGCTCAGCTGCGGGCGCTTGGCGCTGGCCCTGGGCGCGGGGCCTCGGGCGAGCGATCGCTCCGCCCGCTCGACGGGGCACGCGGCACGGCTTGGGCGCTTTTCTGGGGCCGATTCCTTTTGAATTATAAGGGTTGATTCCCCACCTTTCAGCCAGGGAAAGTTTCACCCTTTATTGTGCATGGACGAAATCCGTTCGCACCACGTTAAAGCCATGGTTGAAACCATTGTGCGTTGGCACTTTGGAAATAGTCATTCCAGGGCTTCTTACATTATGGTGCAGGATTTCGTCCATTCACGGTATTGATAATTAGGCTGGGTTGATTGATGAAAATTTGGGGTCGCAGTTACTCAGCAGAACGATGGTTGTGAAGAATGGCTCAAAGCGTAGATTTATGGATCCCTTCTTGGATCTCCGAAGGCGACGCAAGTCCCGAAAGGGACGTCGGGCGTGATGAGCGCCCTGGCTGACCACCAGTAAGTGCTGTTCGGGTCAATCACTTGGGTGGTCCTTGGTGAACCGTATACCTTTTGAACGCTTTGGTGGTCCAAAGGTGCGCAGGACGCCTTATGTTCCTTTCTTCTCACCTTGTGTCCCCGCCAGCCGGAGAAGTTGTGAAGCCTTCCCGAAACAAAAAGGGGCATGGGGCTACCCAAAAGTACGAAACTCGCTGAAGGCCTTTCCCTGAAATTGCCTTTTGGTTTCCCTGATTTGGCCCATAGTTAGTGAAGCTTCTAAAGGGTTAATCAGCCTTTTACGTCCAGGCCCTTTGGGCAAAACAGTTCAAGGCCTATAGTTGCTTAAGATTTTTTTTGGCAGAATATAACTTTGTTGCTTTCAGCACATGGGCTTGGTCAATTTGCTAAGTTGGGTTTCTTCCGGTTAATTATTCAATGGGGAATCCACCACAGTTGTTCAGGGCCGCAAAGCCAAATTGAGTCACTCTGATAAGGAAATTTGAGGATGTCACTTTAATGGACCCAGGTCAAGGGACAGACCCGCAGAAACCGACTTTCATAAGGGTTTTGCTGAAGCTCAGCCCATGCAAACCGTTATGAATGGGTATTGGGCACCGCTCAAAGTCACATGGTGCCAAGCCTGCGTTACGCAGTTCGGGGATTTCTCTTCAAGTTGCTTTGCATAAGGTTCACGAACCAAACAGGATCCTAAATCTGATGCAACTGGCTGGGGCAAAGAGCCAGAGTTGCGATCTAAGGGGCGGGCAGTATTAGCTACATTCAGCTGTGCTTCGAATTTACTTTCTGCCTCAAATCCAAGCCGTTCATGTGATTAGGTCGGAAAGGCGGGGCCAAAAAGCTTCGAAGCGCCATTTTTCAGGGCTTTCGAGCAGGCGTAGCTGCATTTCTTTCTCTCCCTCCCCTGGGTTCATGGACTTTCACTTTGTGGGACCACTTTAAACAGCCGACAAATGGCAGTCCACTCGATCGGAAGTGAGCTGTTCTCATTGGCAATCCTTCATGGTTTTGGGTTCAGGGGAACGCTTTCCAGTCATGTTTCCTGCAGGGGCTATGGATTAGGAATTATAAAAGCAAAAACATGATTTTGAATCACCCTGCGTTCTGATGTCAAATTGGTACTTCAACAAAAGAAACAAGTCAGATAAAACAACAAAAGTGAAACCATGCCAACAATCAAGCAACAAGCGTAAAAAAACAACGGCAATAGGAGAATAGCAAATCAGATAAATCAAACAAAACAAAACAAAAAACGAACAGATGCCAAACATCAGGCAAAACGCGGAAAAACAAAAGCAACAAGGAACACAAAAGGAAGAATACTCCATCCCAGCCTAACTCCGCCGTATCGCATCGCGGATTGGCCCGCGTCTCATTTCCAGGCTCTGCGGTGCGGGCTGCGGCGGACCGCCAGGGCGAAGCTCTCGAAGACCCCTTCGCGGAGGCCAGGGGAACGGGAAAGCGTGTGGTTTAATGTTGACCCAGGATTAATAAACCTCTGTCCCATTATTAGGGGGGTGGAAACCCCTCCAAAAGTGGTCTGAATCCAACCACGAAAAGGAATTGGACACCCCCCGATCAAAATCAACCAGGGGTTCTGCTTAATCTGGGGTCAACATTAGGTGTCTTCCATCTGAGGTGCGGGGGAAAGGGGGGTTCCTCATGCATCCAGTTGCTGAAATGACTTTTTGTGTTTTCACTTTTTAGCAGGGGAGCAGAAAGCAACCAACATTTGCTTGGGGGGAATGGGGGAAGGGGATGGGGGCGGAGGGGATCCTCAAACTACCCTTTAAACACGGAAAGCCACCCATAATTGTGGGGCAACAAACAAACTTTGCAGGGGTAGTTTGACTAGGTCCCCCAGCTAGGTGCCCTCTTGAACCCTTTTTGGGTTGGGAGGGTTCCCCTACTAAGATAGACAAAACAGACGAACAAAGTGGGTGGGGGCGGAGGGGACCCTCCAACTACCCTTTAAGCACGGAAAACCACCCATAATGTTAGGGGAAACAAACTTTTTTTGAGGGGTAGTTTGACTAGGTCCCCCTGCTAGGTGCCCTTTTGAACCCTTTTTTGGTTGGGAGGGTTGCCCTACTAAGACAGACAAAACAGAAAAAAAGTGGGTACCCTTATTCTATATTGTCTACATGGAGGACCAAGATTTGCTTGGGGGGAAGGGGGAAGGGGATGGGGGCGGAGGGGACCCTCAAACTACCCTTTAAAAACGGAAAACCACCCATATTTTTCGGGCAACACACAACAAATTCAGGGGTAGTTTGACTAGGTCCCCCAGCTAGGTGCCCTTTTGAACCCTTTTTGGGCCCCTACTAAGATAGACAAAACAGACGCAGAAAGTGGGTACCCTTATTCTAAAATGTCTACTGGAAGACCTAGATTTGCTTGGGGGGAAGGGGGAAGGCGCATGGGGGGGAAGGGGGAAGGCGCATGGGGGGGAAGGGGGAGGGGGGGGGGTGGTGGGGTGGGGTTTTGTGTGGGGTGGAGTGGGGGGGTGGTCAATAGGATTTTTTTGATGTGCTGAAATGAATCATTCTGAGTTTTGTTTTTCGCGAGAGACTTGAGCACATGGACGTCTTTTTGGCTAGCTTCAACAACACCCTCAGTTGTTCAGTGGCGCCAATTATTTTCCCTTTTTTTTGGTGGCTGCCCTACTACAAATGGTCCGAGCCCCAAAAAGGGGTCCCTTTTTTTTCCAGGGTCACTGAACTGAGAACCCTGGTTGATCAGCAAGGGGGGTCCTGGTCCCTTGGGCTTGGGGAGTCAGACGTGAACGGATCAGGGGTCATATGCCTTTCACAAACAGAAGAAGCACCCCCCGCCCCTAAGTTACAATTGCCCATGCCAGCTTTCGTTTTCACAGCCCGTGTGCTGGACAGCCCCTTTTTCGTCTCATCCCTCTGAGAAAATACGTTTCTCTTGTTCAAAGAGCAGCGGTTGGGAGCTGGGTGCCGAGGGGTGTCCTTTCAAATTCCCCCTGCAAGAAAAGGCAAAGAAACAATCAACAACTACCACACAACATCCTCCCCTTCCCCTTCCCCCCCCCAAAAAAATAGATCCACAAACACAACGTAACGCAACCTTCAACTACATTTGTCTGCCCCGCCCCCCCTCCCCCAGCAAAAACAAGCCCTCCTAGGTCCCCCAGTAGTGCCCTTCTCTCCCCTTTTTTTGTTGGGAGGGTTCCCCTACTAAAATAGACAAACAAGAAAAAACGACGGACCCTTGTTCTAACCTCTCTACTGGAGGACCTAGTGTTGTTGTTTATTCCTTGTTGGTGTTGATGGAAATCAGGTTTTAGTTGTTTGGTTCCATTTTGTGTACCTATGTTTGACCCACACCCATGTAAAATAATCCCTCTTGGCTTCCCAGTTGTCATGTTCAATGGCCCACTTTGTTTAAAAAACATTTAAACAAAAGTTCCTTCCGTTTGCTCGAGAATTGGTTGTTTTCGTTTATTCCTTGTTGGTTTTCATATACAATCTATCACTACTCAAAAATTAGATGTCTTTCCCTCCAAAAAACTTTGGCGACCCAGTAGGTCCACCCAACCCCGCCAAACCCCACCCCCCCAACCCCCACACCCCAGCCAACCACCCACCCAACCCTCTTGGCTTTCCCTCCAATAGAGTCATGTTCAATGGCTTACTTGGATATAAAGCAGTTTCTTCCATTTGCTGAAGATGTTGTTGTATTTTGTCCCTTGTTGGTGTTGAAGGAAATCTGTCGCTACCAGAACTGTTATATGTTTTCCACGGGACGCAAAAACAGTTGGAAGGTTCCCATTCTTCAGAACCTGGTAACCAGGCTCCTCACAAAAAGGGGGGCCGAACGGACCTTCGGTTCTGGCAAGCGCTTTGCTGTTTGTGTTTTTGTTGTTTTTTTTTTTTTGGGGGTGGAAGGTTGCGTGCATTTTCACCTGGGTTGCAGAAGTTTGGCTTCGCTTCCATTCGGCTGGGGGTTCCCCGCCGGAGGTTCTGGCGCTGCTCTGCGCCACCGGCGAGGCCTCCGTGAGCTCCTCGCGCTTCGTCTGCCCGGGCGCCCGGCCGTCGCGCGCGGCGGCGCCGCTCCCGCGGAGGGTGCGACCCGTGGGCGCGGGGTCCCGGCGTGGGCGTCGTTTTTTGTTTTTTTTGTTTGGGGAGGGTCGCACATAGAGGTCGATTCCGTTTTGTTTCTCCCCTTGGTGGTGGTAATATGGGGAGCCCTGCCAGATGATGAGCTTCCCTCAAACAGGGTGGGTTGGAGCCGAATCGGTGGTTTGGTGGAAATGCCGTGATTTCCCATCCCTCAAGAATCAGGGGTAAGAATCAGGGTCCAAATCCAAACCAATCCCAAATTACCAATGGGTACGCTGAGACGGATGTCCGAGCCGCGTTCCTTGAACTGGCTGGAAGGGATTGAGCCAAGCTCAATGAATTGGAGCTATCGGAGATCTGGTTCGGGACATCGTTGAAGCCACTCCTAGAGGTCGTTCAATAGAAGCCAATGAAGTCATCCAACTTTTGGCATCAGCTTCAGATGGAGGGCGTCACTTAGAGATACCTTGGGCCGTTCGGGACCAGCGAATCCGGTCCAACTTGGGTTTTTAGTTGCTTGTAGGGTTTGGTGCGGGTGTCCATTTAACCCACTAAAAGTTAGTCGCTTTCAGCAGGGGATCTGAAAACGGACAGCCCAGATACGTAACTATCATGATAGTTACGCATCCGGGCTGTCCGTTGCAGGGGATTGTTTGTTGATCTGTCCCTGGCTCTTTTTTTTGATAATTATTGTTTGGATTGCCTTTTTGCCTTTTGAGATATAAGGTACCCCACTGTGCGGTTGCCGTTAAAGGGAGCCAAAGACAACGGACGACACCATTTTTTTGGTAAGGGGAGGGGGTCCTATTGTTTTTTTTTTTTTTTTCCCCAGGTATGGGCATGTTTGGGCCTCCCTTAGCGGTTGAATCCAGTTTGGATATCAGTTTGTGTTGCGCGACACCCCAAAAAAAGCGTAGTAGGATGGGCATATGAATTTCCGCTTCGTTGCTTTTTGGAGGCATGGAGCTATGCATCCCAAACAGGCTGCTTCAGCGCGTACCCCTTTACTTGGTGGCTCTCAGCCATCCCCTTAGCCTGTTAGCTTTTTAGTGTTTAGTGGTAGTTTCCATTTAACCTACTAAAAGTTAGTGACTTTTAGCGGGGGATCTGAGGGCAGCCCAGTTTATAGAGCTTCCGGTCCATATCTCCAAAACCCATACCATGGGCCCCAATTCTCCTCCGGAGCGGTTAACATGGACCCCAAAGCTGGCAGTGCCGAGGCGAGGTGGCTGCTTCGGCGTCCATGATCCTGAGGAGAGGGGCTGGCACCCTTGAACGGCACATCCCAGTGGATCCCAGCTACCTATACAGAAGGAAACCAGCCATTGCCTGTTGGTTGTTTAATGGCTGGTGCCCTTAGTTACCTACTATATGGAATCACGGGGCGTAGGATGGGCTCCTGGTCCGTATCTATTAGGTAAAGGCACTTTTCTATATATAGCGGGATGCGTGATTTCCAGTTGAAAAAGCCAAACAACTGCTTTTCAGTGTTGAGGTTGCACGAAACTAGAGGCGACTCGACAAACAGGCATCAGGCATCATAAGACGTTGGCTCAGTATTTGGTTTTGGGGTGGGCCGTGCCTCTTTAGCGCCTATTCGTGTAGGTATATATCATGTTGCTTGAGGGTGCTTGGTGAAATCAAAGAAACTCCCTCGAGTGACAAGCTTGTGATGTTCAATGGCCCGCTTGGATATAAAGCAGTTTCTTCCATTTGCTGAAGATGTTGTTGTATTTTGTCCCTTGTTGGTGTTGAAGGAAATCTGTCGCTACCAGAACTGTTATATGTTTTCCAGGAGGCGCAACAACAATTGGAAGGTTCCCATTCTTCAGAACCTGGTAACCATGCTCCTCACAAAAAGGGGGGCCGAACGGACCTTCAGTTCTGGCAAGCGCTTTGCTGTTGTTGTTTTTTTTGGGGTGGGGGGTTGAGTGCATTTTCACCTGGGGGTTGCAGAAGTTTGGCTTCGAAGCTTCCATTCGGCTCGGGGTTCCCGAGAGGACCCGCTCGGCGCCCGATCGGCCGGCGCGGGGCCCCGACGTGGCCTCGAAATCCTCGACGCCTTCGAAATGACGGGGGGCTTCAAAAGGGGGAGGAGGGGAGGAGGGGGAGGAGGGAGGAGGGGGAGGAGGGGAAGTATATGTTGGGTTCATGGTGGGTTTAGGGTGGGTTTATGGTAGGTTTCTGGTAGGTCTATGGTGGGTTCACGGGGTCAACAAAAAAGTACCTCTAGGATAGATGGACAAACCCATGGATAAAAGGAACGCCGCCTTACCGGGACAAAGAAACCAAGCCTTGGGCCATTCGGGGGCAGCGAGCTCAGTTTGAAACGATCACACATGACTTCACTGTTCCCAGTTGCTCAGTGCCCTTTTTCTTCAACTTTGGGAAGGGTTCCCCTTCTCAGTTGTTCAGTGGCACCATTTTTTTTTTATATTGGTGACTGCCCCACTAAGGGTTCCCTTTTTTCCAGGGTCACTGAACAACTGAGCCCTTCTACAAGTCAAGCACCTAAAAAAAAGCCCCTCGGGGATTAGGGGGGGTGTTGCGCCCACAGTGGTCTGAGTCCCCACTAAGCTCGCTTCCTGAGCTCACAGACTCTAAAAAAGTCAGACTTTTTGTTCGGCCAATCCACTCATGAATCGAGTAAAAGGGGACACTTCCCATCTCTCAAAATCCACCAGTTCTACTTAGATCCAGGTTTCCGGTACAAGTTCTCGAGCTCACTCAACATGAGAAGGCCAGATACGTGCAGCTGTTTTTGTTTTTTCCCGGGTAGATTTGACGTATTTAATTGCGGAAAGGCGGCCAAGCATTGAACATCAACATGAGCAATCCCTTCCTTTCCCTTTTGGACAAACCAGGGCGAGCCACGAATGGGAGGAAGCACCAGACGGAACAACTCCTGTGTATCACTGACTTCCTGAGTTCATGAGCTTTAAACTTTTTGGGAAGACCATTTTAGTGGTAAACATAAAGGTTAGACTTTTTGTTGGGCCATCCACTCAGCCAGGGAGATCATGGATTCCTGGCTTCTACCACACACTAGCTTGATTTCTCCCAAAACCATCCAAGCAGAGCGCATTCTGACACTGGCCCAAGTGACTGTGCTCACTTTAGGCTCAAACCAACCTGGCGGCAGGAGCTGGTGGCAAAGCCATGCCGCAAACTACTGTAATATAGCAGCCTCACCTAGACCCGGATCAAGCTCACCCACAATACAAATATATATATATATATATACACATACTACCTCCATTCGCTTAAGAATATTGTTTATTTTCCCTTGTTGGTTTTATAAGGAAATCATCAGCACTGGACTTTTGTTTTTTCCTGGGGCCTTATCCAAATGGAAGATGAACGGTCTTTGCCCGGAAGCAGCAGAATCACGAGCCCCTTCAAGTTTGCCCTTGAGCAGAAGTCCAACAAGCTCATGCATTTTCCTCGGGTGGGTGCGGACATCAGCTTTTGGAACGGCCTGTATGGACGAACTGCATTTCGCACCACCTAAGATACCATGGCTGAAACCATTGATTGTTGGTATTTACGTGGGAATCATCACTCAGGGGTTTCTTATATAGGTGGTGCAGGATTGTGTCCATCCACAGGATTTGATTTGAAAGTTCTTTTAGTGGGGTGGTGATGTTTGACGGCGGAGCACATTTTCAAGACCGGGGGTGGGCAAGTTGTGTTGAAACAACCAGCCCCTTGCCGCTGTAAGATGGATATCCGCAGGGGCTTATTTCATTTGCAATTCTGTGGATGGTGGCGAAATCCGCTTCTCGCACCACCGTGCAGAAACCCTGGAGCGATGATTCCCCGGCAAAAACAAACAAACTACAGTGCCCCATGACTCGACTGCTATTGGGTTGCATCTTTAGACTTTAACTTTTCTGGAAATAAAAAGTGTTTTCCACTAACCCCCCCAAAAAAAAAGGAGAAAGAACAACTTTTTGCAGCAACCAAGGGATTTCGCCCATCCACGTCTCGCCTTTCTGGCCTTGCTTCTGCGGCTGAGGCTGACACCCCGCCGCCCGAGTTGTCCAAGGACGTCAGTTGAAGCAGGGGTTCCGAGGAAGCATCCTACCGCACCTCATGATTTTTGTTGGTGCATGCCTTGCCGAAAAGTGTGCCTGGACCCTCAAACTACTCTGAAAGGGAAATCACCCCAGTTGAAGAAAAACATCTTTGGTGCATGTTGCTTGGATGTTAGGACTTTTATTTTTCCCCAACTAATGGGGTTTTCATTAAGTCACTAAAAGTTGCACTTTAAGCAGCGGAGCAGAAAGCAACCGAGATGTAATTAGCTAACTTTCCTCAAGTTTCGGGATGCTCTAAATCTTCGGCGTACCATTTTTCTAGGGGTAAAATCCATGTCCATTCTTTCCAGGGGTGCTTCTTTCTAAAAGCCACCCAAAACCCTGAGGAAACAGCCGGTTTTGGAAAAGAACGATCGTTGAAAAGAATGGACAAGGTATCAACCCCTAGATTTTTTGCGGCAAACACCAAGTTGTGTCACGTTTTCCAGGCGCTGTCCACTGAGTACGCGAGTTTCCGGGATCGTTTCATGGGCCACCCCATTGTTTAGTGTTTCTCGCATGCCGACCGATGTCCCAATCCGTTTGCTGTTGGTAGAGAATCCGTTTAGACCATTATTGGGTGTGTTTTTCAGGGAATCACGGCCACCGTTTCGAACATGGCTGGCATATTGGCCGGGGCAGCCAAGACATCTATCGCCCGAACAAGGCGTCCGCAGGAAAAACATGTGACAGGGAAACACAGAAATCAAGGTTGCTCCTTTTGCCGAATTCCGTTGCGTGTGTTTATTTGGCCGATAAGTATTGCACGCCAACGGGAAACCGGCCTTGGTTTTCCTGTCCTCCCCTATGCCCCGCGCCCCGCCCCCCTTCTCTAACCCGAGCTCAACTCAAACCACTTCCCCCACAGAAATATGTTGCATATGTGGGTAATTGTATTCTTCCATTTGGTTGAGAATATGTGTTAGTTTCCCCTTGTTGGTTTTAAAGGGAATCTATCACTACTAGAAATATGTTTTCCCAGGGGTCTTAAGCAAATGGAAGGATCTTCTTTTGGTTCAGAGCCCGGGCGCCCGGGCTGGGCATGCGCCGCATGCGCGCTTCAGGAGCCAGCTGAGGTGAAGGTCCGCTTGACCTTCATCGGCATCTCGGCATGCAGCGCTCGTTGAAGACCATCCCCACCCTCTGAAAAATGGAATTGCGCAACTAGGTCCCCCAGTAGTGCCCTTTCTCTCCCCTTTTTTGGGGGAGGGTCCCCCTACCAAAATAGACTACCGAAAAAGGTACCCTGGTTCTAACCTCTCTAGGCAAGGGTGTAAATTCTGGAGTTCCATGTATGGTTCCATTTTGCCAAGACGAAGTCTATGGAGTTGGGGGACACCTTTCTCCAGCGCACTACTCGCAGATAAATTGCCGATCCCCTGGTAGTTATGACGCGGGCCGTGCGTACGCACCCCCCTGCTTTGTTTTGTCAGCGTGTCCCTTGCTGGTGATTCTGCCCCCCTGCCAATAGACTTGAACCGTATTCAACAAATAAAGCCCGTAGGTCCTAAGCCAAACTTTCATATACAATTGTGCAATCAACAATCACTATCCTACACCCTTTCGTTTCCCTGGTTGGTCCATGTTCATCAAAATGCCAACAGCCTTTAGTTCCTGGACTGCGTTCCCTTCATGTCCGTCGCGTTTGACCTTTTGCCTTGGCCTCGCTTGCCCGACCTTTGGACCTTTTCGTTGTTTTCTGTGTTGGTCCAATTTGTTCCATCTTCCGAAAGGTCAACCCCTTTGTATCTGGGTCAGGGCAAGACCTTTTGCGTGTCTTGCTTCGTAGTTTCTTTCAAGCGGCAAGAAAAGCCATGATTCCGAATATACAGATGCGGGTATTCAAGAAGTTAGCTTTTCGCAGTCTGGCCCAGTTGCTGATTTGGGGCGACAAGGGAGCAAAACTTTGCGAAAGGCAAGCCGAAAAGACCCCCCCCTCCTAAAATGAGCTGGTGGGAGCTCCTCGTAGATCTGCACAGCAGTACACTCTGACGGCCAGAGGAGTCCGCGGAAGGATTATTTTGGAGATCCTTTAAAAAAAACATGAACATTGGAGACAACAGCTTTTGTTTGACGTACAGTCTTTTTGGGTGTTCTTCGATTCGACTGAGGCGGGGTAACCTCGCTCCTCTTTTTGGCTTACATGCGGTCGAGTCAAAAACTGGAGTCGTGCACCCGGTTTTTGCGTGTTTCCTACGGTTTGTTTCGAGTTTCCTACGCGTCTTCTTGGGATTTCTATGGGTGTTTTTTGGTTTCCGCAGTTTTTTTGGGGTAGGCCACCGGCCTCCTAAAAGTGCATCATGCCACTCATGACCCGCAATCTCTGCATTGCGGGTGTGTTTGGGGGTCGCCAAACATCATGAGGGCACCGCACCACATGAAAACACAATGTGGCTGGGTGGTTCAAAGGCTGACGAAAGGAAACACACATGTATGATTATGTATGTATGTACGTTTGTATGTGCACATGTCGTATAGATGCCCCTTATTTCGGCCTTGTATAATTATAAGCACGGGTCCTGGGGCTTCCTTATTTGGGTGGCTCAAGTATTGCCTGTGGTCGCCAATTTGAATTAAGTGCCCCTTTGAGGTGATTCACAGGGGACATCCTAGACACCCTGTACTAGCTACATATCAAAACCCAGACCCGAAGTCTCTCATCCACCCCCCCCCCACCCCCCCCCCCCCCACCTCCCCCCCCCCACCCCCCCACCCCCCCACCCCCCCCCCCCCCCCACCCCCCCACCCCCCCCCCAACCGCCTTAGCGAGGACTTTGCGGGCGCCGGCGCTTCGTCTTCCTGGACCCGGAGCTGCGGGTGAGCCTCAGGCCCTGGAGCTCTCGTCTCACAGTTTTCGTTTCGCATTTTTGGGGTGGAGTCCCTTTGTTTTCCACTCACCAGGCAAAAAAAAGATAACACCATTTGCTGGGGTCCCTTTTTTGCAGCCTAGAAATGATCATGAGAGCATAGGTGTCCTTTTTGGTTGTGTTGGTTGAAAAATCGGTTGGGCGATTCCTGGTTTACCTGGTGGTTTAATCATCTACCAGGGATATCCATCTGTTTCCCCTAAACGGGCACCTATGGTTGCGCTCGTTTTGGAAGCCACCGGAGTTTTTTGTGTCGAGATCTCACTGCCTGCGCTCCGCAACCCGGATTCGATGGGCGCTTCTTGATGGCTTGGGGAGACCATTTTAGGGGGAAATGAAAAGTTAGGACTTGATCGTCACTGTTGGGGAGACTGTTTTAGTTTGGTTGCCATTTTAGTGGGAAATGTCAAGTTCGGACTTTAGTCACTTTTGGGTTTGGACCGTTTTAGTGGGAAATGAAACGTTCGGACTTAGTTCCGGAACTCGAACATGATCGTCACTTTTTGATGGTTTGGGAAGGTCGTGTTAGTGGGGAATAAAATCAGTTGGGCTACCTTTTTTTACCAATCCACTGATCTATTCATATTCATGTTGACCCCAGGTCTAAGTAGAACCCGTCCTATCAATAGTTTGGTGTTCTCTCAAGAGTGATCCGGATGCCAATTAAAAAGGGGGTAACATATTCAATCACCAGAGATTTATTCATGCGGGGTTTCTATTATGTGTTTCTGCAGTTGGTACCCTGTTCTACCTTGGTTTTAAAGGAGAGCCAAATCGAAATTCCAACAGTTGTTGGGGTATCCTTGCGTTGACAACCCCAAATGGATTTGCCTCTAAATTGGGGGGGGGGCTGTCTTGTTTGAGAGTACTTGCCCCATGTCAGTTGGTGTTGAAGGGAAACCAACAGGAAACCACACATTGTTCAGCTCCTCTGTCTTGAGACAAACCCAAATGAGCCACAATCACAACCCGGGTAGATGAAGGTTAGTAAGGGACAATCCCAACCATACATAGCTGTGGCCGCCTTCTTCATTCTTTTGATCGCTCTGGGGATCGACCATTTGAACCCAACTTTGAGTATGACTCAAATGAGTCCGTGTTTTGAACAGAACCAAACAAGAAGAAACCGAAACCAGCTTGTCAAGAACAGCGAAATCCCAACAAGACTCAGGAAGCCCTGCACCAACAGAATTTGGTTTCCCTTAAAAGCCAACCAAACAGGCGCAACCTTGAAAGGGATCGCTTTGGTCACGCAAAGGCTGGGGGTGTCTTTGGTCAAAGTGCGAGTGGAGTTACTTTCAAATTGCAGGAGTTGGACCTTTAACTTGGATGTGTCCAAAATGTGATTCAACCTCGGAAATTTCAAACCCTGCTAAATGGCGGGTTTTTTCTTTTGGTTTCCCTTTGGAGCCAACCAAAATTGGACGCCCGGAAAAGAACAGGCACACCCGTACGAACTCACCTATGATCCTCTAACGTGAGCCGCTAGCTCATGCCCTCTCATTCACTGGGGCTTCCTGCAAAGCTCTTTTCAACAAACCTGGGTAGAATCAACATGGTGCTATTGGGTGGGTTCTTTTTAGACTTTGTCTTGTTGTTGAAATGAAGTTGGTTTTCCATTGAACCCACGGGGTCAACAGCAACCAAAGAAATATGAAACAGAATTCGACGTCACTATGGCTTGTGTACCCTTAGTCCAAGATGAGGTGTCAAGATGTTGGTACCCACGTTCTGCTTCGCCAGTTGGGAAATGGAGAATCGCTTCAGATCACAGAAGGGTGACATGTATATCCAGTAGTGAAATCGATTTCCTTTAGAATCAACAGGGAAACCGAATGGAAGCACTGCAAACCCAACCCCCATTTGCTTCAGCCCGCTGAAAAACAAGAAGAAACACTTCCAGAAGTGACACATCCCCTTTGAAACCAATAGTTTGCTTGGCAATAAAGAAAGGGGAAGAAAAAAACGTAGAAGCAGTTTCAGCTGCTTAGACAGGCGTTGAAACCACTTGTAGCGACAGACGCGCCTCTCCAGGGACCTTTTGAGTGGTCTGGCGGCGGACTCGGTGGGCTTCAGCTTGGCCCAGGCACGGAGGTTCGGCTTCGGCGGGGTGGGAGGTCATCGGAATGGTGCGAAAATGGTTCTGGTTGCCCTCACTTCCTGAGCTCATGAACTTTAAAAACTTTTTGGGTTTGGTTGCCATTTTAGTGGCAAGCATATAAAGTTTGGGTACTTTTTTGGGCCTTCCACTCAGCCAGTGAGTTCCACTGGCTGAAAATGTGTCTCTTTTTTATTTTGGCTTTAGCAAACAAACTGGTGGTTTTTTTCCAGGGGATGTGCCACTGGAAGTGTTTGTTGTTTCCTGAGTGCTTCCATTTGTTTTCCCTGTAGGTTTTACAGGAGTCGATTTCACGTACTGGATATACCATGCCTCATCTTTTTTCGGGGCTTTTTGGTTTGGCTCCCCGGTCCTCCGGGCCTCAGTCCTTCGGCCCCCGCACGAAGCCGCAGGCGGAGACACAAAACCGGTCCCAAAGGGAAGGGCTGGGACTTTGGGACCTGAGTTCATGGACTCTGGTCACTTTTTGGCGCGTGGACCATTTTGGTTTACAACATGTTTGCTTACTTTTGGTTGGCCAGCCCTCTTAGGAAGTTCGCGGTTGTCGAAAGCTCAGCTTTCAACATGTTTAAGGCCCATGAGCTAGAAAGAATGTCCATGTTGGTCTCTGTTTTTGTTTGTTCTTCTTCTGGTTCAGGCTTTGTTGAGATTGATTCCTCCCAGAGTAGTCCCTACGGTATGGCTTGAGCCAATACGGCATGGCGGAAAGTTGAGATCTGCGTTGCTTCGCCTCTGTGGTGGAATCTTCCGGTCTCAGGTGGCCCTTCTTGGGCTTGCTTCCGGAAGTTGAAAGGAACCGATGCATTTGTTACCCGCATTTTAGCTCGGGTGGCTCCCAGGCATCCCGGTTCCTTAGCTTTTTTTTGGCTTTTTGGCTTTTAAGCGTTTAGTGGTTGGATGTCCATGTCACCCACTAGTTCACCTTTTAGCAGGGGATCTGAAAACGGACAGCCCTTTCAACGGGCGCGGCCGTTTCTAGGGGCCCACCTTCCGTTCCATCTCCAGTTCCCGAGCTCCAGCTTCACCTAGCCAAAGAGCCCAGGGCTTTCTCAGTGGTTTAGTGGTTTGGTGCCCATTTAACCCACCAAAAGTTAGTCACTTTCAGGGGATCGGAAAAGGAACAGCCAAGTTTTCTCCATGCCCTCAGTTGTTCAGTGGCACCCATTCTTTTTCTTTCTTTTTTTGTTGGGGGGGTGGCCCCGCTAAAAATGGTCCAAGCCCCAAAAAGGGCTCCCTTCTTTTCCAGGGTCACTGAACAACTGAGTTAGGGGAGTCCAACATCCTTTTTGGGCTGTATACCAAGCTGAGGAATCCCCGCAAAATAAATTAGTCCCCAAACAAGGGGCGCCCTGATTGGCGTTGTCCTCCAGACAAATACGAAGGTGACATTCACCTTTTCCCTTTTCAGCCGAGAGTCTTAGCAACACGCTCAAGCCCCTCCCGCCTCATGTGTAAGTGCACACACACAATTTGGACAACTGTACCCTCGTTTTGCACATGTCGTTGACATGTCTTTGCGCACTTCCATGTTTATGAGTGGGAGGGTCCTTAAACGGGTGCCTCAGGTAAGTGACGACCGCACCCTGAGGATCCCTCCGAATCGATTGTTTCAAGATGCCAACCCAAGGCAATTGAACACTAAGCCACTTGTCGGACGTACCCTCCTCCAGGCTGGTTTGAACAATGAGGCTCGGTACCCTTTTTGAGGGGCCCGGTTTTCCCTCGAACAGCCAGTTTCACTGTTGTTGGCATTTTTTTTCCGGGTTTGTAGGTTGTAGGTTGTTTACTCATGCTAGGGCTCCCAGCAAATTGGGCTCCTTCAACTTGTCCTTTGGGGTTGCTGGGGCTACTCAGCGAGCCGTCAGGAGGCCAGCGGCCTTCGCTTCTTCTTCGCTGGCCGGGAGCTGCCGCAGGAGAAAAGCAAATCAACCTGGAGTCTCCTTCCGACCCTCAAGAAATGGGGTTCATTGCCCAAAGTGATGGTTGGTCAATGGCCCATTTTTTTTTAGGGGTCAGGAGACAGGAAGATGTCCTTCCATTTGCTGGAATGAACATGCTTATTTGCCCTGTTGGTGTTAGAGGGGATCTATCACTAGTGCAAACATGTTCTGATGTTTGTCCAGGGGACTTAAATGAAACTTTGAAGCATTTCTCAGTTGCAACCAAAGCAGATCGACTGGACCTGACCTTGTAGTTTTCCATGTTTGGCATATCTTCTTGGTGGTGCCAGCCGTCTCTGTAGGTTTTTTGTTTTCTTTTTTTGGGGTTCAGTGGGGGTTTCCATTTAACCCACTACAAGTCAAACGTTTCGCAGGGGATCTGAGGAAAGCTCGGTGTTTGGTCAAACAAGTCCCCAAAATTGAGCCTTCTATTTCCAGGTTCGACAAAGACAACTGGGACATGATACCCCTGACACCCCTGGAACCATTCTTGTACCGGGCTGGTTTTTGGTGTGACCCTGGCCTGTCCCCGAAGAAGCAATCGGCCTGGGCTGTTCCATTAACTAGGTCCCGCAGTAGTGCCCTTTTATATACCCTTTTTGGAAGGAGGGTTCCCCTACTAAAATAGACAAAACAGAAAAACAAGTTGGCACCCTTATTCTAACCTCTCTACTGGAGGAGCTAGATAAACCTACGAAAGGTCGGACTCGACCTTTTGCTTCCGCTCGGACAGTTTCTGCTGGCAAGCGCCAGTCACAACTCCGCCATTCCAGCAGCAGCGATCCCCACGGAGGTCAAAGCAGGTGAGACCAACTTACGCCAACCCTGGGGGCTAAATATGTCAATGTTTAGTGCGTCTTATAGCTTTGGATAATGGGTACTTGACTAAACCAATTCAATCTTAGGCCCATGAAGGAAAAACTAGCTTCCTCTTTCTGCAAGACCCCTGAAGTGGGGGAAGCAACAAAAACGGGGTCTAATCAACCAGTCCCAACACGCATGGCTGGCCTTGTTGGTCTACTATCATCAAAGTCAGCCCCTAGCGCCCCAAGTGGTAGGTGAAAGGGAAACAACCACTTTGATAGCCCCCAGAAACAGAACCAAAATGATGAGCCCCAAGAACCAATGGGTTCCCTCGCTGCGGGGCCGGCCAACCGGCCAACCGCCCACCGCATGCTGCCGGATCGATTCGCGGATCGATCTGCGCACGAGCCATGGAGCGGGATGCGGCGATCTTTCAGTCCCTGGCGCTGTCCCGTGGCAAGAAAAGTCCGGGAGGTCAGCGGTCAGACAGTTGTGTTTGCGTCCACTTGCTTACGAATGTGTTTGCTTCCAGCTGTTTTAAAGGGAGTCCATCACTGCTGGAGTGTTGTTTTGTTTTTCAGGGACTTAAGCAAATGAAGGTCTGCGTGCGCGCGCGCGTGCGAGGGTGCAAACCGAAAGAGAAAACTGCCGTTTTGGTGGTGCCCCCTATTTTGACGACACATACCCATGTTGATGGCAGCAAGCGGTGCACCGTTTATGTACCATATGCAGGTTCAGTCAAGGCAATAAAGGGTGAATGAGGCCTTGGCTATTTCGCTTTGCGCATCGGGAGGCCTTCATTCACATGAGAATCACGTCAGGGCTTACCAACGTGTACGGGTGTGTGGCAGGCAAGGTGCTTGCCACATGTATGAGCGGATTAGTTCGGGTGAGCTTGGCCGTTTCATGCATCTGCTGGTAGACAACTTGCTGCCGTTTTCAGGATGGGGTCGAACAGTCGAAAAGGGGTCAAGCAACAAAGACGCTGAGAGATATTATCAAGTTGCCCCACGCAAGTTTCAGGACCCCAACTAAAAGGAGACTTTTTGCTACACGCTTGCGGGTGTGCGCTGGACCCTTTGGGTTGATTTGAGGGAACTACTCATTTTGGTGTTGGACCATGTTCCTCACCTCTCCGTCGGCTTCGAAACGTGGACAGGACGGCGTTCGCCCCGGGTTTCGGTGGCATGGAAAAGGCGCACGGATGGCAATTAGTACCGAAGTGTGAAATCGGTCTATCTGAGGTAGAACAAGCTTACCGTCACGAAGGTCCTTTACTTGGGACCCCCTTCTGTTCCCAAAGAAGACTTAGCTAGAGCTAGTTCCCACTTCCTTTTTTTCCGCTTTTTAGGGGTCCCCCTTTGTTTTCAACTCACCGGGCCAAACAAACAAGCGTGTTTTGCTGGGGCCCTCTTCTTCCAGCCAACAAAAACGCCGCGGACTGTGCATGGAAGCTTCCAGCTCCCAGGTCACTGGCGTCCTTCACCAGCGACTTTCCGTACTTGAAGGCGTCGATCTGCGAGCGAGATTTTCGTGGATTTGAGCTGAGTCGTTTTTGAGGCTCGGTACTTGGCTTTTTCGAGGTCCATTAGTTTTTGTTTTGTTACTTCCGTCCCTCGCCTCCCTTTGGGCGGGTTCCTGTGGTTCCTTGCCCAAAAAGGGCAACTTCAAAAGAATTTGGGCTGCCCTTTGTTGCCAGGGTCACTGGGCAAGTGTGGCCTCCTCCTTGTCTTCCAAAGTTGCCCCTTCAGTCTAAGATGGTTGCATTCTGCCCAAATCGAAGCTACCCTGGCTACATGATTGTGTGATAGTGTCTTGTTTTGAGGGTACCCCTTCGTTTCTGGTTTGACAGCAAGGAAAGCCAACGTTTTGGGAGGTCCCCCAAGTGGTTTCAAAAGAAACACCAAAAAGGACACCCGCCATTCCGGGGGGGGCCCGAGAAAAAGACGAGCCACCGATATATCAGGCAACTCCTATGGGTGGTTTGGATTAGCGGTTTGGGATTTGGTTCTTGTGAAGGTTATAAGTGGACAACCTCCCCTTTTTTCCACCAAAGTTCGGCTCCAAACCACCAACCAGATGGAACCTGAATATCACTCATACTCATACAGCTGTTCTTCCATTTGCTCCCGAATATGTGTGTGTGTGTTTCTCCTTTTGTTGGTTTTACAACGGAATCGATTTCACTCCTGGCCATCTGGTCTATTTTTGCCAGGAACCGCATTCGCAACCGGAGGCCCTGACCGCACCCCCTGACGGGTCCTAAAAAAAAAGTCGCATCCGGTCGCTGTCGTCAGGTCCTGCGCCCGGAAAACCGTATCTCCTGCGACCCGGTGGAGGTCTTGGAAAGCTTCGGCATGGAGGGCCTCGTCTCCGTGGACTTGCTGCGAGAGGATCGCTGCCCGCGGCAAAGGGGTCGAATCGGACTCAAGGGGCCTGCGCTTTCTTGCCGTTTTTCTTTTTTTTGGGGGGGACCCGGGGAAAAAGCCAAAGCCATGTTTTTTTTTTTTTGTTGGTTTCCATGTTTGTTAAAAACCCACCCACAAAAAGGAACCTTCAGCAGCTGTTGATCGGGTTGGTTTAGTTTGCGTTGTTGCTTGTTTTGTGTCTTTTGTTTTGGTTGTTTGTGTGTTGGTTGGTCGGTCGGTCGGTCGGAGGGATCCGCTAGTGGCAATTCAGCCGACGTCGGAGATTCACCGAATCGACCAGAAGCCTTCCCCATGCAACTGGTCTGGGGGATCTTTGACCTCCATTTCAGGCAATCCCCGGATTGGCTTTCACTAGGTCCCCCAGCTAGGTGCCCTTTTTAGCCCCTTTTTTGGGGGGAGTGTTCCCCTACTAAAATAGACTACAGAAAAAAGGGTACCCTTATTCGAACCTCTCTACTGGAGAACCTACTTAAGGATAATTTGATTTCGCCCTTGTTGGTCTTAAAGGGACTCAATCCATCACTGCTGGACATAGTGTTTAATGTTTGCAGGGGGCTTAAGCAAATGGAAGTTGGGAGTGTGGAATGGTGGTTTGGATTTGGATTCGAACCCCTGTTCTCGTAGAAGGTAAATGGGGAAACCACACCCGAACCACCAAACCACCAATCCAAACCACCAATTGGAGGGAAGCTGACCATTGGCTGACTTGTGGACTTATTTTCCCCAACAGCTGAACGCTATGGAATCGCTAGCCGGCGCGCCTCAGATGTCCCAGTGCCAACGTGGGAGGAAAGGCCCAGAGTTGTGTTTTTCTCAACCGGACGGCCAACGGACTGCATTCGGGGCAGGCCATGGAGACCTGTGCAGCCTATGGCCGCAAGGCCCAGGCGGGACGTGACTGGCGATGGCACTGAGCGAGTTTCAGGTTTCCCCAAACTGGTGTTCTAATTGCGGAAAGTCATATATTGTTTTGTCCCTTGCTGGTTTTGAAAGAGAAACTACCACTACTGGAGCTAGTTTGTTTGCACGGCTTAAGCAAATTGATAGGTAGGGAAGGACCAGTCACTGCCTCTACAGCTATTGGGTCGGATCTTTAGACTTTAACTTTTTGGATTCCCTTCATAGTTCCTTTTAACCAGAAAAAAAGGTTAAGCTTTTTGCTGGGGGATCTACAGCTCTTCAAGAGTCCGGGTGATGGGAATGAACCGGTTTGGGATTCACGGGAAGCCATGAGGGATGGTTTGTGCGCGTCATTCCCTCACCTAAGCTGAACCCCCGGCCTTTAAATCGAGGGCAACAACTCCACAAATCTCCAAACCACCAACGAGGGACGAATCGGTAGACTTAGACCGGGCCCAGGTTTTGGAGCTTTGTTCTCCTTGGTTTAGAAGTCTTGGGCTCTTTTTGCGCCAAAGGAGTCCGGGGCCCAACATCTGCATGCTCAAGGGCCGTGTTGATACTGGCCAGAGACCTCCCAAGGAACCAGGGTCGTTTTCCACAGGTTTCCCAGATTCCTGCATATTCCATGTGCTCAACTTTCCCATGTTGCCATGTTCTCTTTTTTGGTGGGCCGTGTTTGAGTCGAACTTTGCCACATACCGTCACCTACCTATGTCAATCTCTTTTCTTGGCCGCTTCCAGCCATCCGTTTAGCCTTTTAGTTTTTTTAGTGTTTTGTGGTAGTTGCCATTTAACCCACTAAAAGTAAATCTTTTAGCGGGGGATCAGAAAACAGGCAGCCCAGTTTTTATTGAGGGCCCTTGTGGCTGTGACGCAGGCGCGCCTGGCGCTGCTCACCGCCGCGCTGCTCGCGGAGACTCCGCCGCTGCCTTTGGGCGCGCTGCGCCGCGCCGGGCGCAGAGCCACGGAGGCGGCGCAGCGCCGCCGAGCCGAGCCGCCGGCGGAGCGGGCGGCGCCGGTGACGCTGATGCCAGCGCCCGGGATGGCGAAGCTGGGGCGGTCTTCAAATGGGAGGACACCCCAAGATGGCTTCGGGCTCAAATTTTGTGGTTTTCCTTCTAGAACAACCACAAGAAAGATAGCGTCCAAACAAAACTGACTCATTTGTGTTTTGGGAAGCTCATCAATGGGCACATTGTCACGCCAATGTGTTCAGTCATTGCTGGTTTCCTAGGATGTGTTGTGGTTAATTTTTGCTGGTGCACTGGTTCCATGGTTTCCTTTTTTATGGCTCTATGCATTATTTTTTGGTCAAGTTGTAAGTTGGTTTCCTTTAGACGGAGGTGATTTTCAAGAGGGACATTTTGCGAGCCTTCTATTTGCCAAAATGAATCCTTCAAAGGGCCCGACGACGCTTCTTTTTGTCGGAATCATGATCTTGAGTTTGCGAATGAAGAAGATTCAGCCTGTGCTCTGGTTGCGTTTCTTTCTTCACTTCCATTTTGATTAAGTATATTTGTTTGCTTTCCCCTGTTGGTTTTGAAGGGAATCTATCACTATTGGAAATATATATTTTTCCAGGGGTCGAAAACTGTTTGGCCGACGGATGGCAGACGGTGCAAGGAGTCAAAGTAGGCTGGACCTAGATGCTCTAAGTCGGCCTTGTTTATTTCTTGCCGCCTCTTGCCATCTGTTTTTTTTTCCAATCCAGGTGTTCCCGCGAACGCTTCGGTTCAAATCGACATGGGCTTGTTTTCCCATCCAAAAGTTCCGGATTCGATCCAGAGATGCGATCCAAACATGATGGTGTTCTTTCCAGGAGTTCCTCTTCAGCTATAGTTGAAACCATCTGATGTTTGAAAGGGAAGTACGGGGAACCCTTTTTATGGTCCCGTGATCATTTCCAGGGTGAGATTTGCTGGTTTGATAGGCAGGGAATGAGAAATGGAGTGACCTGATAAAAACCAGTTGCCTTGTCCCAAGGGCGCGTGTTGGGGGTTGTCGGTCAGGTTAATTTAAAGAACCACTCCCCACATCCGACGCCCACCACATGGTAGGTGATTCCATCGGTCCCCTGTAGTTTCCTCCTTCCGGTTCATTCCCAACACCCGGACTCGTTGTCATTCGGTGCCTACCCCACCAGCAGGAGAAGTTCTTATGTTTCCTGAGGATTGCCAGGAGGATGACGTGAGTTGGTTCTTCACGGAGGAGGTGGAGGCCGTGGCAGCGGTCCCTTCGGAGCCGCAAGCGCAAGCGCCACCAGACCTGAAGTCGGTGCAAGACATCAGCGCCTAGGGGCGCAAGAGGTTGGGGGCACAGGGCATGTTCTGAAATGCCGTGGATGCTTGAAATCGAAATCCAGAAAACGCACCGCCGTTCAGAAACCATGGTTGTTTACAGGGGGAATCGAATCATTCCAGGGTTTCTTAGGTGATGCAGGGTTTCGTGCATCCACAGTTTCGGTACCTTGACTAAAACTTGGATAAGAACCAGAAAGGACAAAGGCAAGCAGGTCCATTCCCTTGGGGCAAGTGACGGAAGCAGAACACCCCACGCTGAGTCAAACTGCACTTGCCTACATGGAGAACCTTCATGGGAAAGCGCACGGATGCCCGGTAGCCGATGTGCTGAACTGGCAAGACTGGGTTTCTGACTTGGACAAAACACCCCGGGCAGGTTTGTGTGCGCGTTCAATTCCGGTCTGCCTAGTTAGCACCCTCCCACCTCGCAAATCCGATCTACCAGGAAGGAACTCAAACCGCCTTTCGTGGGGTGACAGCTGAGCAGCAACTTGGAAGACCAAGCGGAAAATCGCACCGACCTCAAATCGGCCAGAGGAACAAAGAGCGCCCGAAAATCGGAGGTTGTGTTGACCAAGTGTTGTTTTTCGGTCAACCTTCAACCCTCTCAGTCCAAAGCGAATAGACCTTTTGACCTTTGGCTTTCCTATGTGGCTGTGGCTCAAAGTCAAACAGGGGGGGTTACGCAGGTTTCCACTTGCCAGGGTGCCATTTTGGTACCGGTTTTTTGAGCCACAGCCATGTTGGTCCTTTTTTCGTCAAGGTTCCAACGATCCCTGCACCACCGAGTAAAGGGATTTCAATGTGTCCGCGCCATCGTCAAGGGTAATGCGTACTAGATGTGTTGTTTGTTTGGTTTCTGTGGCTGGTTCCAAAATGAAAGCTTCAAGTTTGAAGCGTGGTGCTTGAACCAGTTGCATTCAGCATGTTGGGCCCGGCCTCCAAGAATTGCGTTGCCGGCAGGCTGTGAGAAGCTCTTTCAGGCCCTATTAGAATAGGATTGTCTCTGGGAACCGTTCCTGACGTCGCAGAAGATCTAGGCCATGGCCCGCTTTTTTCTTTCTCAGTGAGGATCAGGCAACTCACTTGCAACCAACACGAATCACTCGAACTGTTGTTTTTTTGCTTTCTGTTTTTGGTCCATTTTTAGTCAATGATGCCCTTTTTTTCCGGGGCCTGGGGGCAACTGAGGTAGCCCTAGTTGGTGGTTTGGATTGGGTTGGTTTGGGGACTTGCACCTCTGGTTCTCGTGGGGAAATGCAAAATGGTGGAGTTGAATTTGGCATCGACTAACCAACCCAACAAAGGAGTGCTGGAGGTTGGCGTGAGCCGCTTCCCTTGTTGGTGTTGTTTAGGTTGTAATGGTGAAAGGTGGAGGTTTCCCATGTAACCCACAAGTCAAGCTTTCAGCAGTGGATTTGAGCACAGCCCCGTTGCCCACATCCACCGACAATCATACTGGGGTCATTATTTTGACGATTTCTGGGGGGTATCAAAGCCAGAAAGTGGGGTTGTTTCCCTTTAACCCACCACTTACAATTGACTTTGATCCTAGTAAAGCAAGGTGGCCAGTCATACCATCTCCAAACTCACCCTGGGGTAGAGTCCAGGGCAACGGCCGCTCAGGTGCTGAGATTTGCCGGCGCATGGGCGGTGGATGTGGCTCGATCAGCGGCAGCGGCACCGGCGAGCAGTTCTTCGTGTATGGCTGCCTCAGGCTTCTTGTCCCTAATGATAACCCCGGATTAATAAACCCCTGGTTGATCAATAGGGGGGTGTCCCCTTTTAGTGGGGATTCAGAGCACTTTTGGAGGGAACACCCCCCTAATAATGGGACGGGGTTTATTAATCCTGGGTCAACACTACCCCGTTTAAGCATGGAATTGTGGGGGAGGGGCGGCCATTCTGGGTGAATTGTAACCAGCTCACAGGACCATACCCCAAATGGTGGTTTATGTGGGGAATGTCCCCCCGAACCACCTCCCCCTTAAGGTAGGGTGGATGGTGCGATATCTTATGGGTCCCAGACCCATTGGAAATCCGACTTCGGTTATGATGCCAGAAGTGCCACGAACCACTGTTGAGGTGGTCTCCTGTTAAGGTTCAGGTCGTGATCTTTTCAGCGTGATCTGGGCAAGTTATGGCGACATCACTAGGAGGGCTGTGATGTCACACGCACAGAGGCTCCATTTTTAGGGGGGTTCCTTGCTTCCGTGGGTGAATTGATACATGTTGCCCACACATTCTAGTTTGAGGGTATTTGGTTCATCGGCTTGAGGGGTAGGGCTAGTTGGAAAAATTGGCACATTGTAGCTTGAGGGTGGGAACTTGCCCTGAGGCTGAGGCGTATAGAACTGGGGGTGCAAGTCTACACGAGAACAGAAGCAACGCCACATATGTTACAGCTGTCACGGTTCTCCGCTCACTTCCCGAGCTCCTGGACTTTTTGTTTCGGAGGACCATTCTAGCAGCAACCATGTTGCTTAATTTGTTTGGCCAAGCGAATCATTCAGGAAGTGGGGCAAAGGGAGCCACAGCACACTTACCAAAATACAGTTTTCCATTGTGGCTCAAAACCAGGGGGCATATGGAAAGGTAGACTAAAACCGGCGTATCCCCAGCTGTTTAATTGTGAGTCACGCCCAAATGCGGTGTTCCCGGGGATTTTCACTCAGAGCCATTTTGTCGCTGTCTGGAAATCCAAGAAGCCTCACTGACTCTCGTTGCCATGATCCTCAAGCAGCATCCCACTGAGGAGATTCCTCTACAAATGGGTGCTTTTTGGGTCCATACTGTGGATGGTTGCAAATTCCTGCGCCACAAAATATAAATTTGGGAAAGATCGCCCTGCAAATGCTAACAAACGTTAGGGTTTCACCCGTGGTTTCCTATGATTTCCCAGCGATTCAATTGATGATCCCCGTGAATACCAACAAACGTTAGGGGGTTCCCATGGTTTCTCCTGGTTTCCCCTTGTTTTGCATGGATTCGTTTCGTGTTGCGAAAAGGATTTTTGGTCCATTCACAGCTTTTTGGTCAACTTCACACAAGTCGAAACCACAGGCCACAGCAGCCCGAGATAAGCCTCCAGCCTGGCATCATTTGCCATGTGCCCTGCGACTACGTGGCTGCCCGCCGCTCGTTAAAACCCGCCCGCCGGTTCTTGGAGCATTTTAGTCACTTTGTGGGAGGACCAGTTTAGTGGCTAGGACCCCCAGTAGTGCCCTTCTCTCCCTTGTTTTGGGGGGTTTTGGGTTCCCCTACTAAAATAGACTCCAGAATAAAGAAGGGTACCCGTATTCTAACCTCTCTACTGGAGGACCAGTTTAGTGGTGAAGAAACAATTTAGGCTGGTTCTGGCCATCCCGCGCAGGAAGTGAGATGTTAAGTTGGAATGACCAAGCAGTTCTTTCCCAAAACCCGAATGAGATTTCCCACTGAGATTCAGCAAGCGAAGTCAAGGAACATGTTCACCCAGAGTTTTGTTGCTATACCCCCTTAAATCAGCTAACCCTCAACTTGTGGTTTGGAGTTGTGGTTTGGGGAATTGAACCCCTGGCTCTGGTAGATGATGAACGGGGACCACCTCTTAACCACTACCGACCCAAACCACCAACTAGAGGGAAGATGATCAAGTGCAATTTGAACGTTGTTGCTCGGCAAGTTTACATGGGGCGAACCAAAGTTCACACTTTGGGATGGTGATACCCCTTATGCAGGTTGCACGCCTATGTGCACCTGACATCTATGTTGGCATTCCCACATTGAAGCAAAGTCATTTCATCAGTTTGCTCCAGGGCCTTCGGTCGAGCGAGTTGTTTGACGGATTTGGCTGTGGGTCAAAACCAATGGTACCATTTTGGCGTAGGCGCACCACCCCCATTTCAGTCTATTTTAGTAGGGATTGGGATGTTCACTGGGGGGTACGATTTGGATTTTGACCCATGGCCATTTGATTCCCGTCAAGTCTGCTTTCTCCGCTTGGCTCAGGTGGGAGTATGCTGGCGGCCCTCACCCGGCCCTTGCCGGAGGAGAGGCCGAAGATCCTGCGCTCAGCATTCCTGGACGCAGACACTCGTCGTTTGGGATCGCCGCTTGGGGCCGTTTTACTATCAGCAGGCCGTAAGCAATCAGTGTGCTTGGATTTGTGGTGGATTGGTTGGAACAAGTCATACTTGGTTGCACCAATCCCCTAGAAAACAAACACAGAAAGAGAGAGAGAGAGAGAGATTTCCAGTGGTGTCCATGTTCCTTTTTTCAGGTGGACGTTCCTTTAAAACCAGAAGCGGTTTCTCCTGTGGCCGTTGAGGGACGGCTCCGTTCTGCTCTACAGCGCCGATCGAAAAGGACTTTGCATGAACAATTGGCAGGTTGGATCTTTAGACTCTAGCTTTTTGGGGAAATCAAGTTGGGGGTTCCATGAAACCCCAAAAAAGTCTAAACAAAAATAAAATGCAGAGGGGTCGTTGCAGCAACCAAGAATCATGGAAGCTACCCTCCCACCCCTTTCGCTTTGGGCCCACGAGGTCCCTTTAACAAAAATGGTCAGAGCCGGGATCCCGGATGGTCAGGTTCTCTTTTGTTTGGTGGCATAACAGGAGGGTTTTGGAAGACGTGTTTTGCAATTTAGAACAAGAACATCCCTTGTTGGTTTCAAAGGGAACCTATGACTACTTGTTGCTTAAGTTTTTTTATTGAAAAAATATATCCCTTGTTGGTTTCAAAGGGAACCTATGACTACTGGATTTTTTTTTCCAGGGGGCTTAAGCAAATGGAAGGTAACAGGAGGGTCGATTTATCTTGCGGGGAACCCAATCCGCAAAAATCCGCGTTCATCATTGGAGGCAGGGTGGCATTTGATTGCATGTGCCTAGGCCGAATTCTCAAACTTCCGGGGGAACAATCGGTGAAACAAGCTTCCTAACCATTAGACAGTGGTGTGCCTTTTTTAGGTGACCCCCCAATGTGGTTGTTTTCCTTTTGGTGTCCCTTCAAACCCTGAAACCAGGGATACACACACGAAATCCTTTTCGAAGCGGGGGCGCTTTTGGAGCCATGTGTCTGAAAGGGGAAGCTCCAAGAGACGGAGTTCCTTCCACGCAATTCTCCAGTAAAGTGATGAAGCCACTGGGGAACGACCCAAAGACCCCTGCGAAGGCTCCAAGGCATCCCAACCTCTTGGTGAAATCGAAGCGACAAAAAGCTGCACAATGTTCACCCGGGCGGCAAGCCTGCAATAGGCCATTTCTCAAGCCCAAACCCAAGGGGAGGGGGGGGAATGATCTGGGCTTGATAGGTGTGGCTCGTTTTGATTGGCAAGCCGATTCCTGTCCAGGCCCAATTTTCACGTTCGGGCCTTTCGGGAGGTTTGGTTCCACGAAGGGAAGGATTGCTCCGGGAAAGTGGGGGGCCCTGTTGACCAACCACCTCATGAATCTGCTCTCTTGTCGGGGCCTGGCTCAGAGGTTGGGGTTCTGGCTGAACAGGTTTTGGAACCATAAGATTTAATTTGCGGATGCCATAATTTATATGGCCAGGACGCACAATCTTTTGGCAGATTTTAGATGCTCGAGTTTCGGAATATCAAGATCAACCTTGCAGAAAGGCTCACTTTCCCAAAGCGAATTGGAATGACCGTTCCTTTTGGTTTCCCTGATTTAGGTTCCTTGATGTCCAGGACAAGGGCAAGTGAGAACCTCTTTTGCAGGTTCCCAGACATGGAATCAGCCTCGAGACAAAATCCCTTTTCACCAGGCTCATTGGTCGCATCAACCTTTCTGAATCTTGGGGTCTATACCGACCCGTATAACATATCCCTTGTGGTCTTCTTTGAGGGGACCCTGGGGTTCATTCCCACATTCCCTACTCAGCACCAGCAAGTAGTTTTGGGGATCCAGTTTTCTTTGCCACTGCATCATATCCCCTTGTAATCTTCTTTAAAGGGACCCCTGGGGTCATTTCCCACATTTCCCTACTGAGCACCAGCATTGCCCGTGCCTTTTGGCCGCATTTCTCCGGACGCGGAGCCAAAAGTTCCGCTGAGGACCTGACGTCCGCGGCCTATGAGTCCGTGGCTCCCCGCGAGCGGCGGCTGAAGCAGCAGCTTCTTGCCAAACGAGCAGGGAGGATAGGCATGGCTGGGGATAACTTCCGTTTGCTGAGGGGAATGTGGCTGTGGGTCAAAACCAATCGTACCATTTTGGGGTAGGTGCACCACCCATTTTAGTCTATTTTAGTTGGGATTGGGATGTTCACTGGGGGTACGATTTGGATTTTGGCCCACGGCCATGTTTGTATCTTTCCTTTGTTGGTTCTAAAGGGAACCTATCACTACAAATACGTTCATTTGTTCCAGGGTGAGAAAACTCGAATGGAGGGTTATCAAGCTTTACTGACTTGGAGGGTTATTAAGCTTTACTGACTTGGGACCAGTCCATCCCTCATCAACTCCTTAATCCGTTTTATTTGCTTGACCTTGTGCTTTTATCAATTATGTGATCGGAGGAGGGCTAAAGAGCTGGGACCCGGTCTCCAAGTTTGCTTTGAGGGAGCTGAAAAAGGCGGAGTTCTGTAGAGACATGGCAGTGAAAGTCAGAAGCTGGGGTGGTCTTTAACCCACCACTTGGGGGGTGACGTTGATAGTGACAGAAGAATGGGACCTATCCACCGTGCCCGGACCGTGCCCCCTACTGTAAAGAATTGGGAGAGGGGGAGGGGGGAGTTTGACCCCCATGTATGATTTATGACAACCGATACATGGAATTGGGCCGTAGGGGTCTTGTTCACTAAGGAGTGGGATGATTCAAACGGGCCTGTGACAATTGGCGCAATCAGGGGAACAACTAGGAAACAGATCGACATGCCGTGCCGATTTATGGCAAGCCTGCTTGAAATCAACTTCTCAAGTTGTTTGACCTATTTCTTGGAAACCCGAGACAGGTGCTTGGTTGGTTGGTTGGTTGGTTGGTTGGTTGGTTGGTTGGTTGGTTGGTTGGTTGGTTGGTTGGTTGGTTGGTTGGTTGGTTGCGGGCAAAGCAAAAGGAGGTTGAGAAGAGGTTGAACCAATGGTCTCACAAAGCGATTCAATATGGGGGCTGGCGCAAACCCATGGCTGCTGGCTCCTCTAACCAAGCCCCGAGGAACATGGTCCAATTTTGGGGCAGAATGGCATCACCCTTACTAAGGTTCAGCTCACAAAGCAAGCAGTTCCCAGGAGGTCCACCAAACCTAACCCCTCATATCACCCATTGTAACCCATCAGCTGTACCGAACAAATTGTTTTCACCTCAATCCTGCGAGCCCCTTCAAGACGGAAGGCATGGGTTAGAGTAATCGACCTTTGACCTTTTGGTTTTCCCATTTTGGTAACCATTTTTAGTGGAGGTGCCAAAAGGTTAACCTTTTATTTCTGGGTCCTTTGGGCAAGTGAGGTAAACTCTTGGCATTCGCAAACACCAGACATGCCAATCTCTCTCTTCTTGGGGACCCACATGGTTTCTCTTGAAAGCAATGCCCAAGAAACCCAAAAAAGTTTTCTCCATTACACGAAAGATGTGATCCTTTGCTGGGAGAGAGGGGGCGGTCCAAGGTTTCACCAGACGCTTGCGCCAGACGGCCGCTTCCTCTCCGCCACTGCGGCCCGGGACCAACTGCTGGTGGAGCCCTTGCAAGCGCTGGCGCGAGCCGGCCTCGAGGCAGTCGGTCGGCGGGGCATGGGTCTTCAGCGTTTGGTTTACCCAATAAATCCCAGTTGCCTACATACATATGGGTATGGGTCAAAATTAAAGCACCAGGGGACCGCAGGTTTACGCCCATGCTTACATTTACCGGGTTCCATTCTGGGTACCTACAGCCATATGATGTATATTTCTATATAGAGTCTGCGTAACACGCGTGGGACCACCCTGGCAGTTTGACATCTGCGCAGGCGCTGCTCATCTCGGGGGACGTGTCGGAGGCGGTGAAAGCGGGCTGCTGCCACTGCAACTTGCTGCTGGTGGCTGGGATCCCGGCGCGGCTGCTGCACGCGCTGGCGGAGGATTGCGGGGCGGAGGCCAGAGCATGGCGGGCATTCGGCGCGCGAACCGCAGGTCCGAGTTCCAAGTCGGAGCCAGAAGAACCACTTTACAGGGGCCGATTCCTGTATTTCCATCTTTTTGGTGGTTTTAAACATCACTCTCTTTGGCCCATGAAAGGAGAGTATCCTTTGGTGGGGGTGATGTTTTAAGGGGAAATATGCGGAGCCCTGCTTTTTGGCAAGTTGGTTGGATCTTTGGACTTTATAACTTTTTTGGGAGACAGTGATATAAAGAGAGAGAGAGAGAGAGAGGCAAGCAATGAGGAGATTGGTTTGTCTGGGTAGTTTCCTTTTCGCTTTTGTGCATGGCATGTGTATTGCATCCCCAGTGGCTCAACACCTGAGGCTGGCTTCATTCAGAAGACCCTTCACATTTCTGCGTGTCTTTTGTAGGACCCCCCCCCCCAAAAAAAAAAAAACACAAACACAAACACAAACACGAACACAAACACAAGCACAAGCACAAGCACAAACACAAACACACAAACACACACAATCATAGTGGTCAATCTTTAGGTGTCCCGTTAAAGCCACCAAACAAGATAAAACAAGATATGGCTGTGGGTCAAAACCAATGGTACCATTTTGGCGTAGGTGCACCACCCTAGGCTTTATTTTAGTGGGGATTGGGATGTTCACTGAAATTACGGGGCTTTTGACCTATGGCCATATGCCGAGTCCGAAAAACAACTGGCAACTCGGCGAGCCACCCATTTCCCACCGCGAGGGCCGGGCGCAGGTCCTGCATGGCCTGCCAGACATCACGGCCGTCACGGCCGGTGTGATGCCTTGGGAGTCCCGCGAGGCCAGTCACGTGCCCCGCTGCGGGCCTAGCAGATTCGCCTTGTTTTGGTCATAGGTGTCCTTCTCAGGTTGGTTTGGTTAAACACGGGTGGCCCTGGTTTAGATGGGTCTCATTCCATTTACCAGGGCCATCTATTTTTCCAAAAGGACACGTATGGTGTCGGTTGGTCCCTTGGCTGTGTGGGAGGGGGGGATCATCAGCATCATCAAGCGCTCTTATTGGAATCAAATGGCCAGTCGGCAAGACCCTGGCCGCATCACCAGCATCAGTCAGCATATGCGACGTAGGCTGTATCTTCAGCGGACCCCCTCTGCATACGGGCCATACATTGGGCCAGGACGAAACGTCCTTTAAGCGTGGGAATGCATGTAGTCCTGACATCGATTGCTGCCTGAGTCTCACTTCCTGAGTGGATTGGCAAACAAAAAGACCAAACCTTTGCCACTAAAATGGTCCAGACCCCAACAGTTGAAAGTCCGAAACGGAACTCCCCTGTGCAAGGTGGCCAATGATGCTCGCAATGTAATGGCACACTCCGGTGACAAGTGGCATTGGGCATTTAGAAAAAAGGACATCGAGACATTGGTGGAGCAGCGTCACGAGAAACATGAAGCGTTTCCGGATAAACACGATGTTTCCTCTGCCTTACCCCCTAAGCCAACACCTCATATGCCCCAAGTGCCGGAAATGAACGGCTTAACTTTCGGGGATGACTCAGTACACAAAGTCCGGGAAGTTAAAGGTTCAAAGCAAGAAAGCAAGCACAGATCAATAAAGGAGTTCCTGAACTCCGTAGCAATACTAGGATCTCATTGTCCGTTGGCTTCTGAAGCCTAATTCCTGGAAGCGGTCGGAAAGCTTGGCTGGTCACAGCCAGGGTCAGCCGCAGGTGCAAGGAAGGCCTGGAACCAGTTTGCGTGTTAATGGGGTGTCCCCTTCTAGTGGGGATTTATCTCTTTGGAGGGAACACGGGTTTTTTAATCCTGGGTCAACATTATTTGGGTTGTTCAACATAATCCGTATGCTGGCTGGTCGTGGCGTGGTTTCATGCACCTGTTCGGTCCATGGGGTCTTCGGAGAAGCCTGGTTTACTGTTAAGAGTGGATTCCACATAGACTCCCACAGCCTCCCGGACGGCAATGGTTTCAACACCTTTGGGGTGAACCTTGGAAAATAAGGGAAATGAGGGGTAAACAACCGAAGTAAGCATGCTTTCGGCGTTAGGGTCGGCCTTTGAATGAACAACTGGCAAAAAATGTTCCACCAGGTCCCCCAAATTTGGACACCCCAGCGGTCCTTTCATGTTCCCTTATCCGGCGGGATGAAGCATCAGGTTTCTTACTGTGGTTGAGTACATGTTCTTTTGGGGCGAGGTTCAAGAGTTCAACAGGGATTGAAACAGAACCATACTTCCTGTGTTCCTGGAGGTTATTTTTTTTTGGGGGGGGATGCCATGTTAGTGGCAACCGTTTTGTTCCACTCCCCGGAAGTGAGGCACCCTAAGCCTTGCAGGTTCTGAATCTGCAACTGGCGCCGGCCAGCGACAAGTGCTTCTGCTTCCCGCTCTTGGGCTTGCGGCAGCCTTTGCTGCCTGAAGGGAGTGAGGCGTGGTTCGAGGCGATGAGCGGAAGGACTGTAAGCAAAGCCCAGCCATGTCAAGAAACGGACTTGGCTGCTTTTGGAGCTGGTTTCTGTCAACATGGGCCCAAAACCTCTGATGGGTTTCCCGGTTGTGTGCGGATTCCATTGCCTGGTTTAATGAGATGGTTGGGCCCACGATTCAATCCATGACCATGAGCCAAACGTCACAGCTCTAGAGTTCATACCAAGGGCACGGGTCCACACATTCCGCCTTTGACGGTGGTCACCTTTGACTCACTCTTGACAAGCGTTGTTGCATCTGCAGACGCATGAGACCCAGGGTTTGGTTGGACTCGCCCCCCTTCAGGGCCTGGCTGCTTTTGGGGGCCGAGCAAACAAGCAGGGGGTTGAGCTATCTTACAACAATGAGCAAACCAGCAACGGAGGCTTCCAGTTGACCTTTTTCGAACCGTCTTCGCCAGCTCTTTCCCTTCGCCCTTGGGCGGTCTTTGTAGCCGATGGACCCTGAGTGATCGCAGCGCAGGTCTTTTTGTGGAAAAGTTCCCTGTTTACTGCTAATGGGCTTAAAGGGAATTTCATAGAACAAACAAACATTTTTCCCTGGAAAGACATACCTTCTTTTTTTTTTCTGGGGGGGGTTGCCCTTTTTGCCGTTGGCTTCAAGGGAAGCCATCGGGGAAAACCCATTTTCCGTGGGGGGTCCCTTTTTTTTAAACCCCCCCCCCAATTCTCTCGCAGACCGCAGGCCTGGCAACTGTCGGCCTCCGCGGATTCCTCCGCCGCGGCTTCGGCCACGGCGCGCATCAGCGGCGCCAGCGAGGCGCAGACGCAGCTCCTGGCGGCGGAGCTCTGCGAGGCCGTGCAGCGTAGCCGACGGAGCGAGACACTGGAGGACCCGGGGGCAATGAGCGAAATCCAGACCGGTGACGAGTGGTCAGTCGTGGTCCTGCAAAGTGTGACCTGTGGTGGTTTAGGTTCTTCTTCTGTTTCTTCTGAAATGCGTGTATGTATGTATATGTACGTAGATCTATGTGCAAATGATAAGAGGGAGAGAGTGAGAGAGCGAGAGGCGGTCCTGAACATAGGATCCCTCGCAGATTCACTCTGGAAACCAATTGCCCGCCCCCTGCAACGCAAAAGATTATGGCCCATGTTGAGCGAACCCTAAACTGTAGCTAAAGTCGTTTCAGAAGAGATCTTAGCAAGGGACTTATTTTACATTGTTTTTCTCGAGGCAGGGATTTCCGTAACAGAGTTTGTGGTTTATTAGCAATCCCCGTGGCGTAGTGGTTCATCACTTTTGGAAGCCTAAATGTAGGACGGAACATTGCTCCTGCATCAACATTAGCAATGACCATGTCCGAGGTCTCCTCCACAACGAGTTTCTGCATCTTAGGGTACTCCAAATATGGAACATAATGACAACATATTCAACAAATATGGCTATGAATTTCAAGCGGGAAACTCCTTCAAGAGTGGTTAGTGGACATGAACGCCCATGTGGGGCCCATCTTCTTTTGAGATAATGTTTTGTTTTGTTCAACCCATGAGGGACCAACACTTCTTTTGGGGTAGCCATTCTTAAGCCACACACACCAGTTGTTTCCAGGGATTTGCAGCCACTGAGTTTTTTAAAGCCACCACCCTTCTTTGTGGCATCAATTTGCTTAATATGTGTTTTTCTCGCTCTTGATTTTAAACGGAATCTATCACTACTGGAAGCATTTGCTCGATTTTTCCAGGGGTCGAAAACGCAAATGGCAGTTCAAATTCTGTCTCGTTTGAAAAGAAGGATCCCTAGAAAGAATGGGTAAGGACATTTTCCCCCCGAACAAAGCCTCCTTGGGAGCCAAGCTGCTTCCCACGTTTTCTCCGGCAGGAGGACTGGCTGCAGCACACCGCCGCCGCCCTGGAGTCCGCCTCCGTCGCTTTCGCCTCGGCGGATGCCGACGCGGACGCGGAGGCGGAGGCGGACGCGGCGCCGTGGCTGCGGGAGCCCGAGGAGGAGGCGCTGCAGGACCGGGGCTCGAAGCCTGAGCAGCCAAGGATTCTCCTGGCGCAACGGTTTTTTCTGTTAGTATCCCACAATCCGCCAAAAATGGGCAGCATCAACTGTTAATTATCCAAGCCGCCGAAAATGGGCAGCGTCAACAAGCCACCCAAAGGGGGAGGATTTTTTGTGACCACATAGACTTCTTTTGAAGGTAAATGGTTCCAAGAGAATGGTCCTGTATCCCAGCTGCCTCCACTTGCTCGCGGCCAAAAGTAGCAGGGTATTGAATACATAGGTTTTTGTTTTGCTGTGATGAGGCGGTGGAGGGTTTTGGGTTTTGTTGGGACTTTAAGCGGCTATGTCATTTCGCTTGTCGGACAGCAGAGTTCCTAACCCAAGTGGGACGAAAAGTGAACCAGAAGGCAGGCCACACCTGTTTCAAGTCTCCAGGCTGTTTATATAATTGGTGGCGAAACCAGCCCATCGGGTGTCTTTGCTTTTTAAATCCTTTTAGTGTTTAGTGGTAGTTTCCGTATTTCACCCACTAAAAGTGAGTCACTTTCGGGGGATTGTCCTTTTGGCTTGTTCAGTCCTCCTAAAAGGTGACCTGGGTCCGAGGTAAGTTCAGGGCTAGGTGCGAAACCGAATCTGAGCGCGTTATGTTTCATGCATGTTTCATGTCAATGCCCGGTGCCAAATGGGAGATTCAAGAGACTGCGACCTGGATTGAGTTACCTGGACAGGTGTCGTTTTTTTCATGCTCGGTGCATTTTTTGGGTGGTTTTGGATGGAAGACGAAGGAACACGATTTAGTAGCTAGTCCCTCGATCTTGAGACGACAAGTAGATATGCTTGCCAATGAAACGCGAAGGCATTTTACAAAGCAAAGACAAAAGGTTAAGCTTTGCCGTACCACAGGCCAAGCAAATAGTCTGGGAAATGGTGAGCAACCCCGGCTACAGGAGGTTAACGGGAGGTCACCATGGGTATTTCGAGCACAACCAAAATGTAAAAATAGAGTCCGGGTTGAGCTACCCCACCTTTAAAAGGGAAAACCAAGCAACAGGCCCACACCATACACAAATGAACCCAACAAAAAAACAACACAGAGGGGCCCGAGCACAGCAGTGGCTCGAGCACACTAGCCAGTTTTAACCTCACAGTGTGGACCAATTGTAGCTGAGTCTTTTCTTGGGCTTAAGGATAAGCTTCCATTTGCTTGAGGATATTTGTTCTTCTTTTTTTTCCGCTAAATCTGCGCATATGTCTCAAACGGATATGTTTTTTTGGTAGTGGACCCCCTCAATGGTGGGAAATCCCCCTGGTTATCTTTCAAAACCAATAACTAAAGGCACACCAAGCCAAACAAACACACACACACACCCACCCACCCACCCACCCACCCACCCACCCACCCACCCACCCACCCACCCACCCACCCACCCACCCACCCACCCACCCACCCACCCACCCACCCACCCACCCACCCACCCACCCACCCACCCACCCACCCACCCACCCACCCACCCACCCACGCACCCACCCACCCACCCACCCACCCACCCACGCAAACAATGGTTTTCATGGTTTTTGAGGTGGTGCAGGAATTCGTCCCACGGTCTGTCTGACGGAATGAGTACACACGCCCACATGCCCTCAGACTAACATAGAAACTCCCAGAAGGCCTTTGTAAATGGAACCAAGTCGGATCCTGGGAGAATCCGTATTAGCCTGGGGGAGGGTAAAGGCACACCAAGCCAAAAAAGACACGGCACACCCACAAGGAGGAGGAGGGGTTCAGGGGCACCTTCCCCATTCTTTTCAGGGAATTTTCTCCGGAAACACTGGGAAAGCGGCATTTTTGTTGAAAAGAACGACGGTTGACAAAAAACTGGACACGGAATCAACCTCTGGAATCATCGTCCTTTGGCCTCCTGAAGTCTGTGGCTAAAGAGAATAAAGCACGGGAGCGCCAAATCCTGGGGAAGGTACCCCTGGACCCCTCCTCCTCCATGTGGGTGCACGCAGGAGCCAAATCCCAGCAGGGGACAAGGAATCCACCCCTGGAATACGCTCATCGCTAATCCAGGTCCTCCAGTAGAGAGGTTTAGACTTCATTCTAGTAGAGCCCAAAACTGGAAAAAAAGTGGGTGAAAGGACAACCCCTGAAGCTTGTGACTCCCAGGACGCGGCGGCCTACAGCGCGCTGGGCCGGGCGCTGCTGCGCATGCAGGCCATGGAGCAGCAGGCGGGGCGGGCGGCGGCGCGAAGGCGAAGGCGGATTTTGAGCGGCGCCACGGGTGGCCCCCGCGTTTTTGCTCGGTTCTCCGGGGAAACCTACGGGGAAACCATGGAAAACCAAAGGAAAACTCCGCCCAGAAACCGTGTTTTTTTTTTTTTTAGTTTTTTTGGGGGTCTGGTAAGCTGGGCATTTTTGAAGAATAACACCTTTGCAGCGGTAGTTTGAGAAAAGCCACCCCCAGTTGTTTTGACAGCTAGGTCCCCCAGTAGTGGCCTTTCTCACCCCTTTTTTGGTTGGGAGGGTTCCCCCACTAAAATAGACTACAGAAAAAAGGGGTACCCTTATTCCAGCCTCTCTACTGGAGGACCCAGCCATTCTTTAAAAGGGGTGGAAACAGTTTATTTTTTGGGTTCCTACAAGAAGGATTTCGCCAGTTGCCCATTCTGGGCTGCTGTTTGTTCATCCTTTAAAAGGGGCTCCCATTCAAACTCAACCAAAACCGAGATACCTCTGTTTCTCCCATGGAAGTCCACTGGGCATCTGAGAGGCTTCATGTTTGGTGGTTTTCAGCGAACTGTCCGGTTCAACTTGGGGTGTTTGTCGTTTTTAGCTGGTTTCGCGGTTGGGGAACCCCACGGGTGAAGCTTTTGTCAGGGGACCTGAGGGCAGCTCCAATCCCCCCGACTGCGTCTTTTCATGTCAGAAATCCCAAGTGGCTGTGGCTCAAAAAAGTGGGGTTTCAGAATGGCACCCTGGTAAACGGAACTAAAGACTAAAACCCGCGGTTTGCCCCGGCTCTTTAGTTTTGAGCCATGCCCATTTCATGTTCGGGGAGGTGTCTTCTTGTTCCCCTTCCGGCGTTTTCCCTGGGATTCCAGAGGTTTTCTAGAAAGAAGGATTCCTGGAAGAATGGGGAAGGTACCCCTAGATTCAACCGCTGACTCGATCAGGGAACCTGAGTCTGGCGAACTGGGCCTCGCCTCCCGCGGCCCGTTTTTCGGACATGCGCCCTTTTTTTGGGTTTGGCCCATGCCTCCAAAAAGTGCGCCTGGACCCTCAAACTACTCTGAAGGGGAAATCACCCCAGTTGAAGAAACACATCTTTGGTGCATGGTTTTGTTGCTGGGATGTTGGGACTTTAACTTTTTGCCAACTAGCCGGTTTTCAATTAAACCATTAAAAGTTACACTGTTAGCAGGGGAGCAGAAAGCAACCGAGACATGTGCAGCGGTTTGAGGGAAGCCGCCCCAGTTGTTTTCACAAGATCCATTTTTTGTTTGGTAGTTTGAGGGTCGTGCTGTTCCTCTTGGTTTGGCCGAGCCACGCAATGGGATGTTCTTGACACCCATGTGCTGGTTTCTAAAACATCTCAGGTGCCGGGCCCAGAAGAGGAGGTGGCGAAGCCGGACCAGGCTGAGGCGCGTGGCCATTGGATCCAAATGGGCGGTGCCAGTCCTTTTCTTTGCACAGGTGCCAGTCAACGGGTGGGTTTTAAAGGGAGAAAGGGAAACCAAACTCTTTTTAGGGACCCGGAAAGAAAGGGTTTGGCTTTCTTTTCTGGTTCCCTTAAACCGACCTCTTTGGGGGACTCCCTAAGAAAAGACACGCCCATGTATCCTTCTGAGTTGTTTGGCTGTTGGGTAGCGGCTTTAGGAGGCCACCTCCCCCCCCCCAAAAAAAAGCAAGCAAACCGACAAACAAACAAACAAACAAACAAAAACATATGGTTTGGTTTCCTTTTGGTTTCCCTTTAAAGCCACAAAAAAGGGCGAGTTGGTTTTATCAAGCAATGCTTCCACGGCTGAAAATGGGCCGAGAATTGGCGATACTTCATGATCCAAATGCGGGCTTGCTGAAACAAACAACCCTGGAAAAAACACCAGGAAAGACTTCACACTTAAGACCACCCCAAATGTCCTCATTTGGGGCAAATCCCTTTCAGAAAGTGACCCGCATGACGGAACCCAAATTCGAGGAAATTATTTCGTCAGCCTTCATCCAACTGTACGGCTCTCTTATTCGGACCAATTCTGCTCCTTTCGCAAGTCACCTTAGGGTGGTTGGTTTTCCTGCCATTTTTTTTTTGAAAGGCACCAACAAAGTGGAACCTCAACAAAAGAAAAAAGCCCGAACCAACTCCGTTTCCGGGCTGTTTTCGCTCTAGCAGGGACAAAGGTATTGGGCAGGAAACAAAAACTTATGCTTGAGAACCTCAATGTAAACGAACCCCCCTCGGAAGGCAAACGAAGGGCTGCAGATTAGCATAGGTTCAAAACACATATAACAACTGACGCTTTCAGACATCTTGTTTTGCAAGCCCCTCTTGTTGGGTCAACTGGGTATCCCGATCAATACGATTGATGGATATGCATTTCAGTGCCGATGATGCCCATCAAGTTGTTCCACGCCTGGCCAGGTTCAACATTTGTCCATAGGCTTAGCCGTGCTACGTGTCAGACACTCACTTATGGAATCTGGACTTGCCCGCTTTGGAATGAAAGATGGTACGCTTGTGAGCTTCCAAGACGCTTTGCAGTCTCGGGCGTCGATGGAGTGCCCAGGCGACCGCCTGAAACGCTTGCCTCTTTGAGAATGTATGGAAGTGGTCCTCCATGTTCCGTTCTGGACCGTCAAAAGTGGCAGTTTCAATGGCCACCAGTCGGGGAAATGCCAGCGACCCCTGTAGTTCCGCAGCGAAGCTCCTGGCTATCCCGATTGAAGCCTAATGGCCTGTAGCCTGACCCTCTCGCGTTTGCCACGCGAAAGGCCCAAAAAAGGCTGGGACCCGGTGCAGAAGGCAAGCCCAGCGTTTTGAGAACAAGGATCATAGAAGGGACGGGGCGGGGCGCCAGACAAGCAACATCCCTGCAGATAGAGCGTCACCTTCGCTTCTCGGAAAGTGTTTCGATAATGAACTGGGTCCGCAGAAGGAACAGTATAACAGTTCCCTTGCTCTTTGCTGGACAACTTGCTTTCTGGAAGCTTAGTTCCATGTGATTGAAGCAGCAGCACCTTCAATTACAAAGGAGGCCCCCCCACAAAAAAACACCCCCCCTCCGGGTCCCAATTTAAACCAAGTCCTCACTTGCCCATTGCCCAGAGCCATTTGACCTTTATTTCCCCTTTTTGGTCCAAAAAGGTGATCATCTTGCATTTCTGCTTTCGAAAGAGCAACTGAGAGAACCTGGTGGTAAATCAGTGGTCCCTCAATGTCCAATCGTCCCCCACCACAAACGAAAGTGGCGGTTTCAGATGGCGTTTTCATGGGAACCGAGCCCAAAAGACCGACATTTTGAATTTTGTCAGGCGGTGCTGGCGGTGCTGCGCCGCGCCGTGCGTTTGGCGGAGCTGCTGAGCCACATGAGCCCCGCTCCCTGAGAGGAGGGCAGCCTGGAGTGAGGCGAAAGCTGGCGCGGCGAGCCGGTGCCGTTGCAGCAGCTGCAGGAGGAGGTAGGCGACACTTCGCGAATGCCGAGAATGCCGAGACGAAGGACTTCCAGAGCCAGGTCCAGGAGGCTTCGCAGGATCCTGAGGCAAGGAGTATCATTCCCCGGCGCTAGCAGTCTCTCAATGTTGAGTTTATGTTGTGATGTAAGGGGACATCAACGGGGTGTTTGGGTTGGCTGGGGTGCGCCTAAAGATTGCGATGCCCTTATTGTCACAGGTGACTGTTTTAGGTCGGCTGTATCATCTTTCAACAGGTCACCTATAATTGCGATCCAAGTAGAACCCGTCCCATGAATAGGGGAGGAAGAGTGTTCCTCTTCAAAAGTGCCCAAACCCATGGACACCCATTACACCCGAACATGATTGTCTGATTTTCGATGGGTAGAGAGAGAGAGAGGGGGAGACATAGAGAGACAGAGAGATGGAGAGATAGAGATGTAGAGAGAGACAGAGAGATAGCGAGGAGAGATTGAGAGATGGAGAGATTGAGGGATGGAGAAATTGTATTTTTTCCAGAGAGATTGAGAGCCTCCATATTGAAGCGGCATGTTGCATCCATGCGGCCAGGGCTTGCCGAGCTGGCGAACCTGCAAGATGTCAGATTGAAGTCGCGCAAAATGACTCACCTGCAGATTGGCACGGAGCCAAAAGGGTCCTTTTTCAAGTGTTCGGGGTCTCCTCCAAAACCATGTTACGTTTTTCAGGGTAGGCCAAATGTTGAAACTACAGTTTTGCAAATGTTCGGTGTACTGTATTGGTAACCCCGGATGAAGCAGAAGCCCTGCTCGATTTTGCTTTTGAGAGATGGGGGTGTGCCCTTGTGGCTCTCCGAAATTCCGAGAAAGGCCGCAGACGCATGGGCGGTCAGAAAAAGGCATGTCCGACCTTGAGCTGGGTACGGCGGATAGGGAAACAAGGGACGGAGGGAAGCTGACAGGGGTCCCGAGTTATTGCCCTTTTGGCCCATGTGACGTGTGTTTCCCTTAGGGGCCATTCGTTTGTTTTCCTCCCCCCCTCAAAAAGAAAAGAGCAACAAGCCGTTTGGTACAGACACTTGGGGGCTCCCAGCCATCCCCTGGCGTTTCTAGCAACTTTTCGTTGGTCCAGTGGTAGTTTCCATTTCTCCCGCAAGTTCTTTTGGCAGGGGACCAGAGAAAGAGAAGCCCAGAGAAGTCTGCTTGAACCCTTTCCCCCCAAAAAAGACATACGGTGCAGATCTGCTTAGGTGGGTGTTGGTGTGTGTGTCTGTGTGTCTGTTTTTGTTTGACGTGGCCAACAAGAATCCACAAAGCTGCGCCCGGTTCGGTCCAGGAGCCAAGCTCGCTGCGGGAGCTCGGCATCTTCGGAGACTCCGCGGTGCTGGTGCTGCAAAGGCCACTCGGCGCGATTCGACTTGACGTGAGGAACTGCAAAAATGATTTTTGGTGAACACCTGGCTGTGGTTTAAACTCCCAACTGCTCCAAAAAAAAGGCCTTCCAAGGGGATGGGTCGGGGCTAGCTTATCCAGGAATAGCCCTGCAGCTCTGCTTGGAGGTCCTTAGCTGGCCACTAAAAACCCTTTCGCCGAGGTCGCACCCTGAAGACTCCGACGAAGGCCTTCGTCGGGGGGTGGGTCCCGGCTGGCTTTCCTTGAGCCCTTAAGAAACCCTGGGGACCTTTATATACGGAACCTTGGATTTGTTTTGAAAAAAAAACGGTTGGTTTGAAAGGGAATCGATTTCACTACTGGAAGTATGTGCTGTTTTTCACAGGCACCACAGCCGCCATTGCGCGAGCCGCTTTCCCAGGTGCTGTTTGGGGGTGAGGGTGAACATCGCCTAGCAACAACACAAGTGTCCTGTTTTCCCATGGCCGCTGGGGGTGGGGGGAATGGGGAAGTGGAGAAACATAATGCGCGAGTTGTCTTCCCCAGGGGTTCTGTTGGTCGCTTGTGGGGCTGGTTTCCATTGAAACCACCATGTAGCTTGACCGCTATCGGGCTGGATCTTTAGACTGAATAACTTTTGGGGGAAAAAACTGTGTTTTCCGTACTAAAACCCCCCAAAAGTGAAGTCCACTTTTTGCAGGGGGTCGTTACAGCAACCAAGGTAGAATGTACCGGGTCATGTTGAGTAGCCATTCAGCACGGCAGTTTAGGCGGACCAGCTCAGGGGCTGACTCACTCTGTGAGCTGCGTTTCGGACTGAACATCGTCGCTTTTTGGGGTGTGGTGTTGCCATTTTAGTGGGCAAAGTCAAAGTCCGGCGAGTTGTTTGGCCCATCCACTTGATCGGAAGTGAGCTTTTCAGTACACCTATCCGCTTTCAATCAAGCAAGGGCTTAAACAACTTCTGGTTGCCCAAAAATTCAAGGTCAACCTTACTCCCCTGCAGACAAGAGGGTCCCGTGTCAATTTGCAGGGGTGTGCTTGGATCAGCCGGCCAGGTGTGGCGCACACGCCGCAGGCCGGATGCCCCTGAAGATAAGTGAATAGTTGTTGTATATCGCATGAACCCTCATGAAAAAAGTGACTTTGGGGGGTAGTGGACGCAATATTAGCCAAACGGAAGCCATTCTTGCATGGGTCATTGCTCTTTTTTTTTCCAGGGCCCCTATTTAGCACCCAGATGTTCTTCTAAGAACGCACTGGACACAACCCTTCAGGTTTTCACGGGGTAGGCGGCTTCCTCCTGGAGCTTATGTCATGCATCGCAACTAGTTCAGGATTTTTCAGGGGCCATGGACGGGAATGTTTGCGCCGCGGTGTCCTTGGTGTTGCTTGGCCCATCCGTTGGTTTAAAGTACTGCCGGTTCCTTTTTGGATCTGCGGTACGTGCCGGCGCCGGAGCGTAAAGCTCATTTCCTGAGTGCCTTGACTTTAAGCATTTGCGTTGTTTTTTGGAAGGCACTGGCAGTTGCAACCAACAAGTTTGGACTTGGCCAACCCACTCAGGAAGTGAAAGAAGGCGATACCACATTGGGCCCATGTTTTTGGCGGTTTCCGCTGAGTGAGAATTAGTTCGGTTTTGGAAGTGGCGAGCCAAACCACCAGGGATTGTGTCTAGGGGTTATGCCCTCATTTCCGGCTGGAGCAAGTCTAGGTCCCCCAGTCGTGCCCATTTTAACCCCGTTTTTGGTTGGGAGGGTTCCCCTACGAAAATAGACTATAGCAGAAGAAAAAAGATCGGGTCCCCTTATTCTAAGCTCTCCACTGGAGGACCTAGAAGTTTGGGTGAGATTGAAACACTCAGTTGCACCGTCGGCCCCGCTACGCCAAGGTTCCCTACAGCCCCTTGAACATCACCCCACCAAAAGGGATCTTTAGGGGTGTGTCTTTAGAGGGCACCTTTCTTAGGGTAGGTTTAACAGAAGGAAAGCCGCGTGTTTCTTTGGTACCCCCATTTTGGGACCCCACGTCAAGTCTTGACATTGGCAGCCCATATTTGGGTCCAAACGGAGTCCATGTCCAATCCCATGCGGAAAAAAAGAAGAAGAAAAAAAACAGGGGTTCACGCCGGGATGTCTTTGTGGAACGGGATCTCAGCGCAAGCAATCAAAGCTCCTTGCCTGAAACACACTCAAGCCTTTGGCGCATTTTGCCAAGGGCTGTTAGGACTGAACAACTTTTTGATCCACCGAATTCGGGTTTTCCGTACGAAACCACTAAAAGTTAAACACTTTTAGCAGGGCTTCGCAGATTTCGCGACCGAGAAGCCTGGACTCCTGGATGAGGTTTAGGAGTGGTCCCAAGTAGATAGCGGGCTATCCGGCCTTTCCTTTGCATGGCTTTGGCTTTGGAAACAACTGGCCCTAAAGGTCGATCACGGCATTTGGCTCGTTCGGGGGGCTAAAAATTCGAGCGACCCAGTTGAGTGGACGATTTTAATACTAGCTGGCCCTTTTTGGCATAAAAAAGGGAAATGGGGGTCTAAAAGACGAGCCACCCGGCTTTGGTATTCGGGGCACGGAAGGCACCTTTGAGGAGGAGCTTGGCTCAACATTCCGCAAATCCAACACGCCCAACAAGACTGACTTGTTTTAAAGCACAATCTGAACATGTAATTTCTGGTGCACACCTGGAAAGGAACCTTAACAACCATGGCAAGGCAAGGTGCGTAATTATGAGCTGCTATGCGTTGGATGGATCTTTATCCTTGGGCGTTTGGGAATGTTGTCTTGCAGAGTGCGATATCCCTTTTCAAACTGCCACCAGTCAAGTGAGCAATTCAAGGGGTTGTCAACACATACTTTGACTTTTTGAGAGGGTGAGTTTGAGGATGTCTTGCTGTTTGCTGAGGAGGGTCCAGCGCGTTGTCGGCGGCAGGGTTGCGTTGCCAAAATGTCCCTTTCGTGGGACGATGCTTCAAGGAGAAATGTGGGCTTTCAGAAGAAGAAAAAAAAAACTGTGACACACCCTGTGGCCAGGAGCAGCTGCTGCTGCAGCTCAGCCGTTGCTGGGTCCTGGGGCTGCTGTTTCTGAGTCTCGCCAGCCTTTGGACCCAGCTGAGCCCCAGCATCGCTTGACGAGGACAAAAGCGCCACCTGTCAACTTGAGTGTGCTTAACAATTTGCTGGTTTAGGTCCGTTTTCCTTTTAGGATTGCACGCGAACATGGGATGAAGGGGCCATGGCGCAATGGCAGCGCGCCCGCCCGCCTACACCGGCCGTGGGAGGTTGCAGGTTCAATCCCTGCTGGTCCTAGGTTTTGTAATTTTGCTTTTCGCTTCTTGGAACGTTTTGTCATTGGTCTTGCATACATGTCAGGAGATCCCACGTTTTCGTTTTTGTTTTTTTACATGACTCCTTTTGTTGCTGGTGCTGGATGGCTTTTGGGCAGTCAGGAGGTTGTACCTTTTTTTGACCCACAGCCAAATAGGATGATTTAGGGGAAACCATAGGGGAAAGAAAACCATAAGGCACATTGACAAGTTGCAATGTTCAGGAGGTTAGTTTTATCAGGTGGGTATGGGTCCAAATTAAACTACCAGAAAAACCGCACAATTTGGTCCATGTTTCCACTTACTAGGGTTCCATTTGGGGTACCTATTTTTGACCCACAGCCAGGTTTCTTCGGGGTTATAGCACGAAGCTTTACCGTCTTGGTAGAATCAAAAGTCAATCGGTTTAACATGTTTGCACAACTGCGGTTTGGAGGGGAATCCGGGAAACAGGTGGCTGAAGACCTATGCAGTAGCTTCGGTGTGAGGTTGGTTTACCACTCAGCAGACTTCGAATCTTGTGGCAAGTGTCTTCATTTCACTGCAAGGGCCCAGAGAATGAATGAATGGGGTTGCGGGGTACGTTGAAAACATATTCAGCCATGACTCTCGGAGGGCGTAAGAGCGCAGCCCCAGAAACGAGTAAGCAATGGTGTACCCATGGTTTCTGAACGGTGGTGCGAGACGCGCGGATTTCGCACCAATTCACAGGGGTAGGTTTTTTAGAGCCCCAAAAGTGTGGCCGAACCGGGGTCTTCTTTGCATCCAGGGTTATTTTTGTTGGTTTTGTTCAGGACTGGTGGTGCAAAAATTTCGCCGACTCCCAGGTTCGAAGTGGGTTTCGGGTTTCGGATGCCCCCAGACAAAGGAAGCCCTGGAAGTTCAACCATGGCTTGTGGTTGCTTCACTTGCAATGCTGTGGATGGGATCGAAATCCACAAAAAGAACCACTTTGAGAGTGTGGTTGAAACTTGAAACCGTAGCGTTGCTTGGCTTTTGGTTTCATGTCGGTGGTGCGTTTTATGGATTTCGATCTCAACCATCCACAGTATTGCAAGTAAACCACCGTTCCTTTCGGTGGGGTGATGTTTAGAGAGAAAAAGGATTTCTCGGGCCCGATGGGTCCCACAAGAGCTTGCCGTCTCGCAGGCGACGATGCCGCCTCTGCACAGCGCTTAGCTCCAGCAGGGCTCAGCTCTTAACTCATGGGTTTGACTCTGCGCTTTGGAAGGTTTTCAGAAGGACATGATACCCAACAACGTTTCTTGGGGGGGGGGTTCCCTTTAATGTTGACCCCATATTAATCAACCGCAGAAACAGAATAGGGGGAATATATATTTTGCAGGGGAACCCCCCATATTGCGGGGTCAACATGAAAGTCAACTCCGAAAAGGTCGCCTCGTGTTTTTTCTCGCTGGCCATTGCTTTTCCTCTGAGCACGACCTTTTGGATGCAAATTGGAGGGAAACATCAGCATGACTCATGACTGGCGCAGGTCCAGCCTGCGGGCCTCTTCCTAAAAAGCCTGACTTGACGCAACTGGATTTGAAAGCAGACATGTGCGACATGAGGAAAAGGCAGAGGCGAAAGAAGACAAAGACTCGGATGATGAAAAGGAGGCACGGAGTCCCTCAAAAATGGAATTGAGGGAGGGCCCTTGAATTTCGTTGTTGGTTCCATTGTGGGAAGACTTGTTTGTTCATGGAATGCGGGATCCCCGCCCCCCTGCACAAGATCTCACTCCCTGAGTTTCTGGACTTTGAGTTTTTTGGGCTTGGACCATTCTAGTGGTACATCAACAGTTTGGACTGATTCGGCCACTCAGGAACTGAGGGGGGTTTTTGAATGTCTATTTTCAGGACACCGGCAAATTGCAACTTTTGGGTGGGGACTGGTGACCGCCATTGTCGCCGAGCTGTTGGCAGGCGGAAAAGAAAGACAGCGGCTTGGCAGAACTTGATGACCCCCCAATTCCTGAATCGGAACGGACGTTTTTCCATCCCGGGATTTTTATTTACCCCCCTGCAGACTACGTAGAATACAACTTAAGAGAAACAAAAAGACTACATCAGTTTTTGAGGAAGTTGGGTTCCATGTTATTTTGCAGGGGTGTACATGTTCATTGCCTCTTCTGTGGGGAAGAGTGGAGTAGGTACCGCGGGACCTGCCACCCCCTTCACCCATAGGGTGGATATGGGTGGAAGTTGTGCCTTTGAACACCTGAAGGAGGGTGGCACAAACACGCACACATAGTCAGCCTTTGCATGACGCCGCAGGATTCAGATGTTCAAGTCGTTGCGGCAGATTTCTCACTCAAATCAAAGGGGGGTCACTCTTACGTTCAACGAGCATCTTTGTATGCCAAGGTGGGAAAGGTCCTAAGGACCTCCCCAATCCCACGGCTTTGGGGTTGGGATTTCGACCTCGAGATCTCCATTTATGGTGAGCCATTTCGCTTTTAAAGGGGAAGACATTTCCTCAAATGGGGTTGGGGACCGGGTTTTCATCCCCCTTAGGTGAGCCCAGGGCCTTCGAATGGCATGAAAGAAGCTCACTTCAGAGCAGCTAGTGCTCATAAAAAAGATTGTCGCGGAGGGTTTGGCTTTAATGAGCATTGGCTCTAGGAGATGGTTCTTGGCGAACTAGGGTGGATGGGTGAAATCCGTTCGCACCCAAGAAACCATGATTGAAACCATTGCTTGTTGGTTTTGGGGAATCGTACCTGAAACCAGGGTTTCTTTGGTGCAAAATAGATTTCGCAACCATCCACAGTATGTCCGAATATAGTTGACACACCGGCGGCGCCTTCACCTTGGGGATTTCATGGCGTGACCCTTCATTCAGCTCACCCGGTCGTAGCTTCAATTCTTGCCATATCCTGCGCTGTTGTTGGATCATGTGTTGTTGGTTTTTGGATGTGTTTCACTCTGTTCAGTTTGAGAGGGCTGCAACAAGCAGTCGGTTCTCTGCAAATCCATACCCAGGGTGGGAACGCATCGGAACGTATCCTGCTCTCATTGTTAAGCAGGGGCTATGGGCGGCTTCCTGTAGGACGCCGTTGCGCAACTGCATATCCAAAACCAAGCGTTTAATATTGATCTCACCTGGTGTTTGGGCTTGAAACAACGGTCAGCGTTGATCACGTGGGCATAACCAGCGTACTGTTTCTTCGCCCGGGTTAAGCGTTCTAGCTTGTAATGTGGTCAAGTATCCTGCAAACCACCGGGAAACTTTTAAGTGGAGAAGCCGTCCAACGAGATCCTGGGATGGAATCGCGAGGAAGGTCATTCTTCTAGGAATCCAGACGAGGGTCCTTTCAAGTCGCGAGTCGTAAGGGGATGGGGTTGTGCAGAGTATATCCCCGTACACCCAAGATATCTAGGTTATGTGCAATGCGTAAGTGGATAATGAGTGTTTGAAGCGCGTATAGATGATATGTTTGTGGCTCAAAATGTTGGTGCTAAAAAGGCACCTTGGCTAATGGAACCAAAGACTACAACCTGCAGTTTGCCCTAGTTAGTTGATTTTGAGCCACAGCAATATTCAGCATACATACATCTAGGACCATTGCACACCCTGCGAAACCCCTCTCCTCGCCACAGGAGGCTTGCCCCGTCTTTCGCTGAGGTGACGATGAAGCCAAGCCGCAGGCTGGCGATCGGCGGGTTTTGGGGCAGTGAGAGGCGAGGGAGGTCCTACCAGCGTCCCCAAAGTCGCCAAAGGCGCTCGGGGAAGAAGCCTTATCAAGGAACGATACTGTTGGACGAAATCCTGCACCAAATTGAAACCACGGCAAGCATGGTGTGTTGGGATTAGGCTGGAATCGAATCATTCCAGGGATTCTTAGGCCTTAGGTGGTGCGAAACGGATGGATTTCGCAACCATCCACAGTAGGAGTAAGCCGATGGGTGAGGCGTTCTTGGTACAGCTTCCGAACCTTCGATCTGGAAAGTGGCGGTGGTCAAAACCGTTGTGGTTGATCCCATTTTGGTTGGCAGGTGCACGGTGCACCACCCATGTTAGAAGCTATTTTTGAGGGGGTGTTGATTTGGATGTTCACTGGGGGTAGGATTTGGATGTTGACCCATGGCCAAATGACTCCTCTGGTCCACTCAACCTACAAAATGTCTAAGGACCTATTGCTCCTTCAGGGCATCCCAGTGGGGTATCCCACACCCCCGCACTACCCGAGGCACGCCCTGCTCCCTATCTTGTTGAGTTTCCCTGTAGAATCAACGGCCAAAAAGACCTTGGCGCCAATTGCAACATTCTGCCCATGTCTTGGGCATTGCTCAAAACCGATTCGGGCAGGTGAAGGTGAATTACGCCAGTCCCAGCCGGAAATAGTTGCGGGAGTCTGCCTGAATTCTTGAAGCATGGTTCTGGGGATCGACCATTTTTGTACCAGGTTTTGATTTTGACTCAAATGCGCGTGCCACGAAACCTACACAAGGTCGATCACGGCCGAGCCATTCCGTCCGGATGCAGGCCAAGGATAGCTCCAGCTCAGAGGCGAATCCGCGAATCGCCGAAGCGCGAAGGGTTTCGGAGACTTTTGGGTGGGGTCGGAGCAAATGGGGGTTTCTTTTGCAAGTACAGGGTATATCCTCTTAAAATGGTAGTCATGCTGATTAGCATGATTTGCTGTTGTTTCTTCTTGCATCTTGACTTAGTTTCTTTCTGGAGAAGCTTTTATGCGTCCATGTACTTGCTTCCATGTACTTGCTTGTCCCAAGCCGATTTGTTCAGGCTATTGTTTTCCCACTTTTCCGTGCTGAGCCAATCTTCCACAAACAGTCAGTGATCAATTGTTCAAAGGAGTTGAGGACCCCAGCAAGTATGCGTTAACCCTCAGCCATGAATCCACCCCAATTACTATGTGGGCGTGTCATTTGTTTGGAGGGTAACCCTTTCTTAGTCGGTTTCAAAGGAACACCACAGGCAAAACAAACAAGCAACATGTTGAGAGGTCCCGTGAAAAAGGGATCCATTTTCAATCGGGTCATACGCCAGGAGCCAAAGAAAGAGGAGAAGCCGGAGGAGAAGGCAAGGCAGCCGAGTCGCCTTCGGGCTTTTAGACTTTTAGGTGGTTTAGTGGTTTGGTGCCCATTTAACCCACTAAAAGTTAGTCACTTTCAGGGGATCTAAGGACAGCCCCGTTTTCCTCATGTCCCTTTCAAGCTGGAACCTGCAGATTGGGGATCGGTAGCGTTTGAACGGACACCGCCAGTAAATTCATCAAGATTCCTGTCGCGGAATGGCATACCGGCGCCAATCGTGCTCGAGTGGTCATGAACCTTTGGCTTTCAAGCAGGGCTTCGCACTGAACGAACCACGATGACCTGACGTGGCCCAGGGGTGTGTCATTTTTAAGGTGCCTCCCCCCAAAAAAAGGTGGTGTTTCCTTTGGTTGCCCTTCAAAGACACTCGTAAAGAGGGACCCTCAAAGAGACAAGCCCACATGTGTTTGCTCCCGAGGATACCCGCATGGCGTTTTTGGCACGTCAGGACAGCGACAGCGACAGCGATGCGAAGGCCAAGGCAAAAGCCAAGGCGGGCACGGTTTCACTGCGGATCGAAACTGCGATGCTAAAGTCGGGGGGGAAGACCAGCTTAAAAATGTGAGTTTTTGTTGGCTAATCGACTCAGTGGTTCTCATGGCTTTCCACTGCTTTGGTTCTCGTGGCATTTTTCTGTTTGGTGCATTTTCCTTTACACTTTGAGCACGTTGTTGTCCTTTCGGGTGTGTGCAAATGTCTATCTCTTTTTGTTTGGGTGGGCTGTCCTTTAAAAACAATAGCAGAGCCCCTCTGGCACTGGGCACTCAAATCCAACGGATGTAACCCATTTGGCTGCGTCGTGGCCGCCCAAGTCCACATGGCCTAGTCCGGTCACCATTTACCCTTGCTCACTTGAAGCTCTTTGGGACGACCTCACTTCAAGTGGCCAACAAAAAGTCATGTTTTTTGCCCACTCGATCAGAAGTAGGAATCCGGAGAGATCTAGGAATCCGATTCCGTTTGGGTTTAACTCGCAAGGGGACAGCCGAAAACGGTGGGCCTATCAGGGCCTTTAGAACCTGGCCGCTCCTTTTTCCGGGCTTGGTTGAGCGAGCAGGTCTGGTTTTTGCCACGTTGCACCTGGGAAATGTCCGTCGTTAGTGTTAAGGGTTTTGTTTCGCCCCGGGTGTTAGCTCGTGGCATTCGATAAAAAAAAAAACAAGAGGCCTGATTAAGGCCCCATTTGGAGGTGCAGGATCGGTCTGAAACGTGGAAGGGGCGTGACCCGCCAGGCGGGCGTGAGCCTGCCAAACCTCTGGACCATGTGTGCAGAGTCAGAAACACTACAAATCGAGGGGTTGTGGGATCACTCGGGGTTTTACCCCACTGTGATACAAGTTGGAATCTCCCCCGTTATGTGGGGGGTTAGTGTTTTGGAAGCCCTTATTGTTGTATCACAGAAGTGGTCATTTCCCACAGCCCTGCTACAAATCGATTTCAGCTCCATGGTGTTCCTGCTGAGCTTTACGCAAAGGGACGTTTCAACCAATGTACTAGTACCCGTCGTAGGTATGAGTGAAACATGTGTAGGGAGGGGTATCGTTGTGGGAAGTTGCGCTTTGGCAAGTTTCTGTGATGCAGTGCCAAGGGAACCCCCCTGTAAAGCAATACATTTTTTGCGAGAATCAACAACTTTGCTAGCACAGAAAGGGTTATGTTCGACAAAAGGGGAGAGGGGCAACCATTCTTGCCCGGTTGGGGGGTGGGGATGTTCAATGGTTTTGCAGGGCTCCTTAAAAGATACATGTTGCAACCATTTGAAACACGGCTTCTTCCACCAAAATAAAGGGACGCCACCATTTACAAGGTAATGTTCAGGTGTTTTTCATGTAAGGATCCCTGTTTTGGGCCTGGCATGGTCTGGCAAATCTAGTGGTAGGGTGTGATGACTACAACGCAGCATCCAGGGCTCCATGGTCACTGATTTCCGTTTCAGCCTGGCAGGCTTTGAGAGCAGCCGTGAGAAAGGAGGCCCAAGCAAAGCTTACAGCATTTGCTCAAGAGATCAATCACTACCTCCAGAAAAATGATGGTGATACTGTCTTTGTTTGTTGGAGGCTGGGTAGGAAACCCTGCTTGTTGAACCTGTGGCAACCTTCTGCTATCCTTGTGTGACAGTTGAATGATTCATGCCAGCCTTTTCATATGCCAAGTTGTCAGGACAGCTCTGACAGCGACGAGGACGCAGCGACTTGCGCTGTGAAGCATGCATTTACCAAATGTCGGGCCTCAGGATTCAAACGATGCCCTGATAATGATAATTTCAATACTCCCGGTGCATCAGAGTTCAAAGCGATGCAGTGATCCTTTTATGCTGCTTGTGCAGGACAGCGGTGACAAGAAGAAGAAGTCGCGGAAGGTTGCAAAGACACTCGACAGTTTTGAATCCGTCCACCATCCTTGGATTTCCCTAATGGTCGTCCCATGTAAAGCGTTTTTTGTTTTTTTTTTTTTTTATCAACCCCCATTTGTCTATGGCCCGTGTTCAGGACATGGAGAGAGGATGGATCCATATTGTTTTCCTATGTCAAGGGAAGCTGCTACAAAATGAGTATTTTCTCCAAGCCCTGCATTTAACTCTCGCTTGAACTTAGGCTTTGCCTTGACCCAAAATATGTGTGGCTTCAGCCCAAGAGGCAAGCAGTGCTGATCCCGAACATTCGGAAGCAAAGGACTGCCCAAGCTGGGCAAAGCAAAAGACGAGTGGATCTGACAGTTTGATGTTTTTCATGCTTCGTCAATCCACGTAGGTGTAGTTCTCCCAAAAATGGATGCCGGAAACCAAGCCTAGGTCTGAGTGTTTGCTTTTTATAAATTTGGTTGGATCTTTGAACTTTTCGGTTGAAACAAGTACAAGTCGGATGTTTCGTATTTATGGCACTCACCAAAAGTGAATCGCTTGGGTCGTTACAGAAACCAAGTTTACGGCGCGCTTTCTGCCTTGGATGGCCCAAAGGTTCCGATTCTCCACGGGGCATGGAGTCCACTCGATCGGAAGGGAGCTTTCGCATCCACTCTCGATTGGAGCTGGCAGCACCGTGCAACTTCTTGATAGACTTGGCTGCCAGCCATCCCCTGGGGTTTTTAGATATTTTTAGGGTAGTGGTAGGGTAGTGGTGGTGGTAGGGTAGTGGTAGGGTAGTGGTAGGGTAGTGGTAGGGTAGTCTTGATAGACTAGGTTTTTAGGGCACTAAACCACAGGAAGTTAGTCACTTTTAGCAGATCTCAGCCCAGAGTCCTGACCCCACGATTGTCGCCTTTGCTATGTGATTTCGTCACCATTCACATGATGTGTCAAAATAGGTGGACACCCAACATGATTGGCATCGTTTTCCTGAAATCCGCTCAAAAAAAAAGGTATCCTCAAAAATAACACCCACCCATCTACAGCTGGGATGGAACGCGTGCGACTCGAGAGGGTTGCACAGACGAAGGAAAGATGAGAGCGATTCCTCGGATAGCTCCGATGACAAGAAGAAGGCGAAGCAAAGTGCTGTATGGGGTACAAGATCCCAAAAAACAGCCAAGAGAAGAGTTCAATATTATCCAGGGCTCCTTCAAAGATACATTTTGCGTTTTCCCATGGCCACTTCACATTTGGGCCTTCGACCCGTGGGAAACAGATTGCCTTTGCAACTAAATCTAACCTGCAAAAGGTTGATCACGAGACAAGGAGCGACCTCTTGCTCCTTCGGGTGGCTTGGAGCAACCTCAACATGTGTATTGATGTGTTTGTTTTGCTTTAGTGTCTCTTTGAATAAGGACTCAGTTCTTTTGGAGGGAGCACCCCACTAGTAATAGAACCTTTTGTTGAATCCAGGGTAAACACTATGCGAAGCAAGGACCGCCCAACTTTCAAATCCAAGCTTTCAACTTTGGCAATAACAGCTATGGTCCAAGAGACTTGAGGAGAACCGAGTGACATTCCACGGAGCAGCCTGCCTGGCTGACTGCCCTTCCGAACTCCCCAGTTCAGGTCCCTGAAGGCCAATTGCCGACAGGAGCCTCCAGCCAGGGTTTCATGGCAGTTGGACGGAGGTGAAGCTTCACTGAATTCGGACCATCCGAAATTGACTTTCATTGGTTCGAAGGCAGAACTAGCGAGCCAGTGCCGACCTGCCAACCCTCTTTGCCGGGGTTCACATGGGCCAGAATCAAAAAGTGAATGTGGACTCACGAAGAAACAATATGTTCTTTTGTGGGCCAAATAGGTGTCTTGCTTGAGGGTCCTGTTTGGGAAACCATAAGGAAAACAATCATTTGTGTGGCTTCCCCTATTTTGAGACATACCCACATCAACGTACTAGAAATGGGTGCTTTTTTGAGGCTATCATTTTAAGGAATGGCAACAGTTTCTTTGGTGCATGTTGCCAAGGGATGTTAGGACTGAACAGCTTTTTGCCAACTAGTGGGTTTTCAAATATTCATCAACCTCATTTCCTAAATAGGGGGTGTTCCCCTCCAAAAGTGGTCTGATTAAACCACGAAAAGTTAAACTGTTGGCAGGGCTTCGCAGAACTCAACCGAGGTTTTGAGACACACGCACATGGAGTCTCTGACAATCGCTCCAGGCCAAGAAGGCCGACAAGAAGAAAAAGAAGCGGAGCTCCAGCCGCAGACTCGGCCGTAGAAGCTATTGCCGTGTTTTGTTGTTTGTTGGTTTTAATATAAATATATATACACATACATATATACTTGTTGTTTCGTTGTTGTTTTTTCTGGTCGATGTTGGGCGAAGCTTGGTGCATTTGGTTCAGTGAATGGTCGTGTCTGGAAATGAGCGTAGAGTTTGAGATGTGTTGAGTAAATGTTTATGAGACATAATTCATCATATGCAAATAGACACATGTAGAAATTCATGCTTTCTTCCTTCTTTTATGGACTCGAGCGAGACGCCCAAGTGGCCTGGCAGCTTCTTGCATTGAGCACATGGCCATGGGGCACCCTTTCGGTAGCAACAACTATGTTTATAACTTTCGGTATGTTTAGGTAAAACTAAAATGAATGATACGCAAATGAATAATAATATGGAGAAAATGTTATATGAGGCACGATTATGGGCTCAGAAGTTGATTCTCATTATCATTCTCACTCCCCGATGTTCTGGACACCCGGCTCACGGAGCCTAAGCCCTAAACCCCAAACCCGATGGACGAATTCCTGCGCCAATTTGAACCCAAAGGAATCCATTGTTGGTTAGTATTTACAAGGAACTCATGATTCCCGGGTTTCTCAGGTGGTGCGAAATGATGTTCGTCCATCCACAGTAGGGCCATGGGCCTTGCAAATGAGCCACAATCAAAGGCTGGGTAGATGAAGGTTAGTAAGGGGCAGTCCCAGCCGGAAGCCTTTCTAACTCTTTACATGGTTCTGGGTTCACCATTTTTGTACCAGGATTTGAGTGTGTCTCAAATGACGCTTTTGGGCCTCGGGAGAATGACTTCGTTCTTTGAGCCAGGCAGGAGCCGTCCCGGAGGTTTTTTGACAGGGAAGCGGAGTTCGCACCACGGTTTTGTAGGTGCGTTAAACGGAATTCGCAACCATCCACAGTACCTCTGTACATGACTTCCCTTGTACCAGGCCTTGTACCAGGGACACCGGTGTATAGAAGATAGATGGGTCCAAGATGGCACGTTTGCCCGCTGCCGTGGCTACTGTACCCCCTCATGAAGTCGGAATCCAACTTGTTGTGCCCAAATGGAGCTCACCATTCTAGTGGCTTAGACCGAAAGCTGGACTTTTCTGGCCCATCTGGATAGGAAAGTGAGGGAGAATTCAGTCTAAGACTCTAAGACTCCTTGTTTTTTTTTTGTTTTGTTTCCAGGGTCCTTTTCTTCAACAACAAGTACCATGCACTTCCGGCTCCGTTTCTCTCGGCCCTGGGCTCGCGTTCGGCGCGAGGCTCTTCCAGCAGCCGGAAGAAGAACCGCTCTCGAAGCTGGGGGTCCAACACGGGGCGGGGGGGGGGCTTAAAGAGGGGATGGAATCCCATGGTAGAAGCTGAGAGCCCATTTCGGGTTCGGCAGTCAGTAAGGCTTAAAACGTGTTTTTGTTCTTTTTTTGGTTGTTTTCCTTATAGAGGTTTTAAGGGAATTTTGCCCTGACAGAGACTTGGGGAACCAAGCCCTTTCTTGAGGAATTCCAGAAAGAAAGCGACGGGCGATCGCTTTTCGTCACGTTGATAGGGGTTTCTTTGCAAAGATTGCATATACTGTTCCCGGTTCGGTGTGTGAGTTATTTTCGGTTTGTGCAGATGATTGGTTTGTGCCCAGTCTCCGAAGTTAAATCCGCGTTCAGGATTGGCCAACCCCTCGAGACTCATAAACCGGGATCGATTCCTATGTTTCAATCGTTTTGGCGATAAACATCACCTTCTTGGCCCCAAGGTGAGTGTTTTTGGGGGTGATGTCTCGAGGGGAAATATAGGGAGCCGTGATAGAGCCACCATTGTCTTCCGGGTTGTCATCATCCAAACTGGGTCAACCTTTCGTTTAATGGGGGTTGAACCCTAGGGCAACTACTTCTCATCCCCTTGGAGATACACGCGGCTCATATCTCCATCATCCGCGACCATGGGGGATACCCACCGCTTACTAAGCGGGGAGGTAATCCAAGCAGGGCCCCTTCAAGATTGCAATTGAGCCGCAATCAAAACCCGGATAGACAAACTAGGTTCCTTAGTAGTGCCCTTTTACCCTTTTTTGGGGGAGGGTTCCCCTACTAAAATAGACTACAGAAAAATCTAACCAGGACCTGGTAAAGGTTAGTGCATGATGATCCCAAGCGTAAAGGGGTACCTTCGCAGCCCTTTGAATTCTGAAAACATGGTTCTGTGTAGACCATCTGAATACCAGGTTGTGATTCTGACTCAATTGGGGTTTCCATCTGAGAACCGGGCGCTTGAACTCTTTTGCGAACTTGGTGTGGGAGTTGTCAGGGGTTCTTTTGGAAACCATTTTTGTTTGGAGCGGCACCAGGGCCCAACAAGGGGCGTTGACTGTTGACCAACCCCCCTTTTTTGGGAACATACAGGTGGGCCCAAAACTCCCAGAATTCCTTTCTTGTGTTTTCAAGACCATTTGTTTTTGCAACGCAGACTGAGTTAGGAAGACATCAATTTGAAAAAAAACAGTTTTTTTCAAGGGCGCATGTAGGACCTTAAGATGTAAGGCCAGAGGCGTCACAGTCGGTTCCGTCACCTTGCACCCTTTCTGGTTTGGAGCCGGGCTTGGGGATGAGCTGAACGGATCCCAAGTTCTTGCTAGAGGTTTTTTTTGGGGGAACCACGGCCCAACAGTTCACCGAACCACCGAACCAAGCCAGCGGGAAGCTGATCGGCTTGCCGCTTAGGATCCAGTTTTGGACCTTCGGGGGGTGGATCAACACGGTATCTTGAAGTGAGCGTCCGGCATGCGATGGGACAGAGGTTGATCAAAAGGTCCTTTGCATGGAGTGACCATTGGGGAAACCACTCAAACTGATGTTCACCAAATGGGAAAGTATCCATGGTCAAAATTTCGGGCCAGGAACATTGATCAACCCCCATATCTGGAACCCTGCAATGTGAGGAAAACTCGGCACGCCACGGCCGCCGTGAGACCAACAGACTTCACTCATAGGAGCAATGCTGCATGCTCCAAGGGAGGCTAGAACCAGCAAAACTTTGGTGCATTTTGCTTGGCTGTTAGGACTTTAACTTTTGCCAACTGATGGGTTTTCCATTAAACCACTAAAAGTTAAACTTTTAGCAGGGGAGCAGAAAACAACCGAGAAAAGCCATGGTTGCAACTCTGAGGAGCACTGCCAAGCAAGCATGTGGCCCGACTTGTGCTTGCAAAACAACATCGCCCCGGTTGGATTGCAAGACCCAACACAAGCACGCCACTACATTGCGTGCCCATTGGTTTGTCTCAGAACTATGGCACCATGAAAGCGTGTGGTTTTCTCTTGGTCTGCCTTTGAACCCCCCCACCCATTTCTGTTTTTAGGAAAAAAGACAAAAAGTTATCCAACAATCATGCGCCTTCTCAGCCGGATGCACGGAGCGAGTCTAAACTCCCAGAGCCCCACTAGGCAGTCGCGTGCGCCTCGCGAGCGCCAACTCGCCGCCATGCGGCGATGCTTGTGGCTGCCGGCCGCGGCAGCGCTACTGGTGAAGGAGACGTTCGAATCTTCAGTTGAATGAAAGCAATGGTTTCAACCATGCATGGTTTCAAAGTGGTGCAAAATGGATTTCGTCCATCCACAGTATGGAGGTTTGCGCTACAAAACGACTACCGATGGTATATCTTGGTAGTTCCCAGCCATCCGGTTCCTTAGCCCTTTAGATCTTTGTAGTGTTTAGTGGTTGGACTTCCATTTACCTGCTAAAAGTGAAACTGTTAGCGGGGGGATCTGAGGGCAGCCCAGGTTGCTCGAATCTTCAGTTGAATCAGTCTTTTTCTAGGGGGCCCCCGAAATTGTGGTTTTCCTGTGGTTTTCCTTTGGTTCCATTTGTTTGAAAAACTCAGTTGCCCAAAACAAATCGACCTTGTAGTTTTTGAGTTTGATCATTTTTTGGCAGAGGTCCCACAAGGTTTGCCCCGGCATTTACCGAGCCCAGGAAGGATTTGGGATGCCGCAGGTGGTTCCGGTTTGCGTTTGGAAAAGCGAAAGCAATGCGAAGCCGCTTCGTGGCCTTATCAACTGGACATATCACCTACTTTCTTTGGCCACCCATGCAACCACTAAGCAAAACGGAAATGGGTGTGACTTTTTTCAACAAAAACTCGAAATTATGGTTTTCCTTTTGTTTCCCTCGAACATGAACGACCAAAACCAGGTACCTCAAAAATAGGTTGCTTAAGAAAGTGTCTCACTTCATGAGTTCCCGAGATTTCGTTTTTTGGGGGAAGACCCTTGTAGGGGCAAACAAAAGGTTCATGTGTTTGTTTGGCCCGTCCACTCAGGAAGTGAGGTTTATTGATTTTCCCTTTTGGTTTAATATAGGGACCCACAACTGCTTGAAATACAGTGGATGAACGAAATCCTGCACCACCTAAGAGGCCCTGGAATGATCATCCCCCTGTAAATAACAGCAAATAATTGCTTCCCATGGTATCAAAGTGGTGCAGGATTTTGTCCATCCACAGTATGTTCCCTTTTTCCCCAGGGACTCTGCAAATGGAGGGATTTGGAAGGGGATGCGCCCAATTGCCAAGGGAAAACAAGCCATGGAAACATAAAGCCTAGGGCTCATAGGAATCCCACTCGATGGAATGCTCCATTATTAGTCACTGTCCTGGGTTGCTTGCCTGGTATGTGAAAGAAGCTGTTCCATCCAAACGGCATCGAATTTTGACCAACCCTTGGTTGGATTTATAGGGCAGGACCAGGTTGACTAATCGGGGGTTGATCGATTGCACAATTGTTCAATTGTGGCTTGTTTAGTCATGCCCTTTACTTCACCAAACAAAGGAACAGTGGCAACTTTCACCCGAATGTATTTTGGAGCCTCATTTTTAGAAAAAAAATGACGTTTACCCATTTGTTCTCTGATCTAAAGTCAGCAGCCCTTCAGTTCCTCTTCTTTGTCTTGCGATCGCTGCGAAATCGGTGGGGAAGGAGACATGGACTGAACCGTTTGGGGATTATCTTGGAGGAAACAACCAGTTGGATGGTGTATAGGGGTCATTCCCTCATTCCTATTTGGTTGGACCTTTGGACTTTAACTTTGAGAGGAAACAGAGGGATTCCCCATTGGACCCCACAAAAAGTGAAACTTTTTGCAGAGCGGTCAACAGCAACCAAACGTTTGTGCAGGCATTCGTCGTCACTTTACTCGTTGAAGGACCTCGAAGATCCCAAGCTGGGGCCAAGTGAGGAGGACAGGCAGATGGGCCACTTTTGACCCTCAGAGGGGCGTAAAACCAGCAGAGTTGCTTCCGCTTGCTTAAGATGTTGTTTCCAAAATTTCCCCCTTTTGGTTTTAAAGGAAATCTGTCACTGCTGACTTTATATCCATCCCCCCTACCTTAAAAACAAAATTGAGGAGGGGGTTACGTCAATAGAATAAAATGTTCTCGGGCTTAAAATCAACCTTCGCGCTGGCTGCGCCTCCCCGAGCCCTACCCCCGCCGCCCCAAGCACACCGCCCTGCATGCTTCTCCCGCTCGCTGGGCTGGGGCCCGCGCTCCATGCTGGAGATGAAGTCATGGTGGCATGCGCTCCAGCCACTCTGCGCCCTGGGCGCTGTGCGCCCCGGGCGCTCCGTCTCAGTTGGTTGTATCGCCAACAGTTCGGCCCCCAAAGTGCAAGGGCATCGCCGAGCAGATCGTGAGATGTGTGGTTGCGCATAGCAGTGCGCAATATTGCGTAAAATCGCCCAAGTAGAGGGAGTGTCTTGAAAGCAATGAAACCACCAGAGCTCCTGCAGGCAGAGCTGCAATCTGCCGAATTCTGCATGACCCGGCGCGGAGGGTCCTTCGCCCGAACTTGTGAAGGCGCAGGACCCGGCGTGCCGGGTCCTGCGGTTGAGCAAGTGACAAGGTCCGGTGAAGGACCCGGCGCGCCGGGTCACGGTTGCGGCACGTCCAGTCCCGCCATTGAGTGTGCCGGGTCACAAGGCCCGGCGAAGGAGGCAGTGTGCCGTGTGACGCGGCTGTCTGCGTTGCAGGTCACAGGGCCTTAAAATATAATGATCCACCCTACGTCGATTGAAAAATGAAATTCCCCCCCCTCCCTTGCACTAAGGCAGGGGGGATGGATTTATATTTTCCTTTTTTGGGTAGGGGCTTAAGCAAATGGAAGCTTGTGTAGGTCCGTGATTTAGGGGATCCAGTTCTTGTAAGGGTTCGGTGCTTCGAGGAAGACCTTTCCTGGAGTGTTGTCCAATAGCATCTTGTTAGATTCCATTTTACCCCCTGCGCCCTTTACTGAAAAAGAGGTAGTTGCCATGG